CTGTGGTGCCCAAATTTGCGCAAGGCTTTAAAAAACTCTAGGGCTGAATTTCTGGCCTCCTGACTTTCTGCGCCAAAAATTACCATCCTTGGCTCTCACCCGCGCAGCGAAGCCGATTCAAGATGTAACTGTAAAAGTGCATGAATTTGACCCTTCATTTTGGATCATTTTGGCAAATCTTTCTTGACGAGGTGCTGTGGCAAATCTTTCTTGACGAGGTGCTGCTCATTGTGCTCACATTCCATTGGTTCTTGCTCGCAGTCTCCAAGAGCCGGAGCCAAAGAAGCCAAATGCTCTGAGCTTTCTGAGCATTGACTCTGTCTGTCTGGAGGGATAGTCTCGTCGCCAACTTTCGACTGCAGGTGCAAGTTGCGACCGCGTACTGTGCAAGCTGATTTGAAAACAAAGGAAAAACACTGCCACTATCGTCGCTATCGTCACTATTGTCACTATCTGCCACTGCATGACTTGTGTTAAACCTCGCCTTGGCGTCTGCTTGCTCGGAGATCTCTACTGAATACTCCTCAGTATGATTCAGTATGGTACTCTGCGCTGTGGTCAGGCCGAGAACTGGCTCTAAGAATTACTAAGAGTAATGAGTCAGCACTGAGTCGCACCTGCGACTGAATGCTCGGTGACGTTGACCTTGGAAACGTGCCAAATGGGCAAGAGTCACACGCCTTTTCAAGAGGCTTTCAAATTACTTCAAGTTGTCATGTACAAGTACGGCGTATGGCCGTGACGGGTGTGAGCTGGGCTGCCATTGAGGTCCTCTCCTGTGTCAAAGATGAGATGTGCATAAACACACACACACACAAAATCACACTCACAATCACATTTTGCAACGTCGCGCAAACGCGTAATTTGAACATATTTGAACTACGTAGTCGAAATGCATTGCAACCAGCCGCTTGTGAGTGTGGAAAGCACTCCAAATCCCTTTTCATGATGTTTTGTCAGCACATGTCGATCAGCTTTCATATCGTGGGTCCTCCCAAACTTGGGCGCAATCTTCGCCATGTATTTGTGCACAGTACCCTGCAGGATGAGTTCAAATCCTGTCGGATCATCTTCCACCGCCACTGCCTACTTAAATGCAAATTAACATTAATTTAATGTATAATGTATATTATGTTAATTGTGTTTCTTTCAGATCTTCGCATCAAATCGCATAACTATGATCAAACCAGAGCGCTCTTCGTTTGAAATCAACTTCAGCTTCCGACATCCGTCTGCGCATTTTGACCAACATGTCCGCCCATCCGATTGAGTTGCTCCCTTGGTCAGTCGAGAAACTCGGGCCTGCAGGAAACTACCACAGGTATCCACAGGTGCTGTCCCGGAAGGCTGCATTTTCTCTCTGTTTCTAGGTGTATCTTAGGGTTCCGCAGGGCTGCAAGTTGATTTTGAAGGTTTGACACTTCCTTGTGTTGCTTAGCCTCAAACCAAAGGTCATCACAGCACTTTTGGAAACCATGAACAAATAAAAGAAACATCGGCGTTTGGGTCCAGGCAAGCACTCCTGCTAACCTCCATGTGATCATGCTTGGAACATCTTGAAAGGTCGAATTGAGCCAGCCATATCCGATCTAGACATCATGCAGGATTGGCAACCTTTCAAAACCCTTCAAAACCTTTCGCTACCACAGCTACCACGCTTCTGCTCTGGCCTTCTGTGTTGCGCCTGCAACATGCCGCCCCAAGCGCCACCTGCATGTCTCAGTGTCTCCTCTCAAGTGTTGACACTACTTAAGTACTTTCTCCAGTTAGGCTATTATCAGCTCTCAACCCGCCTCCTTTAATTTTTGGCGGACTCCAATGCTCAGCAGTATCCACTTCAATGATAGTCCTTGGTCAGGGTGAATGATGCTCTAAATGATCAAACTCCACCCAAACCTCCGCAAACATAGTCGACCAGTTTCAGCAATAAACAGTTCTATTCAAGCTTCTTGCCACACTATCTATGTATAATGTTGATATACCGCTGGCACCAACACACATTCACATATTACATCAATATTACACCGATGGACCCCTATGTAACCTTTGTGGCCTAAAAAAATCACGGTGAAGTTCGGTCTTTGCACAACTTTTCGCTATGCAGAAAAGGATCAGTGGATCCAGGTGGCTTTGCCTGGGCACCTGCTTTCTGCGAACAGGCTTCCATTCTTGCCTGAGACCAACACGGAAAGATCTGAAAGGAGAGCAACCGAACTCCCAATCTTTCAGTTCTACGAAAGCTATTCATGTCATCAACTGGCCGGGTCAAGCGGGCTTTGCTTTGCACAGATTTGCGTTTATTCAATGACATGTGATAGTCATCAAATCCATCGAATCAAGACTTGGCAAGTTGCTATGCTTCGGATCCCGTGAAAACATACACACTGATCATCACTGATCAGTGTGTGAGAATCGAATACGATGCACTTCCTCTTGCACTCTTGCTCAGCCACATTTTACATACAGGATACCACTGCCAAAGATTCTCAAATATTCTCAAATCACTATGCCTCCGGGAGCCAGAGCGAATGGGTGGTAGTCCTTCAAAACAACTCCAACATTCAACTTCGCAAAGTCAAATGCAGGAAGTCTACACAAACTGAAAGTCACTGAAAGTCACTGCCGCAAGGTCCTGGATGTCTGTGCAACTGGGGTGCACTTGCGCTACTTGGATTCCCCCGCCTGCTGGGCATTATGGCATCTGGGCCAGGCTGAATGCCATAGCTGCTAAACTTGTTATGAAGATTTATGAAGATTTATGAAGATTTATGAAGTGTTCATTTCTGTTCATCTCTCACTGCTGACTTCTCTCTGTCGTTACAATTTCAGGTGCATCTCTTGTGGCCTCATGGGTGAACACTTTGGAGACCAAGGGAACCTGCTCAAAGCATTGCCACGATTGCCACGCGGTTATCTAATACGACTATGACCAACTTTTTGATTCTGGTCCGACTCCACAAGGATGTTCAACCTTTCTATCTGGTTCAAATGATTCTAAACGATTCCACTAGCATTTCAGATCCGCATGATGATCCGTGAGGCTTTTTCAATTTCTTTTTTTCACTATGTTCATCTATTTTCATCTATATTCCGTATCTGACTGACCGCCACACTTAATTGGCCCTGGCCTGTGGACTTCTGGCAAGTGAAAAGTGGGAGAGTCCTTGTGCATCTCGTCATCCTTGCTGTGGTTGCAGTTTCTCTATTCATCGCGCTTGATGTCAGTCGCGTGAGAAACTGAGCTGCGATCTCCGCGGTGATCCAGCTCATGAAGCTCCTGCACGTTGCCAACATTTGCCAACCACATCTGAAAAGGGTAACACATGTCTTACAGTTTCTTACACATTGTCACGGTAAACCTTAGCGAGTTACAGTGCAACGGAAGGTCCTCTGGGATGGACACTTCTGGCAAACCTCGATCTGCCTCATTCATCCGAGCCGTCCGTGGTTTCTTGGGTGGATTGATGTGGGGCCTATACGGGGATGGATTCCCATGGAGCGACTTAGATGGCCCTAGACTCCCTAGACCCTGGACATGGAGTCGTGCAAAGGTTGGCTATGTGCAACTCTTCCTGACCATTTACGAGCTCCCTCCACACAATCATTGTGGCAGCATGGGGGCACCTAGCTGGACCCTAGTTCTGGCATTGCAGGTGCATACTGTCCCACCCGGCCTCTTCTTCGACATTTTCCTGTGAAGCAAAACGCGTTTTTTTCTTTTTCCTATGTATGTATATATATATGTATACATACGTATACATTTACATGTGTGTATTAATATGTAGAGAGAGAGAGAGAGAGCAAACATCGAACAGCCACACGACCTTGCACACCTGTGTCTTCAAATAATTTGCAGCCCGGATCATTGGTTTGCCTAGCCTTCATTTAGGGTGATCTAGGATCATTTAGGACATTTAGATACATTTAGGATATTACAAGATTCTTTTGTGCATGGTTTTGGAACCCGGCTCTCTTTGGCTTATCAGTAGCTTGAAGCTATCAACTTGTCCAAGCCTGTTAAAAATTGAACATCAGTCTTGCATTTTGTCTTTCTATAAGTGCATTTTCTGGTGTCCATCATGCACAGGTCCAATTCTCAGTCTTGATTTTCGTCTTATACTTAAAGGATATTGAAGTCTGTTTACAGCTCGGCTTAATCTTATCCTGGTCTCTGGAGTGTCTGGCGTATTTTGGCATCATGGGGTGCATTTTTGGGTTCTTGCGGCTTCGTTGTTGGCCCCTTGTTCAAGCAAATGGCTCTATAAAGTTGAAGCAAGCCTCTGACTTGAATCCAAGGCTATGCCTGTCCATTCTCTCCCAGCTTCTACTTTCTGGGAACTTGCTGCAAATTCACATCTGGTCAAATCCTTATTCTTCAGTGCTAGACAGGGTTTGAAAGGCTTGAAACCCAAAATACATCACCCACCATGTCTGAGGCCTCTGCTTGTTCTTCCTCGACAGCTTCAAAGACCTGTTCAGAACTGTTCAGAAGCTTAAACTCAAACAACATACTCAAACGCCATCTCAAACCCTCATGCGACTCATGCACTTTACAAAACGAAAAGCATCACCCGAGCTTCTGCCTGGGTCAAAAGGCCTTCAAAGTTCAGCATGGCTCAATCGCGCCCAGATCTCTCGAGAAATATGGACTATAGAAATTCAATCATTCCTCCTTCTAGCATTGGCTAGCATGAGACATCCGCTGGTTAGTCAAATGAACTCATCTGAACAGGCAGGCTTACTGATCTTACTGGCTGAATACACAACTGCCACATCTGGGAGAGGGAGTGTACTGCGTTTGCTCTCTTGCAATCCGAGTCTGAGCAGTGCTGGAGCCAGAATCCATGCAGTTGCGCAGAGCAAGTGAAGTCGACCAATCATCACAGCCAGTGTCTCAAGAAAAGGTGGAGATCTTAGTTGTCACATTGTTCTGTTACGTTCTGTTGCTCTTCCAGCTTCTATGCACTCGATTTCATTGACAATTTCCAGTAGAGACTGGCCTGCTGGTAATTATTGGTCAAAGCCACGGAGTAGAACTCGCCAATGGATCCGTTGCCCTGGCTGAGACTCATCAAACCGAGCCAAACCAAGGGGATCTGAAGCTGGTAACGAACATTGAACGGAACAAGGGGGTTTGCGCCGCCTTCAGCACGCATGATGGGTACTTCCAGGTAACTGCTGAGCCAGTTTCAACCTGGTCAGCAAGGCAGCACAATAAGCAGTTGTCAGGAGTAACTCTGTTGTCAAGCAACAACTTGAAGAGCAAACAAAGTGCAAAAAGATGCAAAAGCAAACAAAAAACACAAAAGCAGTCGGCAGTTCATAGTGGATAGGAGGTCCTGTGTCCAGGAGATCTTAGACTTGTCACCCTCACACACTCCTCGCTTAGTCACCTGCAAAGACGTTGACGTGCCGTCGTCGCAGGCGGCACTTTGTGGCACTTTGTGGCACAAGTGGGACTCAAGTGGACTCCAGCCGTGGAAGCATCGAGGACCACACCAGATTCAAGATGCCACCTTTGCCATCCTTGTCCCCAGCATACCTGCAAGTTCTATCGCAAGTTCAAGTTATGGAGGCTTCCGGATCTTCCAGGGGCGGGTAGTGGAACTTTTTGGTGCGAGAAGGTCAAAGATGTAAACGCTAGTCTGGTGGAGCTTGATCTTGATCTGTAGCTTCTTTGACTCTTTTGATCTTTTACAACTACCTGAAACCGTTCTACCTTCATACAGTAGGTATGGCTGCTTGGGTGCGCACCAATTTTGTACAGTGGAGTACCTGGAGTGGATGGAGGTGAAACTGAACAGCTCTAAGTGTGCACAAAAATATACAGTAATAAGTAATAAATACAAATATACATTGCTTGCACATACTTGCACTGTCTGGACATGTCTAGACAGTCTGCAAAATTGTACCAAGTGTACCCGTATATCAATGTATATATATATATCACATAATATCAGTATTTTGAATGTGAACCTGTGCAGAATACAACGTCTATACTACTTACATCAAATGAGTCGTGGATTTGAAATGGAGCACTTGATCTCGGCTCCCTTCGCAGCATGAAGTTCAACCACAGCTGCCTCACCAAAAGCCATTCCGCAAAATTGAGGTGATGCGAACTACAACAAATTCACAAGCAACAACCAATAAGCATGGCATCAATGCTTCTGAACAATTTGAGGGCTTGGCATGTAGCTGCTTTGAGTCAAACATTGGTGCCTAGGGCACACTCCAGAAACCTTGCATTACCCTTGCATTACCCTTGCATTACCCTTGCAGTACCCTTTAGGAATCTTTAAGATGTCTAAGTCTATTCAATCTGTTTACAAAGTGGACACAGTGCAGGCTTGTGCCAGCACTCTTTTGGAGCCAGCGAGTAAGCTTTCGACCGTGCATCCTTCCAAGTAGGAAACGTAACTGTCCTCATCTGCGATGAGCAAAGTTCGTTCGAATTGCCCAGACTCCTCGCAGAAGAAAGATATTAAGCACTCATCATTAAGCCCTCCGAACACAGTGAGATTCTTGGATAGGAACATTTCATGATCGCTAGAGGCTTGCAAACATCAGCAGCTTGCCAAACAGCTTGCAAAGCTGAGGCCAAATCCTACACTTTTGTGAAGGCAAACTGCATTGATCCCATTGCTGCTCCTTGTTGTTGATGCGGAAGTATGTCGAAATCTCCATGGGGCAGGTGGTACCCTTGGGGATGTAGCAAAAGGAGCCGTCGCTGAAGACCGCACTGCACGGGCAACGTGATGCGGACAACTTGCAACGATGACGTGCAAACAGGGAATGCGTTTGCAGTCGTGACTCGCTGAGACTTTTCTGAAGTCAACAAAATCTCAAAACTTTGACCATGGCAATGCAACATGTGTACCAACAAACATCAACCTGCATCTACAGTGTGACAAACGTCTGACCTGTTCAAAGCCGCAAAGTAGTTGTCCGCGGTTGGAACAACCGATCCCAAGTACTTCTTGACCAATTCTGGGTGTTCCTTGAATGCACAATCATATCAGATCAGCACGGCCCGAGTTTGTCACAAGCTGTGATCGGTCCTTGATTGCCTCGTTGATGGAGCAAAAAATAACGCCTGCCTTTCAAGCACGAACAGCCAGCAAACACAACATGAGCAAACAGCTTGAGTACGCTAATAATTTGCTGCATATGGCAATCAGCCAACCCGAGAAGCCCAAGGCATCCAAAAACCAAAGTATAGTAACGGAAGCCGAGGTTTCTGGGTGACAGGTCTGACTTATTCTGACTTCTACTTCTATGATCGTCTAATGATGTGCTTGCTATGCCCTTCTGTCATCTTCTGTCTCCCCATGTCTCCCCATGTCTCCCCAGACCATGCACCTCTTCCAACTCTTTCTGGAAGGTTGTGCCGATGCTCTCGCTGTCAAAGACGGCATCAACCGCCACGTTGGCCAGGCGCTGTGCACAGGTCATCCAAGAGTGCCGTGGTTCTCCAGTGAAAATAATGCATAATACATACATAATACATACATAATACATACATAATACATACATAATACATACATAATACATACATAATACATACATAATATCTAATAAATATCTAATCATACTATATTTATCATTATTCATCTATATTCTTTTTGGCAATCAAACAGATTAAGAAGCAAGGAAAACATGCAATATGTATCAATCTGTATCAATCTGTATCAATATGTTATTTGCGCAGTTTTCATTCAGCTCCAGCCTTCTGTTCCGTAAGCGGGATTCCAAGCTTTTCAAAGGTATTGAGTAGCTCAGGGTCAACCTCTGCATGAAATCTTCTGTCAAATGTGGCTGCTTCGCCACAATTCCATGTGTTTGCACACACAAAACGACAAAAAAAGAGAGTGTGACAAACACGAAGTACTGCTAGTACTGCTACCAATGGTTCCGAAGTATGCATTATAGTCGTAGTCATAGTTGTCAAGCTGGCCTCGTCCAAGCTCTGTTTCTTCTTCCTCGACTTTGGTCTGGAATAGTACACGATGTCCTACAAGATCTACAAGCGAAAATAGGTCAAAATCAACCCATGCACTGCAATGCTAGTGAAACTCTGCGATTGTTGCTTGAAGAATCCTAACCTGAAAGTCAATCTCTTCCATCTCCAAGTGCGCCCATTCTGGCATTCGCATCTGCTGCCATTTCCTGTAGGGTTTGTGTCAAACTGTGTCCAAGCACGTGTGGCATACGCACAATCAAAACCCCGTCCATACCCGTTCCATCTTCTAAGTTTCACAAAAGATCTTCTAAGATCTTCTAAGCATTTCTCAGCCGATTCTCAGCTGTTGCTTTGTCCTGAAAGCATTGAGGCGATACTCGAGCATCCAGTCTGGTTCTTCTTTGATCTCCCAAATTTTTCGAACGATGTCCTGACAAAACCGTCACCAGTATCACCAAAACGAATAGATCCAATAGCAAAGAGAACACAAGTGAACAGTTCTGAACACAACCCAAGGGAAACCAAGGGAAAGGGCGGGCAAAAACTTTCGAGAGTCAGCCTGAGTCAGCAGAGTCGAGTCTGGGTGTCTGGGTGCCATGTGCTGTGCCTCGTTCAGACCCTTTGGCAAGGACTCTGATTCAATATCGGTGTAGAATCCTGCAGTGTACTCCTGTCAAAATGTCAAAACAAAGCCGCCAATTGGCTGCCAATGCATCCCACATCATCCCACTCAGCTCGAACGATCCACAAAGCTTGGTTGACAACTTGCCAAGCGCAATGTACTTTGAGATCGCTGGGTGTAACATGGTGTAACAGTGTAACTGCATATTCATGATCGCCCATGCATTAACACCATCGACAAATCCACATTCCACCAATTCTGACACTTTGAACATGAGATTGATATGAAATGGACCTTCTTTGATTCTCTCAGATCTCTCTGTATCTTTCAGTTACGAGCTGTACTTTATGTACTTTATGTACTTTCATTATCTTTCATTCACATCGCTCACATCACATCGCCGCACCTGGTCCAAGACTTCGCCAAGCTCCGCGTTCTGTCCATCGCGCAAGGCCACCGCCTCGGTGCGTCGGTACCGTGTCGGAACCGTCTCCATCGCTGAGCATTGGCACCGTGACTCAGTGACTCTAAACTCACCACAATATTCCAATATATTGTAATATAATATTGTAATATATGATGCAATCTCACTCGCCGTTCTCCAAGCTTTGAGAACAATCCTCGGTACGTCTAGAATCATCTAGAATCATCTAGAATCACCTGTACATACACACGTACAAACACACACACACACATATATATATCTATACACATACATATACACACACACATTTATATATACATACACGTATATATATATATCTAGACATAGACACATATAGATAACATATACACATACAGTGTCAAATAAGTGTCAATAATATATATATATATTATATTATATTATATTATATTATATTATATATACACACGTATACACACATTGTCGTTATTGGTTTTACCTCGTGACTACATAGTTCTGAATGGCTAGTTGCACAATACCTGGCTGCGAAAATAAGAATGTTGAGACATGTTGAGATTGCATTTGGTTCGGAGGACAATGCAGGCAATTCTGGTGGCCTCTTTCTGCTTGACATCTACGGCCTGAACCTGCCATGCTGACCAACACGTGCAAGTTAAGATTACAGGTAGTCACAGGTAGTCTTAGTTTTAGTAGTTTGACAAGCGAACGATCGTCGACGCAGAAGAGAGCTGAAACTTTTGAACACAAGCAAGACTCAAATCGCGGTCATCTTTGGCACAAAGCTATGTACACAAGGAGTTCTTTGGAGCTGCAGAAACATTGCAGTCACCATGTCACCATCTTCCCTTAGGTTCAGTGATCTTTGGGGCAACGTGTGCAAACTGACCATCCAGCTCCATTGCAAATATTACCTCAGTGGCAACATCGGGACATATTGGGACACACTCTGTTTCACTTTCTGACTCATGCTCATGCCATGTATCTGGACTGTCTGGACTTGTGACATCTGTCATCCAGTGACTGGTTCTTAGAGTGCTACAGCGGAGAGCAGCTGCTCCAAAGCAGGCTTTGCAGGTCAAAGGAGCTCCCCAACAGTTCTGAGTGACAGTCGACATTCTGACCATTCTGTGCTTGTTTGCACTACATCGCTGAAATAAAATGTTCCAACGTGTTCCAACGTGTTCCATGTGTTTCTGTTTGATGGTCACATGAACGCTGAAGAATTTGGACACGATCCACAAACAGAAAATGGAAACCAAGTATGAAATTTCGGGATAATAGAGTTCTGGCATGGTCTGTTAGCATGAGACGGCAAATAGATTCAGATAGATAACATGAGATGCTTTTCTTCATTTGTCATCTCATGTTGCTAGTGCCTCTGGGTGTGGTTTGTGACCGCTGCTAGGTGTGGTGTGGTCGACAGATTTCTGTGAGCACCGTACCTGACATCTGCGTCCTCGAACAGTGCTGAGCACTTCTCCATCAGCGCTGCCCGAAGGACCTCCGATGCCCTGCGCATCACAGAAAGATTCTTCCAAATCAACAAACGATTTCATGTTTGATACTGTTCGATTCATATTGGATGATTGCATATGATTGCATATGATGGCATAATATGACCAAAAAATATGATGAATCCGTTGTTTTTCAGTGCAGCTTCAGAAGGGCTGGAATAAGGCTTGCCTCAATTAAATTCACACTGAGACGGACTGTCCTCCAAGTTGTCGTGAACCAAGCCACGTCCACGACAAACAGGACAGGGAAGGGCAGGCCTCAATTAAAGAAACATAAAGAAACACACACGCACGCACAGACAGAGTGACTTATGGTAAAAGGATATGAAAGAAACTTGAACCACTGGATGGCGGCATGTGTCTTCTGTTGTGTCTTAAGTTTCAATCCTCCTAAGACGTAACCCTCCAAACCAGTGTAGCAGTGATACAACATATTGATCATGCACATTCTTTGGCCTCTGCTTCCAATACCACGTTACTTGGTTACCAATTGAAGCTTGACTAAGCCCCACACATACCATCGCATGTTCCGCACACCAAAATGCCATGGCCACCACAACCTTCACAACTCCTCCGTCGGACCACAAGTCTCAAGAGAACTAGCGAAGCAAAATCTGCAGTTTTCACGCTTCCTGCAGGTGCGACTCTCAAGCAATCAATTCATTATATGTACATATAATATTATGTTAATATTATATTAATATTGTATTATATACATTACTATACATACACACACACATACACATTTACATATATATATAATATTACATAATATTATAATAATTATACTGTATTAGATCAGGATATAGCAGGAATCAACTGCTTGTGCATCATAGTTTTGTTTTGAATGTAGACATAGATCATTACATTGACATGGGATACCAAATCCGCTTGCATCGCTGGAGGATTCGGGTGCAGGGGCCAACTTCTACGATCAATCAACTTCGGAAGTCATGTCCAAAGTTTGCAGCACCGGATCACACGGAGCCTCCGGCCGTATCCATCGCAGAAGCGACAGTTGACAACTTGCTTCGCCTTTGGAAACCGACTTTGCTGTGGGCTTGCGGTGTTTTCAAGTGCTTGCTGATTGCTGGAGCTGGCCCAACGTCAAGTGTCCAGTCTGGATTCAAAACAAGATCCAACTTGGATTCAACGATGCAAACAAGATCCGGAGTGTGATAACTTGTCCATGTTGGACGGCCTGCATCTCTCTGAGGCTTCGTTCCACCTCCTCTTCACCGGTGAAGGCCGTGGAGGAAATTGCGAGCCTGTGAAGATCTGTGATGATTCTCAGCTACAAAGTTGAAGACATTTGAAGAATGTGAAGTTTAGGCACCGAAAACCAGCCTGCAGGAAAGAGCTCGAGAGCAATATAAACCGATGCATCCTGCATCCTACGGTGAAATTGACACGGAGGGGCAGCCATAGTATTTCTTCAAAGAGTCAAAGTCTCAGAACATCTTGAGACTCAGGAAGAATACATTCCAGCTTGGGGATCTTGGGTCTCCTGGCTGTCCAGTTCTTGCTTCACATACGCTCAGACTGTTTAGAATCGCCGAAGAAAAAGCAAAAACACCCTGGGGCGAAAAACCATGGCGAACGCCGTTTCAGCATGTTTCAGCATGTTTCAGCCTCCAATTCTTGTTAATGATTTCCATTGATTTCCAACTTCCATCCGACCCTTCAGCCAAGACACATGCCAACAGCAACGCCACTGAATCCAGGCCTCAAGGAATATCTGACAGATATGACTCCAGAGATTTTCCGAGTCGGGCACAAACACCAAGACTTCACGACATTTCACGACACACGAGAAAATGTCGCTTGGTCTTTCTGGAGATGCTGCCTGTAGAGAACCTGGTTCTGGAAAAAGCGCCGCAGCGTCCCGGTCAAATCAATCGGGCCAGTTACTGCAACAACCTTGCCGATTCAACTCACGTTCAAAACAGATCATGTTGAATCTGATCTGCTTGGCATCTGCAGAAAGTCACCTACCTTCTGAAAAAACTCAGATCTAGACCTCTTGCCCAAGCAAAACTCCTGCACAAACTGTGTCCTGCGAAGCAGGACAACTATAGCCAACTTGCAAGAATGAGCAACGTCAAAATAACGTCTAGTTCACCTTGTAGCTGTTAAAAAAACTTTGCTGCAAATGTTGAAAGACTGTCGTCTGAAAGTTTACAGTAGATACACAGTAGATACAGTAGCATGTTGTCCAATTCTCTTTCAGGTGCTCCAAAACTGCCAGTCCTGGCCCTCCTTCAGCTGCACCTTCACTTCACCTGAAGTCTTGCTCCAGACTTGAAAGACTTGGTGAATGATTCCGCTTAGCTTTGCTTCAAACGCTTTGCTTCAAGATTTGAAAAGGATCAGCCCCACCTGGGACATCCCTGTTCCACGCCGCCTGACCCAGGAAGTGAAAAAACATGGTGCAGCTGAGTGCAGCTGAGTGCAGCGCAACGCTTGATCACTTCGTTCCTTCACTTCGTTTCTTCACTTCGTTCACTTCGTTGGTTCGGAGACTTTGGCTCGGTCCATGGCCTCCCAGGTCTCCCCTGCTGTCTTTGGTGTAACCCGGGGTTCAGCGCAGCGGTGCCTGCGAAGGCAACGTCAATCAGAGAACCGAGAACCAACATGTTTGCAACGAAGAGACTAAGTGCCAAGTGAGAGCATGCATGGTCTTGAAGCTATTTGTCTTACCACGTACACACAAAACAATATATAACATTTCTATACATTTCTGTCGACCATCAGGCTTGCAGCGCAAGATTTGCATAACTGCTATGACACAGTCATGCATGAAAGTTTGGTTCAATTGCGCATAATTCCCAGGACCGTGTGCCCAACTTCAATTTAGAAAGGTGGATTTGCACATCCTCAAATAGGGTCTTTTTTGCTCATTGCTTGACCACCATCAAATGCCCTATAGTGTCAGGATTAGTGGCTCAAATGCAAAGCCCAAATGGCCAATGTATGTTTCAGTTGCTCCATCTCTTTTAGTCTTCCAGCCCAGGACATGAACTGCAGGCAACCGGTTCGTGTTACTATGTAAACTGATGCAAACTCTTTCTTTGAGCCCCTCTGTATAACCTCTGTGTGTGAGAGAGTGTGTGCGTGCATAACTAACTAGTACAGTGTGCCGCCAGTATCTACGCAAGCGGTATGCCTTTCCTACGAGGGTCAAGCCGGTACCTACTCGTTGATCTTGTCGGGAGACCCTTACGTTTTCAAGCATATTGGCGTACATCTACCTATCCGGAATCAGTAAAGGTAGATGCATCAGTGCGCGTGTGCTCGCACATGTGTGTGTGTGTGTGTTGTGTGTGTAAGTCTAGGTTGCAAAGCTTTGGACAATACGTCCTTTTTATGATTCTTGACATATACTGAAACATATACAGTACATACATATACTGAATACGACATCTGAATACAGTGTATTGAGAGAGGGGGGCCAATGACGTGTTTGAACTCTTCCCTGGCCTCCCCGGGCGTGTCTGATCTTGAGGGAGTACAGCCACTGAAGCCTAAGTTACATTACCACTTGTCAATACTTATCATGAAACAAGGCTCAAAGGCTTGAAGGCTGGAGTTGACAACGACTTTCCAAAAACTTCCAAGCAGTTTAAACAACCGTGCAATTCTGTGCATACTGAGTGTTGGACAGTGCTTCTCTCCAGAGGGCCCTTGTCGTGGAGGAAGAACCCAAGACCTTCATGTCCAGGAATTCCTTTGCTTTCCATCTTTGTTGGCAAACCAGTGACCTTCAGAACTCGAAGAATAACATGCGTTGGCAGTCCAGGAAAAGCTTCAGGGGGCGGCTCACAAGCCATGGCCAACACATCGAACTGCCCTTCCAATGCAAGTGGAGTTCCATCATCGGAATCTGACTCAAGGCCTGCCGTGCTTAGCATCGGCAGGAAATCTGCTGCAATCGACTTTTTGGATGTCTTGGACGTCTTAAACGATCCATATCCACGTCGCTCTTCACCGTCAATAGGAGCTGGTTCTTCAGCTCGTTCAGCTTGCGGAAGGCTCAGGAAATTGAAAGCCATAGATTCAACCGGATCAAATCATGCATCGTCTCTCGCGCATGAGGTCTGCTGTAGGCACTGTAGGCACCATTTTGAAAAAAGTGGAACCGGGAAAGGTGGACAACAGTGAAATTGTTCGAAAGACAGAACCAGAACAAGTAATAACAAGTACCTACGCGTCGTATCACTTAGTCATTTTGTGTTCACAAATGGTTCATGGAACTCGTTCTGCGTCTCAGGCATTCGGGTCTGACGCTTATGTCATGGAACCATACTTCCTCGTCTCAAGGCTGACTGCTTAGTTTCTTGAGCCAAGCTTTACATGGAGAAAACATGGATGGAATCACTGTGCTCAATGTGCCAACTATTACACGTTTCTGGTCGATTGCTGGCTGATGTTAGCACAAACAAAACCGAAGAAACACCTCGCACCAAACTCTTGACAGGCTAAGTGCTATCGGATATCGATTTTCACTGGTTTCATCGCTCTACTGCTTCTTCTCTGTGCACAACAAAGCATAACACAACTTCTTCAAACATCACGGGGCCAACCTTGATGCCATCTCTCACACTTCTGATGCGCCTCCTGGTTTTGAGAAGTGCAGAATGGAACAAAGCAGAACTGGCGTCCACTAGAAGACTGTGCTTGATACAACGGTCTGTCCAGCCTGACCTCCCAAAATGACTGCACAGAGTGCTAAGGGATGCTAAGAGTTTAGTTCTCTTTAATCACATGAATGTTATGCAAACTAGAATGCGGCCGAGACGTGCGAGAAAAACTCTACTGGTAGCAAGGATGCAATTGGCACTTGATGTTGCGGGGCAGTCCATCCAACACTTTTCCCACCGGTGTCAGTGTGCAATTGAGAGAGAGAGAGAGGCCGTGTTAAACCCGACCAAAGGATACCAAAGCCAAATCTGGAATGACCTAGGAAGGAATGGATGGATCCATGAGCGGATAGAGGCGAGCCCACACGACTGTGTGGATGTACTGCAAGCACATGTGTTCACAAATAAATGGAATGGTACGGTATGGCACTGAATGGGCATGAATGGTGTGGTGTCGGATTGGAAGGGCAGGTATAACATGGTAAAGGCAGATCATATTGTATATAAAGGCATCCATTGAGCACGCATGCAATGAATGCAATCACATGTATAAAAACTTCATGCATCGTCATGCCATTGAATGCAATGTCACACAATTCTTTCCTGTGTGATTTATTTGTGCAACCCCATTTGTGTTCTGTCTTCTATCAAAAGGTGCCATACTGCCGTCTTCAACCTGAAACCTGAGAAGGGGGAACGAAAGCCAGCATCCCACCTACCCATATTTTACCCAAAAGATTTTTCACCCACAGACTTTTCACCCATATACTTTTCACCCACAGACTTTTCACCCGGAGTCTTTCACCCATACTTCTCACCCATATACTTTTCACCCACAGACGGTTCAACCATACACTTCTCGCCCACAGACTTTTCCCCCATATACTTTCCACCCACATACTTTTCACCCAGAGACTCTTCACCCAGAGATTCTTCTTGCACAGACCTTTCACCCGGAGACTTTTCACCCACAAGCTTTTCACCCACAGACTTGTCACCCATGTAATTACTTTTCACCCACAGACTTTTCACCCATATACTTTTCACCCAAGGCTGTTCAACCATATACTTTCACCCAAAGGCTTTCACCCATACATTTTTCGCACACAGACTTTTCACCCACACTTCTCACCCTCAGACTTTCACATATATAATATATACTTTTCGAGTTTTCACCCATATACTTTTCACCCAGGGGCTTTCACCATTTTTGCCAACATTTTTTTCACCTCACCCACAGACTTCGCACCCTGAGGCTTTTCACCCATACCCGTTTCACCTGTATACTTTTGACCCACGGGTTTTTCACCCACACACTTTTCACCCAGAGGCTCTTCACCAATGTACTTTTTACCCTCATATTTTTCCCCCATATACTTTTCACCAACAGATTTTTCACCCATATACTTTTCACCCAGCGACTTTTCACATATATTTTTCACCCACAGACTGTTCAACCATATACATTTCACCCCCAGATTTTCCACCCACAGACTCTTCAACAATATAATTTTACCTTCAGACTTCCCCCCATATACTGTTCTTCGTCCATGTGCTTTTTCATCCATACACTTTTCGCCCAGAAACTTTCCACCCACAGAATTTTCACCCATAGACATTTCACCCACAGACTTTTCACCCACAGACTTTTCGCCCGCAGACTTTCACACATACACTTTTCGCCCACAGATTTTTCACCCGCAGATTTCGCACCCTCAGACTTTTCACGCATACCTGTTTCACCCATATATTTTTGACCCACCGACTTTTCACCCACACACTGTTCACCTACGGACTGTTCAACCATAAACCTCTCACCCACACTTCTCACCCACAGACTTATCACCCGCAGACCTTTCACCCACAGACTTTTTAACCACAGACTTTTCACTTATATACTTTTCACCCAGACACTCTTCACCCAGCGAATTTTTTTCCACAGGCTTTTCACCCACATACTTTTCACCCACAGACTTGTCACCCATGTAATTACTTTTCACCCATCGTCTTTCACCCATATACTTCTCACCCATATACTTTTCACCCAAGGCTGTTCAACCACATACTTTTCACCCACAGACTTTCACCCATACACTTTTCGCACACAGTCTTTTCACCCACAGACTTTTCACCAACAGACTTTGCACCCTCAGATTTGCAACCCACACCCGTTTCACCCATATACTTTTGATCGCACCCGCGCACTTTTCACCCACACACTTTTCGCCCAGAAACTTATCACCCACAGACTTTTCCACGCACAGCCTTGTCACCTTTCTCACCCACAGACTTTTCACCCATTTACGTTGCACCCATATTTTTCACCCAGGGACTCTTCATCCAGAGACCCTTCTTCCACAGACTTTTCACCCACAGACTTTTCACCCGCAAACTTTTTGCCCTCAGACTTTCAGGGATCCTTACGGTTATATTTTCATATTTTCATCACCCCTTTCCAAAGTTTCCTAATTTCACATCTTTTACCGACAGAAATTTCTTCTCCATAGCGACTGTGCCTCCATTCACGGACTCTTACCTCTGCCCTCCTCACCTCATATTTTCATCACCCCTTTCCAAGCTTCCTAATTTCACCAAAAAATGCAAAAAACATTGACGGAGCCGACACAGCAGTCTCATCTTCTGCTATGCTAACACCCCTTTCGAAAGCTTGCTGATTTCACATCCCGTGCCGACAGAACCCAACAAATACAAGTCGGCCACTACAGTCTCGTCCACATCCTCCAGCGACCATTCCAAGCAACGCCTTTTCCCCTGACTCCCTTCTATTCCAGTCTTTCCCAAAGCATCGTAACTGACAGAAGTTGCTTCGAATCCTTACGACCATGATGGTCCGACATCGGAACCCCAGTCGACGAGTACATTCTCGTCCACATCCTATACTGACAGAAGTTCCTTTTAATCCTTGCGATCACAATCACATCGGAGCCCACCTATACTGACAGAAGTTCCTTCTAATCCTTGCGACCATAATGGTCCCACATCGGAGCCCAACAAATACAAGTAGATGGCTACATTCTCGTCGACATCCTATACTGACAGAAGTTCCTCAGAAGTTCCTCAAGCAATGCCTTTTCCTCTGACTCCCTTCTATTCAGTCTCTCCCAAAGCATCCTATACTGAAAGAAGTTCTTTCTGATCTTTGCGGCTTTGCGACCATAATGGTCCCACATCGGAGCCCAACAAATACAAGTCGACGAGAACAATCTCATCCACATCCTTCCGCAACCTTTCCAAGCAATGCCTTTCTCTCTGACTCCCTTCTATTCCAGTCTTTCCCAAAGCATCGTAACTGACAGAAATTGCTTCTAATCCTTGCGACCATAATGGCCCCACATCGGAACTCAACTACTGGCAGAAGTTGCTCCCAATCCTTGTGACCATTAAGCAATGCCTTTTCCTCTGACTCCCTTCGATTCCAGTCTCTCTATCGCCTCCCCAAATGCACCTCCGAGGACGGACCATCAAGCAATGCCTTTTCCTCACATCGGAGCCCAACAAATACAAGTCGACAAGAACAAGCCCAACTACTGACAGAAGCTGCTTAAGCACTCCCTTCGATTCCAGTGTGTCCAACGCCTCCCCAAATGCACCTCCGACGGCAGACCATTTTCGGCGATTTTCCCAACGTTTCACTCCATGGTTTTACTAGATTTTTCCACGTTTTTACTCAATTCTTCCATGGTTTTATTGAATTTTTCAGTGGTTTTACTCAATTTTCCATGGTTTTGCTCAATTTTTCTAGGGTTTTGCTCGATTTTTCCATTGTTTTACTCGACTTCTCCATAATTTTACCCTTCCATTCCGGTCTCCCCAAATGCACCTCGGAGGATGGACCAGGGGGGAATCGATACCACACCGTCACCCAATTGCCACCTGGTACATAACCCTCAAAAAGCTCCAATTTACACCCCTCCCACTGCACCTAATTCCGTGATTTTGTCACCTGGCACGCTCTACCCCCAGACCCCCTATAACTCACTTTGTTCGCAAAAGGAACTTCGCCTAGCCTAGCGGCTGACTTTCGTGATTGTTCCCCAAAAGTTTCTGGGGGCCACTTCATTTAGTATATTTAGGTGTACTTTTCCTTGGGTGCAAATCTGTGTCCCTTCCAATGCCAAGTTTTCCAGGTAGAAGCGCATGAACCCAAGAAAGCGTATTGAAATAATTTGAAATACTATATATATAAAGATCTATAAAACTATATAAAAGTTATATAAAGCTGCTAATCTTTCTGTCTCCGCCAATAAACCCCCGGTATTTAAAAGCTGTCCTTGATCGTGCTGCCGCTGTTGCTCCAAGAACACCAGCCACAAACACCTCGACCACGGTAGCCAGTCTTCTGAGACGTGAAGTAGGACCAAGTAGGAACTGTTCATGTTGGACTCTGTTTGACTCTGTTTGACTCACTGTAGCACAGGCCACAGGCCAAGATCTTGGCAGAACCGGTGGCAAGTGCACACGGCTGCCACTGAGCTTCACCTGTCGCATATACTTCGCCAAACAGTGCTGCCGTGCCATGCGTCAAGCATCCAGCAAAGACTACAAAGACTATCAATCCGACTTTTCAAATTTCAAATGGGTTCAAAGACATTTGTCTCCTTTCATGGACTTATGTCCTGTGGGTCTTGTGCTGACTTCTTCTGTTTTCCTCCCCTTTGAAAGTCTTGCAACTCTACTGACACTCTTAACTCAAAGAGCTAGCGGAGCAAACCTTGTACGGGCAAAGCGCTTGATGCCTGCGGTGCAAGTCACATTGGATGGACTGATTGCAGAACTGATTGTAAATTTTTTAAACTGAAAGCGATGCGCACTGCAATTTTTCGATTGCAAACTCTGTGAAGGCCCCTGTTCTGTGATCAACATGTCTGATGTGCCTGAGCTCTTGTTGCCTGGTTGACGCCACGAAGCGCAGGATTCACAAAAGCCTTAAAAAACCAGGAGAGGTTGGCGAGGAGGAAGAACATGGAACTGCATGGAAGAACCAAAATCCATCAAGATCCATCAAGATCCATCCATGCTTTCTACATACTTTGTAGCTTTGTACTGAGGCTTCGGACAAGCTCTGCCATGGCTCCGAGCCCGTTCCAACTATGGAACTTTTCTTTGAGCTCAAATAGCAGAAAGATCGAAAGAGAGAGACATAGAGAAACCGAGCATAGCAAAACCGAAAGAAGAAGATCCAAAAGCAACGATAACCATGCAAGGATTGTTTCTTGGAATCTGAGCATCAAGCACGATCAAATGAAGCCCTGCACAACGCGGCACAACATATCAACTCTGTGATAGTTCTAGTATTAGTTGAAATGCACAATGAGTGTGAAATGCAGTGCCTGCCCAAGCACTGATGGCAAACCTTAAAAGAGTGACTCTTCAGCTTGGATCCCTCTGCGCCAGGAAACCGAGAACATCGAGAACATCGAGAACATCCGAGAACCCTGCTTCCAAAATGAAGACTTCAAACATCTTCAAAACAACTATTGCCAATGATTCATGTTTAGAATGTCGCAAGCAGCCCAAACACTTCTTTCACGTCTTTCTCCAATAGAAAACGGAGTCCCATCTGTACAGAACAACCAGCCGCAATCCAATATGTAAAATGTGAGCTTCATTTTGTGAAGCCATGAAGTCGCAGCTGCATCGCAAAACTTTGCACCGGAGCAGCTGCATAGAGCGCTCCAAACTGATGTAGCAATCTCGTAGCAAGTAATCTCAAGATATGAAAATTGTCCCAAGTCATCTATGGCTCCTGTCGAAATATCGGCAGTGAATCGTAGTCTCCAAATGTCTCCAAGCTATTTGCCTCTGGCAGCACCTGCTTGAGGCACTAATCTCGAAGAGCTCACCGGGCACCTTCCCAACCAGCCATGGCAGCCTGCTCTGAGGAGCCTGGATGACAGAACACAACAATACAACAGAATACAACACCAAAAAACACACACACACACGTCTTGCAACATTTCCGAAAGTTGTGTACATATATTATATGAATTATATGCACCTATGGGTCAGCTTCGAAATTGCTGAAGCGGAAAGTGAACGCAAAGGCGTAAGCATGAAGTTCTCCTACAAAGCAGAACCGCCTTCTCTTCTTTCATTGGGATTCAAATCTTCAAACCTCAAGAGAAAATGAACAAGTGACTGGGATCAGATGATGAGCAATCTGGGGATGGGGCATCAAATGGCACACATGCAGCTACCAGCTTTTACTCTCCAAAAGTATGGCTCCGGCTCCATTTCATCTGCCCATGAGGTTCCTTCATGAGGTCCAGGCCCAGCACTCTTTTCCGGTGCAGATGGATTGTGTGGAATGCCTTCAAAAGGACAAGCAAAACTGCATCAGCACCATAGAATGCAGTGGTGTGATGCGTGCAAATTGGCAATCGATGAACCCAGCTTTGCAACCACTACCAAGGGCAGCAACAATGTGGCAAAAACGGCTCAGGAAGAAGAAGAAGAAGAAGAAGAAGAAGAAGAGACATTAGAGCACATAAAACACACATCAAGTCTGGAAAGCCGGTGACTAACAAATGAACAGCGGGAAGAAATCAAGAAAGCAAAGTGGAAGAAACATGAAGAAACAAAAAGACGTGACAAAACGTGAGCATGTTCAAAGACAATGAAGACAATCGTTCTCATCTGTGTTCTCCCCACTTTGTTCCATTTTTCGAGCTTGTGTTCAGCTTTCCGATTTTTGTTTACCTCTAATGATCTTGCGTCCATTTTGTTTAGTTCAGGCGCAATTAGACAATGCTAGCGTCCCAACAAGAACTGGTGCCACTAGCCAGAAACACAACGCTACATTATGCATCATTATGCTACATTGTTATGTTCTACTTTGTAAATTTGCTTGCGAATTGGTTCAGGGTCTCACCTGAACCTTGGACCGCTGCCTAGTTTTTGGTGAAAGTTTGAGACATCTGGAAACGAGGTTCGGAAACGAGATGAAACGAGGAGCTTTGAAAAGAACCTGAACTTTTCGAGACCTTTGGTGCCTTTGGCGCCTTGGAGACATGATGAGAGATGAAATCTTGGAAAGTGTTCAGTTGAGCTCTTCAACCTCCGGAACCTCCGGAACACCGGAGCTTTGGAAAAAACCTGGGAACGCCAAATCAGTTGGAAGCTCAAGCTTCCACGGTGCCACCTCGGCCCTGCCCCCAAGAGAATCCAAAAGAATCTAAGGACATTTTCAGGGAAAAACAAAAAAATGCAACATAGATCGATCGAAATAGATCGAAATAGATCGAAATAGCAGAGAGATGCAGAGAGTCCAATGGGAGTCCAAGCCTAGCTCCCTAGCTCCCTAGCTCCCTTCCTCTTGCCTTCCTCTTGGCTTCCTCTTTATTTTTTTTGCTACAGTATCTGGCTATCTTTGTGAATTGCTTTGCTACAGTAGATAAATCAGTACGGAATGCCAAGTATGATACAGTATGCACAAATTATCAAAGAGTATCAAAGAGTATGTCAATGTCTTGTATGTTCTTCTGAATTGAGCAAAGCGCCTTGCAGAACTTCCCTCAGCAATCCTTCGTGCTGCCGAACCGAATACCTTAGCTTTGACATGTTTTTGGCTGTCAGGTTCTGACGGTGCGAACTCCAGCAGCTGGAAGTAAAACATGGTAAAAGCGCAGTAAAACAATGTAAAACATGTGCTGTGTGACTATCTGATCATGTTCTGTCATGTTCACTCTTCAAACTTCCACAGTGCTCAAACATGCTCAAACTGCATCCGCGAGGCTCCACTTGAGCAGACAGCAAGTTGACCTCGCACGTCTGCTGTCAACCCCAACACTTGAAGATCGGAAAAGAAATCCAGTCCCTGCCTAAGAAATATAAGAAGGACCAAAGTCACCGAGAGACGCGATGGGATAAACTGTTCAACGTCTCTCTGTTGTCTGACGATTTGTTTTTTTTTGCCGGAGTCTTGTGTTGAACACTGGGAAAGCACCATCAACCAGGTACCATCTACCAGGCCTGCGCACTCGTGAAAGATGTCAGAGACCCCGGATTCTGACTCATTAGAGGGAAATGCGGATAATTGGCCTTAGCTAACTTAGCATCGAAAAGAGACTTTCAGCGTGGCTGGATCAGCGAAAGGACACAACAATGTCAGTAAATTGGCTTGAGAACTGCAGGGCGAAAACATGTTTTGAGTCTAGTTGCGAACATTCCGTCCTTGCCAGCTTTTATCTCCTTAGTTTCTGCACTGGAGAGTTGAAGGTCTGTGCTTCGCAAAGCAAGCCGGGCAAAGAAGTGGAAGCAAAGTTTGACCATCTTTGAAGGTTCTAATGAAGGAACACTTTCAGAGCCGGTTTAAAATCTTTTAAAGTGTTGCTCAAGTTTTGGTGATTGTCCTTGTCGTTGTCAGCAAAAGCTCCATTCAGAACCCAGCCTTCTGCGTGTCTGCTGGAAGCTCGTTCTGGCCAAGAGAGTGGCATGGTGGCTCAAAAGATGCAAATAGATTCAGATGAAATTCATTTAACCATTATTTAAATTATATATATATGAAGTTTACTTAGTACATAGTACTCGTCCAAATTCATGCCCCTTTTCGATCCTTTTCATGTCTGTGGCCGCGAACCAGCCTCAAAGACTTGGCTTTTGTCCAAATATATGACGAGCAGCTGGACACTCCAACCTCTCCAAGCGCAAACTACAACATGTTGAGCAACAATGAGCAACACGAAGCCAAGCAAAGACTGCCTCCTTCAATACCCCACCTGACGTCACACGAGGGAAAGAAGGCAAACAAGAATGAACATATTGCATGGGATTCTTCTGCAAATAGCATGAAGGGAATTCTGAAAATTGCAGACCATACTAGATTCGATAAATGTTCGATATTGGATATTGTATGATATTGTATTGATAGTGTATGAATTTGTGTACCTTGTTTACCAAACATTTGCCATTCAATAACACGACACATCTGAGAAGGCGGCCAGCTATTCTTCAAGACTTCCAGCTTTCTGAGCGAGGCAGCCGGCCTTCCAGCACGCCTCGATAGCGCCAGGATTCTGAATCAGGCGACATCATCGTCAAAGCAAATTTATGGCATGAATTTCCACAGAATTTCCACAGAATCTGCTACCAGAACTGCATCTATGCCTGTGGGTTTGAAGGTCGCAAAGAATCGGCTGGAGATCTGCATAATGGAAAACCTGCAACAGAAATGACAGAAGAAGTCCAGAACTCTGCACTTTCTCGGCCAATGTCCTGTGCATCCCATGTTATTCTGCCGTCGCCTGGTTATGCATCTGAAACTGCCCTGCAATGTGGGAAGCCAATCCAAACTTGTCCACAAAATACCAGGCTGCCTGAGTTGTGTTGCGCATCATTTGTTTGACTTTGTCTGTATCTCTTTGGTGCAGAAGGGTCTGGTGTCAAAATGTGTCAAATACAGGATGCTAACCGAGAAGACTACAAGATCTCAAGCACATCTATTGATACTGCAGTTGATACTGTACCTCTTGATCTTTTTGCATCCTTTTGCTATCTTTTGATGCTAAGAATGCTAAGAATGCTAAGAATGCTAAGATGCTAAGATCATGACTGCACCTTGAAGGTCAGGAGAAATCAGTCGCTTGGAGCCACAAAAGTCCTGCAGTGCAGCCCGAGCCAAACAGTGCCATTGAGATCCATTGAGTTCATTCGACTTCACCAGCACCAAACCAATGAACTGTCCGACTTCAGGCTGATTGGCACGTCTGTGTTGACAAACATCACCACTTGGGGAACCTGCTGGAAATGCCACAAGAGTGAACATCCTGAGCTTGTTTGTGAACACGAACGACATAATTTACACATCAAAACAGTTCAAATCCTTCAGCACAAGTCACTACTGTACAGCTTTCCAAAAGAACAACATGAGAACAACATGGCCTTTCGCTGGAGAATTGGCAACAAACCAGAGTTGTCCATGTGTCCTCCGTCTCCGATCTTGTACTTTGCAGCAGCCTGCTCGAGACACCGAAGTGACACAATGTGACATGTGACACAATGTGACAAAATATTTGACAATGTCATTCTGGACTTGCCAAAGGGAAAACATGGGAAAACGATGCATTTTCATGCTTTTCCTCTGGCTACAAGAGTGACACTCTTTTTAAAAGCGGCCTTTGGGGCAGGAACTCTTCTGGAGGTGATTGGCCACATTGTCGTGACAGGAATCAGTGCCTCATTTCTCCGGGCATGTCAAAGCACATTCTGGGTTGACCATCGGATTCAGCCCAGAAAATCTGTTTAATATGAATCCATAGGGATCCACATCCACACCTCATGGAATTCTCAAGGTTATGATATGTTATGATAGCTTTATATAGCTTATGACTTTATGAATCCATGATAATCCATATTAATCCATGATACTCCAAGGAATCTTCGGGAATCTTTGGGATTCGGCCTGCATGGACTGGCCACCAAATTTGTTCAGGGCTTGGGAGATCATCGCAGTGAAGGCCGCGCTGCTGACTCCAATGGCCTGGAGCAGGGGATGGTTTTGGGGATGGCCTGGTTCGGTAACTGGATAACCCGCTGGATGTTGTAATATGTTATATGGATTTATATGGTAGGATAAGGGATGTGAGGGATGTAAGGCATAGGGGTTGTAGTGATGGTAGATGATGCTAGATGATGGTAGATGATGGTAGATGATGGTAATGGGTCCTAGTGAGGTACAGGGCCGCAATAGCCAAGACCGATGACCATGTTAGTGTCAGTGTCGTGGTGTCTCGTGCTCTGCTTGGCCTTGGCCAAACTGAAGGGCTCTGAAGGAGATGGCATCTTTACCCCGTGTCCTGAAAAGCCACATGGCATGTTTTGGTGGTTTGATGAGGCTTGTGTCGTATCCCGTCCAAGTGCACACTCACATCGCCCTCACATCATCCTTTCATGACAGCGACAGTCGCTTTTCTCCTCCAGACTGGCCCTCATACGGAGCATCGCCGCCCAAAGCAAAGGTCTCCACCATGCCACCGCCAACGACCTCGGAAAATTGGAGATTTGGCCGATTTGGCAGGTCAAATGTTGGTCTCAACAGTGGTATGGCATTGTACCATTTGTACGGCTTGGACAGACGCATGACACATCTCTCAGCCTGCGGCCAGCTTCACGGCTGGGATGTCTGCTTTCGCAAACCAATTGGTTGATTCCTCGTCGTAGTTGATGTGGCCATGACCTCGGTGAAAGACATGGATTGACACATGAAATTTCACCGTATTTATAATATTTGATCATCAAATATTTACTTCTATATCTTCTATAATGTAGTTATATGTAGTCAATGTATTTGTGTTACTACAATTACTACATGAGTTTGTGAGTCCACATAATACTCAGTTACTACTCTGCCAGCTGAGAATCTTGCCACCGGAATAGAAGGGAGACCCAGAAAAGTCTGGTGACATCTGCAACGACCTTTGCTTCCAACTTTGCCAAATCCATAACAAAATATCTCAAATCCATATCAAATATATCCAAATTCATCCAAATGAATTCCAAGTTTACAGCAAGATACTGCAAGTCTGCTATACAATGATATACAATGTATGCATGGATTTGCATGGATCTGCTACGTACCTTCAAACATCCTTGCCACTGAAGTCGACTGAAGTTGCAATCTGTGCTCCCCACACAACTGTGTTGTCTTCAGACTCATGTCCAAGAGGAGCAAGCAAAACACCAAGCCTCAACAGAGCTTAAAATGCAAAAGACGCTAGGTCCAGCAGTCTACAAACCTGGCTCCCGTCTTTGCATGCGTCTGACTTGGTGCCAAGTTGTCTGACTCTAAGCAGGCGGCATAACAAAAGCTCTGGGACGATCTATTGGAGGCACAACAAAATCCTGACATCATCAAATCAAAAACTATCAAAAACTGCTCTCATACTCTCTCATCCTCTCCCTGGTATGCTGATGTATGCTGGGTCTTGCAAAGGAACGGTCCTCTCTCTGTAAATGCGGGTTGTTTCGAAGAATACGTTGCAGGCTCCCCTCGTCTGATGCCATGTACCTGAAGTCTATATTATCTATGTGACTCGAAATGGCAAAACAAACATGAACCGATATGAACCGCATGAAACAAACATGAACAAGAAGATAACTGCGCGAATAGCGTGGCCTTGGTCACAGGGCACTTGCTAGTGTTGCCCAGGGCCAAAGGTTTTAAGAGTATCTGGTCCGCCAGGCGCTATCAAGATTCATGACATGCCACTCACAGATATTCGCAACACTTTCGTCCAAACCTCGTTGAAGGTGTTTACCCAAATCGAGTGCGGATCGTCATGATTGAAAAAAGCATGCTTCAGCAAACCTCAGCGCGGTACCGTAGCACAAATCAGTGAGTAGTGCTTGTGCTTAATCAATGAGTAATGATGAGTTGAGTACAGCAATGATAAAAATGAAAACACCGTCAGAGAAATGCGGGACGGCTTCCAAACAGCTAGATCATGAGCCAAGAGACCGGTGATATCATGAGTAGCTGCATCCTCAGGCAACCAAAACATGCGAGAATTGCCTGACACCAATGCGACAAAAATGCAAGAATGTGTAGTAATCTGTACTGTCGGCAGACAGGAATGGCATGGAATGGCAGTAAATCTAGTAAAGATATTTTGTAAAAGGCTTTCTTTCATGTGTCCAAATTCATCTAAATTCACTCAACATCGACTCAGACTCATCATTCAACTCATTCGTCACTGTTGGGGGCTGGGTCCAATTTATATATACCCACAATATCCATATCTATTCCATCCATCAACTCAATCTAGTTCAACCCTATTCAATCTGCTTACTAATTATCAAACTGCACAGCCTATTGGTATGCCTATCCTCCTATGTTTTGACCGTGCATCACTCTGTGACGAGCTGAGTTCCACACTCCAATGGCACCGGGCCGCTTTGTAAGCTCCTCTTGTACAGCGAACATCAACGCAACACACATACAGTATACACAAATTGACGTTCAAACATATTCAAACTACATTAACCATAAGCATACCATAAGCGACAATGTGCAACACCAAGAACATTAAGATGATTAATGGGATATTGTTGAGGCCCAAACAGCGAAACCTGTGTCCCTTTACAGGGTCTTAGCATGTTTTAGCTGTTCTTTCAATCGTGAAAGCAAAGATGCATTGGCTATTTTAGTGGATCTTCAATTTCTTCAAATGCCGTCCACCATTGCACACCCAGGAACAATCCTGCAGCCTCTCGAGAGCATAAATGTAAGATCTTGCTTGAAGTCCAACACACATGCCAACCGAAGTCATTCAGTGTCCATGTATTGGTTGGTTGACTTTCACCGTGATTCTGACATCACCTAGAAGAAATTTGTGACAAATTGTCATATTTTGTCAAACTGCAGATGAAGCAAAAAGGAATTTTCCGCTTCCATCTCAAACCCCAGTGGCAGTCCGGCAAGGAAAGCTGCGATGGCACTGTAGTCGCTCCCAAAAGAGATTCCTCGCTCATGTGGGAGAACCTGGTATTGCAAATGCTGAAGCAGAAGCTCAAAAGCAAGAAATGAGTTGAAGCAAATAGGAACACTCGTTCTTGTTTTGCTCTTCTCACTCTTCACTCTTCCACCAACTATTCCATCTCCAAAGTTTGGGGCGATTCAATATAAAAATAAGATACAAGTTAGATTATCTAAGCATATATAAGCGGCATGTAGGGACCAGCAGTCCACGTTCCTCCAGAGACTGAAACCAACAAATCCACATGGCTGATGAGGCTGAGATCTTCCATCCCACGAAGAGCTCCGATAGCTGCAACCATCGCCCTTGTACTGCCGCCACTAAGGGCAACTGCGGTCTTCAGATCTTCCTCAGGTGCACTGCCTCTGATTAGTAAAAACATATGCAAGATCTAAGCAACAGTCAGACATTCCTGTCTTGAAGGTTTACAGTGCAGTCATTTTTTTCGAAATCATTCAAACGATTTCAAATGAACCTGTCCTGCCGCGGTGGGAACTTGTTGGATTCATCGTTGATGGGAACAACGTCCGCATGAACATCTGGCATCTTCTTGTGGCACTTGCCATCATCATCAGAGCAAAAACCTTGGTTTCCACCACGATGCTAAAGAGTAGAAACTCATGCAAGGGCAAACAAGGCGATAGACCAAGACTTGATATTGAGAGGGAATCAGTTGAAGTTAAAATCATGTAATCTCGGGCTCAAGTCGAACAATGTGATGCCAAGACAGCATGTGATTGGATATGTAACGAAAGGCAGCGTCAACAGTCTGCAGGTGCATTTAAGTGATGGTTCAGGCCAAGACAATGTGATACTTGTGCAAACAACACTACAATACAAGAGGTAGCAAGCCAAAAAGAGTCTTAACCAAAACAGTTGTACTTGTACTTTTTCAAACTACGTGTGCTCGCAAACTATCCTTTTATGATCTTTTTATGTAACCTTCACATAGATCCTCTCTCGGTTTTCTGAAAAACTATGTTCAAAGGAAGTTTAGGGGGAGAAACTTCCGTGTTACGGACTTTTAGAATGTCAGGGAAAGAGTTAGTCAAAGAAAGAGTTAGTGAGGAAAAGAGTTAGTCAAAGAAAGAGTTAGTGAGGGAAAGAGTTAGTCAGAGAAAGAGTTAGCAAAGAAACAGTTAGTCAGGGAAAGAGTTAGTCAAAGAAAGAGTTAGTGAGGGAAAGAGTTAGTCACAGAAAGAGTTAGCAAAGAAACAGTTAGTCAGGGAAAGAGTTAGTCAAAGAAAGAGTTAGTGAGGGAAAGAGTTAGCAAAGAAAGAGTTCGTCAGGGAAAGAGTTAGTCAAAGAAAGAGTTCGTCAAAGAAAGAGTTAGTCAGGGGAAGAGTTAGTCAAAGAAAGAGTTAGTCAAACAAAGAGTTAGTCAAAGAAACAGTTAGTCAGGGAAAGAGTTAGTCAAAGAAACAGTTAGTGAGGGAAAGAGTTAGTCAAAGAAAGAGTTAGTGAGGGAAAGAGTTAGTCAAAGAAAGAGTTAGTGAGGGAAAGAGTTAGTCAAAGAAAGAGTTAGTCAAAGAAGAGTTAGTCAAAGAAAGAGTTAGTGAGGGAAACAGTTAGTCAGGGAAAGAGTTAGTCAAAGAAAGAGTTAGTAAAGAAGAGTTAGTCAAAGAAAGAGTTAGTGAGGGAAACAGTTAGTCAGGGAAAGAGTTAGTCAAAGAAAGAGTTAGTGAGGGAAAGAGTTAGTCAAAGAAAGAGTTAGTGAGGGAAAGAGTTAGTCAAAGAAAGAGTTAGTCAAAGAAACAGTTAGTCAGGGAAAGAGTTTGTCAAAGAAAGAGTTAGTGAGGGAAAGAGTTAGTCAAAGAAAGAGTTAGTCAAAGAAAGAGTTAGTCAAAGAAACAGTTAGTCAGGGAAAGAGTTAGTCAAAGAAAGAGTTAGTGAGGGAAAGAGTTAGTCAAAGAAAGAGTTAGTGAGGGAAAGAGTGAGTCAAAGAAAGAGTTAGTGAGGGAAAGAGTTAGTCAAAGAAAGAGTTAGTGAGGGAAAGAGTTAGTCAAAGAAAGAGTTAGTCAAAGAAAAAGTTCGTAGTGCAAGCGTTGTTAGTAAAGAAGAGTAGTGAGGGAAAAGAGTAACAGAAAAGAGTAGCAAAGAAGGAAAGGAGGCGTCAGGGAAAGCAGTTAGGCAAGACTAAGAAAGAGTAGTCAAGAAACCAGGTAGTCAGGGAAAGGAAAGAGTTAGTCAAAGAAAGAGTTAGTGAGGGAAAGAGTTAGTCAAAGAAAGAGTTAGTGAGGGAAAGAGTCAGTCAAAGAAAGAGTTAGTGAGGGAAAGAGTTAGTCAAAGAAAGAGTTAGTCAGGATATATGAGGTAGTCAAAGAAAGAGTTAGCAAAGAAACAGTTAGTCAGGAAAAGAGTTAGTCAAAGAAAGAGTTATAGTGAGGGAAAGAGTTAGTCACAGAAAGAGTTAACAAAGAAATTGTTCCCTCACTGTAAATGGGATTGCAAGTGGTGCTGGTGGAGGAGTTGCCGATGGAGTTTTGGAGGAAGTCTCGCACGAAATGCGTTTTTGAGAGATAGGAGATGCACGAAACCCTATGTTTTTCCCATACAAAGTCCGTCCCCGAACCTCGATGATCTACCTCTGCTGTGCGACGGTTGCGAGACGGTCTCGTGTGTGGTCGGATCATTCTCGGATCATGCTCGGATCATGGTCGGATCGGTTCCGCATTGTAAATGGGGTTTCAACTGTTTTTCGTGCATGTGCGGTCGACAGAATTCCATTGTGATTTGCAACTGTAGGATCGTTCCCGCAATGTAAATGAGATTGCAAGTGGTGCTGGTGGATGAGTTGCCGATGGAATTCCATTGTGATTTGCAACTCTAGGATCGTTCCCTCAATGTAAATGGGATTGCAAGTGTTGCTGGTGGATGAGATTGGTCAAAGGAAGTTTAGGGGGAGAAACTTCCGTGTTACGGACTTTTAGAATGTCAGGGAAAGAGTTAGTCAAAGAAAGAGTTAGCAAAGAAAGTTAGTCAAAGAAAGAGTTCGTGAGGGAAAGAGTTAGTCAAAGAAAGAGTTAGTCAAAGAAAGAGTTAGCAAAGAAACAGTTAGTCAGGGAAAGAGTTAGTCAAAGAAAGAGTTAGTGAGGGAAAGAGTTTGTCAAAGAAAGAGTTAGTGAGGGAAAGAGTTAGTGAAAGAAAGAGTTAGCAAAGAAACAGTTAGTCAGGGAAAGAGTTAAAGAGTTAGTGCGGGAAAGAGTTAGTCACAGAAAGAGTTAGCAAAGAAAGAGTTCGTCAGGGAAAGAGTTAGTCAAAGAAAGAGTTAGTCAAAGAAACAGTTAGTCACATAAAGAGTTAGTCAAAGAAAGAGTTAGTCAGGGAAAGAGTTAGTCAAAGAAAGAGTCAGTGAGGGAAAGAGTTAGTCAAAGAAAGAGTTAGTCAGGGAAAGAGTTAGTCAAAGAAAGAGTCAGTGAGGGAAAGATTTAGTCAAAGAAAGAGTTAGTGAGGGAAAGAGTCAGTCAAAGAAAGAGTTAGTGAGGGAAAGAGCTAGTCAAAGAAAGAGTTAGTCAGGATATATGAGTTAGTGAAAGAAAGAGTTAGCAAAGAAACAGTTAGTCAGGGAAAGAGTTAGTCAAAGAAAGAGTTAGTGAGGGAAAGAGTTAGTCACAGAAAGAGTTAGCAAAGAAATTGTTCCCTCACTGTAAATGGGATTGCAAGTGGTGCTGGTGGAGGAGTGGCCGATGGAGTTTTGGAGGAAGTCTCGCACGAAATGCGTTTTTGAGAGATAGCAGATGCACGAAACCCTATGTTTTTCCATACAAAGTGCGTCCCCGAACCTCGATGATCTCCCTCTGCGGTGCGACGGGTGCGAGACGGTCTCGTGTGTGGTCGGATCATTCTCGGATCATGTTCGGATCGGTTCCGCATTGTAAATGGGGTTTCACCTGTGTTTCGTGCATTTGCGGTCGACAGAATTCCATTGTGATTTGCAACTGTAGGATCGTTCCTGCAATGTAAATGGGATTGCAAGTGGTGCTGGTGGATGAGTTGCCGATGGAATTCCATTGTGATTTGCAACTCTAGGATCGTTCCCTCACTGTAAATGGGATTGCAAGTGGTGCTGGTGGAGTTGCCGATGGAGTTTTGGAGGAAGTCTCGCACGAAATGCGTTTTTGAGAGATAGCAGATGCACGAAAGCCTATGTTTTTCCATACAAAGTTCGTCCCCGAACCTCGATGATCTACCTCTGCTGTGCGACGGGTGCGAGACGGTCTCGTGTGTGGTCGGATCATGTTCGGATCATGGGCGGATCATCGGATCGGTTCCGCATTGTAAATGGGGTGTCACCTGTGTTTCGTGCATTTGCGGTCGACAGAATTCCATTGTGATTTGCAACTGTAGGATCGTTCCCGCAATGTAAATAGGATTGCAAGTGGTGCTGGTGGATGAGTTGCCGATGGAATTCCATTGTGATTTGCAACTGTATAGGATCGTTCCCGCATTGTAAATGGGGTTGCAAGTGGTGCTGGTGGATGAGTTGCCGATGGAATTCCATTGTGATTGGCAACTCTAGGATCGTTCCCTCACTGTAAATGGGATTGCAAGTGGTGCTGGTGGAGGAGTTGCCGATGGAATTCCATTGTGCTTTGCAACTGTAGGATCGTTCCCGCAATGTCTAGAAGGTTTCAAATGGTTCGGTGGACGAGCTGAGGACGTAATACCATTGTGTTTTGCTAGGGATTGTTGCTAATCGCATTGTAATGGCTGCGTGAACTTGCTGCAGCTTGATTCTTTCAGATTTTGCCTGCTTTCATTTTTATTTAAATTCTTTATAAAAAACGCTTCAAAACTCAACTTTTTCTGCTCTGGCGTCGAGATCCGGTTGTGGAGCTACAATTTCCGACGCCGTTGCGCGTACTTCTATTGTGTTTTGCAACTCAGTCTCTGCAGATCGCATTGTAATGGCTGCGTCAAGGTTGCTTCGTGCTGTGGCTGTATTCATAATACTATTGTCTTTTGCAGCTCGACTTCATAAATCGTCTTGGAGTGGCTGCATGAAGGCTGCGAAATAAATTTGTTAGCAGATTTTCTCCATTTTGGCACTACTGTTTTTTTGTTGCACGTAGGTTTAGAGCAGTGGGAAGTGTGGGGCGTAAAGAGTGCAGTGTGAAGTGTGAAGTGTGAAGGAAGCAGTGGGAAGTGAAAAGTGTGAAGTGTGGAGTGTGAAGTGTGGAGTGTGAAGTTTCAGTTTGGAGTGCGAAGAGCGCAGTGTGAAGTGTGAAGTGTGAAGTGTGAGGTTTGGAGTGTGAAGGAAGCAGTGAGAAGTGAGAAGTGTGAAGTGTGAAGTGTGGAGTGTGAAGTTTGGAGTGCGAAGAGTGCGAAGAGTGCAGTGTGAAGTGTGGAGTGTGGAAGACTTTGCTTCGTCTCTCGCTGAAAAAATCAAACGGTTGTCGAGGGAAGGACACGGTCGGGACAGGGTGTCTTTGAACTATAGGTCATTTATGTTTGGGAAACTTCCGCCGCCGGCTTGCCCGGGTCTATGTTAATACTGGTATCGCAAACATCATCTAACACAATACCCACATAATTTTCTATTTTTCTATCCATCGATCGATGGGTTGATCTATGGATCGATCTATCCATCCATCCATCTATCCATCCATCTATCTATCCGTCCATCCATCTGTCTATCTGTATCTATCTATCTGTCTGTCTGTCTGTCTGCCTATCTCCCTATCTATTTATCTATCTACCTATCTATCTACAAAAAACAAACAAGAAGGCTTGCAAGAAGGATATCAGAAAACAAGTCCATCAGGGCGCTGGCACGGCCTATAAGAACTTTTAACTTTTAACCAAGGAGCCTGGCTGGCACAAGCACTCACCATCAACACAGCGAGTTGGGCCACGGTACTGGTAGCAATATCCAAACCAACTGCACGTACCACCGGTGCGCTGTGGACATGTCAGCAAATTCTGGTCAGGGACATTGAGAACGCACTTGCCACCTATTGCACAATATCCAGGCTGACAGCGACATTGATTTTGGACACATTGTGTAGGCCCTCGCCAAGAACTACAACTGAAATATTTGCAGGTGCCATCTGTGTGGCCATCACAGAACCTTGCATCACTTGACGCATTGGCAGCAGTCTGTGTCATGGCCGTTTCCACGCCTGCCTTTCCCGGAGCATCGCCGTCTTTCAAAGGCTTGGCATTGTTTTGTGTCGAATCTTTGTGTGGCTGTATCGAGTTTGTGCCGATTGCAAAGGCCGCTGGAGCTTCTGCTGTAGTCTTTTCAGTCTCTTTGTTCCCTTCAGTCCCTCTTTTTTGTGCTCTTCGTTGCAACCATGAAGCTTCACAGCTTCCAGAGGGGAAAACGTCGACCTTGCATTCCGAATCAACCGCGTCCAAAGCGCTCAGCACTTCCAGATCTCCTGTTTCAAGATGGGAGCCCAAGCTGCTTGAGCTTCCATGGAGAAGAAAAGTTGCACAGAGTGCCAGCCACATTGATCAATTGATCACTCAAAGATACTCAAAGCAGAAAAACTCTTCACCTTTCAGGACATTTGCAGTGGCTAATGTGTGGAAAGTTCTCTTTACATGAGATGAATGAGATGAAATAATGAATAGTGACCAGTGGACATGGCTGAGAACCATCAACACAAGAAGATGTCAACGATGAATTGTCTTTCTTGAACCTGTTTGCTGCATTCACCTAAGCTCTGTAAACTCTGCAAAGCTGGTTAAGCGCTTTTGGCGTAAATCAAGCTGCGACAAGAAAGAGTCAAACTACGTTCAAACAAGACAGAGAATGATGCAAATAAATAAGCAGCATGGGCAAGGAGATGCAAGGAGAGAATCGTGCACGATTATAATCGATTATACAAGTTTCTTGGGCAATAAAGACCAATACCTATGGCTTCTTAGTTGGCAGCCAATCCGGCACATTGGACGCCATGCAGCAGCTGACTTTTCAGCGCTCTGTTGGCACCGATCATTGAAAGAAACGCATGAACATTTCAGTGTTCGAACCTCGGCAGGGGTTTCGAGAAAATGCCAAGCTAAGAAAAGGCAGTCTTTCGTATTACACAGAGAATTTTGAATCCACAAGAAACAAAATTGCAGTGTAAGCTTGTGGCGAATCATATACTCTCCAAAAGCTGCAAGCAGATTCACCTCCAGACTTTTCGGACAATCCCACTTCTCTACTGGCTCTAACATTTTCAATGAATCAAACATAATCAAACTTGGCAATTCATCAGCTGGATAACGCCGGCCTGCTCAGGCGTATACGAAGTGAACTTGCCAGAGTTCTGCGAGGACCTTGCTGCTCCGTGCTTTAGCAATCCGCTCGTCGCGGTTCTCATCTTGCAGTCATCCCATGTCACGCTGAGCCCAAGGCGTTTTGAAATGAGGCCAGTTGGCAAAGCGTCCCCACCCTGCACAAAGCTGAAGAAATAGCACACAATACTGTAACACACAGTGGATTTCAAAAACAGTAGCAATCATGTGTGATTATACTATATATATAAGTACAACTATGAAGTTGTAACTACGTATCATTTGAACAATCCTATGTAATCATATGTACAAATCAAACACATGATTGAACGTCTTGTATCATCTTCTGACATGCTGCATTTTGCATTTGGGCAGTCTTCATCATTTGTGAAGCAGTGAAGCTGGGTTAAACAATCAAAGCTTGGCAAAACCTTACCGGTTTCATCAAAATTCATAAAATGTGCCCAGGTGTTTAGAGCAAAGAAGTTACACTGAAATGATGGCAAGGCATGTCAAAGCTGGGGATCCGGCTGCCCTTTTCCACTTCCTGCACAGCAACAAAACCATGCACTATGGTGAAATGATGTCCTGCGAAACCTGCCATGGATGACCATGGTACGTATAACTTGGTCATTCGTTTTTGCTCCCCTCGCATCGTCCGTCTTGCGGCCTGAAGTGTTTCTGGTGGAAGGTTGACCGTGAAGCGCTTGCAGCTGTTCAAGTACACAAAAATCACAGACCTCAGCACGGCACTTTGTGCTTTGTGCATGCTCTTCAGTCAAATTCGGAAACTGCTGGGACCGCTTCAGTGTTACGTTGTGTCACCTCCTAGGGAACTCTTTCGTGGGGAACTTGCGTCAACTACGCCACAATACCACCTGTTCGGAAAACAAGGTGTTTTCGCAAAGAAGTCTTCATGTAGGAACACCGCGTCGCTCAAGATGTTTGTTCCCAGTCGAGTGCGAATGATCGCATGCCACCAAGTGACACTCTCCAGTTGCCCTCAATGCCCCATTTGCTGTTTGCTAGCACCTCAAAGAGCGCTCACACAGATTGAAAGATGTGCAAAGACAGGCAAATGCACGGACACCTCCATGTCTTGCTGAACAACTAGCGCTTCCCCGGACTTTCGCTTCTTCCTCAGCTCTGCTTGCATTCTGCGACAGTGTGCGACAGCAAAATTACAGGTGCTTTTCTTCTGCTCACAGCATACAGTTCCAATACGTACACATGGAACATCATAAAACAATGTGACACCTACAATGCATCTCCCTAAAAAGGTATGAAATCATCATACTATCAAAGGCTCTCAAACTTGCATAGGAGCTTTGCCAAGTCATCAGAGTGAAAAACCTGCCATCGGAGAAGGCACTGTAGACGCTGGAGGTGATGAAAGGATATAAAAGGACTCCAAAAACTGTCAACAAAATTGTAAAGAGATACCGCTACCGTAGGTGGAAAATCTAAACGCTAAACATCCAAAACATTCCAAAACTGTAAAAGAAAAAATAGTAAACACGATCTAAAACAATCTATATTAATGTGATTGATTGTGATTGCAAGACTGTGGCTCCGTGCCGCATGCCTGGCCTGGTTGTAGATGAGATACTCCCCAGGGTTTTCCGCGACATAGCCAAACTTGTCCAGCAAGTCATTTGAAACCTGCTTTGGTTCTGCTTTGTTTTTTTTTTGGTTCTCAAGTTTGAAATGGGCAACGATTCTATTCAACACGTGAAGGAGTTGAGGATGTGCAGTTGCAGAAGAACAGGCCTTGTTCTTCAGGGACAACCGTAGGACGTTGCCATCGCAAAAGTCAATGTCCTGGCAATTTGTTTTCGAAGAGATTCAAAGGCTATCAAATAAATGCTGAACCATCAAATATTCCTCCCACACCATTCATGATCAGCTTTGACATAACATGATGAAGCCTCAGCAAGCTCTCTGTTCGTCCCGAAAACAGCCACAATCTTGGGCACTTTTCTCTGCAAGAGGGCCATCCTTAGAAAACATAATATATCATAATATATCATAATATATCATAATATATCATAATATATCATAATATATCATAACATATCAAAATGCATTGATTCGATGGACCATGCAAGCTGCCCTGTTTGCTTGCGGAAAACTGTCACACTTGAGTAAAGTGTCATGCCAGTGTTGTCGACTTCAGCACCATCCTCAATATTCAATTCCGAAACAGTGTCTGTAAAGAAAATTCAAAATGGCAAACAACTTTGCTGCACGGTTTTCTCTAACCACCGCACTAAGCCTCCTGACACCAAGCTGATACTTCAGCGCGGGCCTCACAGCTGAGACTTACCTTGAATGCTGGCTTTAGGAAAACATTGTGGCATAAAAAGGGCCAAAATGATAGTGATCGTAAAACCTTGTCAATTTTCACGATCCACGATATAATCTTTGCTATCTACATATTCCATTTTCTATAATTGCACACACACACGCACACTATCTCTCTCTCTCTCTATATATATATATATATTCATTTATATATGTCGTACCAGTAGATCCAGCCGTAACGCGCAAGGCGGTGGCGAAAGTTTCAAAAATAGGAAACCTATAGGAGAGGTTTCTTGTTGTGAATCACGGATGGCAGAGCGAATCCACTGATGGACTGAAAGGTGGTTGGAGTTGTGTATTTTGGAGCGGTTACAATGGTTGCAGTGGTCACCTGGTCGGTCACCTCACCCACAACTGCTGGATGTAGTGTGGTGTAGCGCAGCTGTGGTTGTAGTTGTAGTGTAGTGGAGTTGTGGCTGTAGTGTAGCGTAGTTGCAGTTGCATTTGTGGTGGTGTGATGAATGTAATGTAATGTAATGTATTGTAATGTAATGTAATGTAGCGTAACGTAACGTAACGTAATGTAATGTAGGGTAGGGTGGTGTAGTGTAGTTTAGTGTAGTGTAGTGTAAAGTAGCGTGGTTGTAGCTGTAGCTGTAGTTGGTGTAGTGTGGTGTAGCGCAGCGTAGCGTAGTGTAATTAGTGTAGTGCAATTACTGTAGTGTAATTAGTGTAATGCAATTAGTGTAGTGTGGTGTGGTGTAGTGTAATTAGTGCAGTGTAGTGTAGTGCAGTGTAATGTTATGTAGTGTAGTTGTAGTTGTAGTTGTAGCTGTAGCTGTAGTGGTAGTTGTAGTTGTAGTGGAGTGGAGTGTAGTGTAATTGAGTGTAGTGTAGTGTAATTAGTGTAGTGTAGTGTAGTGTAGTTGCATTTTGCAGTTGTAGTTGTAGTTTTAGTTGTAGTGTAGCGTAGTGTAATTGAGGGTAGTGTAGTGTAGCGAAGTGGAGTGTAGCGTAGTGCAGTTAGTGTAGCGTAGTGAAGTGTAATGTAGTGTAGTTGTAGTTGTAGTTGTAGTTAGTGTAGTGTAGTGTAGTGTAGGGTCGTGTAGTGTAGTATAGCGTAGTGTAATTAGGTGTAGTGTAGTGTAATGTAGTCTAGTGGAGTGTAGTGTAGTGTAATGTAATTAGTGTAGTGTAGTGTGCTATTGTGTAATGTAAGTGTAGTTGTAGTTGTACTTGCAGTTGTGGTGTAATGTAATGTAGTGGAGTGGTGTGTAATGTAGTGGTGGTTGTAGTTGAAACTGCTACAAACTCCTCACGTTTTGCTCGCTTTTGACAAGGTGCACAATCCCTTGCACCTGCCACGCAAAACGACATCTGAACGTCCAAAAGTGGTCCAAACATTACATTTGGTGTTTTTTAACATTTTGACATTGAAATGTGCTTCGCGCCACACGGCGTGCACTTTTTCGACATGTCAACTTTCAAAAGTGCTCCAAACCTGCGTGTGTTTTGTACATTGTGACTTCCAACTGTGCTTCGCGCCACAACGGCGTGCACTTTTTCGACATGTCAACTTCCAAGAGTGCTCCGAACGTGAGGTGTTTTTAGCTTTTTCACTTGCAAATGTGCTTCGCGCCGCAATGGCGTGCAACTTTTCATCTCTCATTTGGCCAGATGGCTCCGCATCCGCCGCTTTAGCGAGCCTACTTTTCGACCCTCCAGTACCACAAATCATTGGAAAAACACAGTGAATCGCGACTTTCCTACCTTTTCGCGCACCTGCATCCTCTTTCTTCTCATTCTTTCTCTTCTCAGATCTTCTCTCTTCTGCTCTTCTCTTCTCTGACTCTTCCCACCTCTGCTTTTCCATCTCTCTACATTGTCGGAAGTTTGACTTCTACACTTCCTTCGATAATACAGTATATATATAGAGTTTATACAGTAAATGATAGTAAGTGTATATATTCGCGTATTAGTATTGTATCTGTATAATATTGTCATATCGTATCCCGTACACTGCATATTGACAATGCTTTGAATTTTGGTGCTGTTCACACTGGAGACAGTGCTTTGGAGAACTTGCAACGTGCAAATCACTTCATATGAACGACAACTGCAAAGCAAGGACATGCATGGACAATAAAGCCAGCAATAGCCCCAACTGAAACTTAATGCGCTTCTGCTGCAATGGTCTCAGGCACCAATGGCATCTTAAAGTGACATAAATTAGGAGATGGCTTAAGGTTCTAATAGCTCGACCGGTGCAGTTTGAACTTGTTCGCCTTGTTCGCGAAGTTGTTTCTTGTCTGTTACACACTATGTTCGACTCAGCCTTTGCTGGATGCCAAATGTTTCAGAACATTTATGCATAACGTTGCATAACATCTATGCAAATTTCATGTGTAGCTTAAAGGATGTCATAGGTCATTAATGACTTTGATGGGCATTGCTAGCTGCTATAGCATCCACTGACAAGCCTTCATGCTTTCATAGGTCCAAACTCTGCTTGAAAGAGTGAACAATGCTTGCTGAGCACTGCTTAGATTTGGTTTTTGTTTTCTGTCCCGGCCTCCAAGTGGAAAACTTATTCGAGGTTACTGGCCAGACATCTTTGACAGGCAAATATTCTTCAGCCTAGCATGGAGAGTGCTCTGCCACAATCTAGAGTTTGCTTTGACTCTTTGCTGGTTTTGAATCGAACCAATGCCTTTCTCCTGGCCAAAATCTCCCTGCCTCGTGGCCAATTACAAAGGAGGCAGCGCTGGTGAGCCAGCCTGCCTTCGAGGCTGCAAATGTGCAACAGGTGATGTCTCACTGGCTCGGTGAGAAACTGTTGAAAAACCAATGTTGAGCCATCGAATTCCATCGAATTCCCATAGTGCAATCTGGCGACATTAACCAACACGGAGGCGAAAGCTGCACTGCTGATACCGATTGCGTCAGCGAGGCTGAAGGCAGTTGGAGGCGCCTGCCATAGGCTTTCCAGTCAACATAAATCAACTCCGCATGCACAAATAGCAGAGTTTTGTCAACATCAGTTACAAAATTGTGTATGAAAGCCGCAAACACGTTTGAAATTTATGCATGTTTGTGGAGGGTCTCTACAAGGGAATTCAAAATTCAATGTGATACTGCTTTGTCTTGCACTGCACTCAACTGTTGTGTATTCTGACACTTGATATATTGCGATGCTTTGGACGTATTTTGCAATGCAGCGATGTGTTGAAATGAGTACTGCAAGAGTGTGCCCACAGACACGCACACACACACAGACACATATACACACGCACCTTTCTTTGTTTGCGCGTGTTTCTTTTTGTGCAGGTGTTTGCGCAAGCAAAGTAGGTGGATCAAGAAGCTTGGGGCAGGCGGAGGGCAAAATAAATTCCACAGACACTGCACTGCAACTTTTGACACAGAATGCGTTTGGATAAGCAGCTAATCATCCCTGAAGGGTTGTATCAGTTGCACTGACTAGCGCATTTCTAGCCATGGGTTCTCTAGGGAAGGCAGCACCCACAGTCATTTACTAGAGCTTGCCTTGTAACTGCACTGATAACTGATAACTAATATATTTTCGTAGAACATGGAGTTGCGAAATGATCACTTTGTATCCCAGTAAGATGCCAAAGTGAATGACTCAGATGTATTGCATTGTGTTGTGTACCAGACTATGCCCGCATGCCCGCGGATGTGCCGAAATCTGTATATATTGCATAAGCACATTCATACATGTTTCATCATGTTTCATCATGTTTCAATGTCTCTCCCAGTACTCAAGTACTTCTGTCATGCGAGCTGATTTTCACGCATCCCATCAACTCTGCACTCTGGAGTCTCCTCCATTTCAACGGCTTCTCCGCCCATTTGGCCTTGTGCCTGAAATTCAACAAATCAATGAGGTGACAGCATGTGACAGCACAAATTTGATGGGCAAAATTTCATGAAACGATGAGAAGCTGACGGACGAGGGTGCAGAACCGCCAAACGCGAAACTTTCCTCAGGCACTCTCACAATGCCATCTTTGCAATCTCGCAGTCCCCTACTGGCTCGCAAACAGAACATCCAAATATTTGCAGCATTTTGAAGCAATTTGTACCAGCGCTTTGCATGGCATAGCGCTTTGATATCGAATTTGTTGCATTGAGTAACATGGAGAAAGCATGAGGATCCTGAGGTAGCGGCAACGAAGCCACCACCGACCAAGAATTCTCGATTGTCTTGCCCTTTATAGTGGACCAAACTATCCTGGCAACAGGGGACCTGTATGTGTTCTTTTGCCGGAGGGCAAACCGGAGACGGATGGTCCAAACTTCACTCTGCTTGGGCAAAAAAATAAAAGATTACAAAAGCATACAAAAGCACCTTCAAGATTGTAGTCTACACATCAGTCGAAATGAAACTCCTGCTGTCACGGATTGCATACATTGGCATACATTGGCGGCTCCTTTGGATAGAAGGGAGATCCAGTGTAGTCAGGCGACATCTGAAGAGACCTCACAATTTGTAAGTTGAGCTTCAGAGAAATCATTAAAACATATTAAAACCTATTAAAACCAAAGCAAACATTGGAATCAGCATGGAATCAGCATGGAATCATGCTTTGATGCTTGCTGCTTGCTGCTCTCTGGGTGAACGAACACTGCACTTGTCTCTGTTGCGAGCAAGCCGACCGGGGCCAGTATTGTGCCACCCATGATGTACCTTGGCAGCTTTGGTATGCAGCCATTGGAGCCATTGGATGCCGTTGGAGTTGGAGGAATTTCTTGTTTTTGATGGTTTTTGTTCTCCCCTACTTACATGTTTCACCTTTGTGTCTTGTTTTGATCATGATTGGCCACTCTCAAGCTGCTTGCAGTGGATTTCTTGGTAGTATTGAAGCTCGATATGTCCAGCAAAGCTTTCAAGGCCAGAACGTCTTTGGACGCAAAGGATTGGGCACCTCGCTACACTGAGACGCTTTATGAAACTGTCTTGGCAAGAAGCCTTCCCCGCAGTTGCCGTTTACATTTGTTTTACCTCAATTTACCTTTGAAAGATGCAGAACGCCTGTCAAGATCTGTCAAGTCCATAAGTAGTCATAAGTAGTGATGAGTCTTGCAAGTCTAAAATGATCTAAAATGTCTAAAACATAAAACAGTCTCATCGGGTCTACAATATTCACTTCGCATCGCTAAGTTTCCTGCTTGGAACTGATCCGAGCTGAGGCTGGGGTTTCGTCTCAAGATTTCTTGAAGACTTTCTTCGTTGGCTGCCATGAATTGGCTCCTGACGCCAGATACGTGTGGATCATGCGTAGATCTGTGGATCGCGGCAGATCCTCTAAAATCTCAATCTGAATCTGTCTGACTTCAAAACAACTGCCAACAGTTTGCTGGTCACTCATACCGCACCATGCCGCACCTGTTGGCCAACCCGAAGGGCTCCAGAACAGCTTTTGCGTAGCTGTCAATCCACATTTCATGTGGATTGTTAAACTTCACCTAGGATGTATTTGAAGAAAACAAATCGGAATAGCCGCACTATGTTTAAGTAGAAGTATGAGTCCATAGACCCTGCAAGCAGTGCAACAGTCAAGTTGCATTGTGCCACAGCAAGGAAGTAATGCTTGTAGTGGCCACAGCCTCAGGCTCGCATTCATTTTCAAGCCACCATGGAAACAGAACTAGAGAATCACCAAAATGAAATGAGAAAATAAATCTGCAATGAATCTGCACCAAGAAGTGAAGCGAAGTGAAGCGAAGCGAAGCGAAGCCAACAAATCAATTCGGCCAGAAAATTTGGCCTCGGAATCCTGGGAACCCAACACCAAGCCTGGCTGGCGTCTTAAGCAGCCGATCCATAGTCAGTTCATTTGGGGTGGTATCTTCGCCGAGTAGTTCCTGCACACTCGTTTGAAGATGTTTGAAGCATGAACATATCACAATAATTTACAATGTCCTTGTATCCAGCGTGGGGCAGGCTCATGAAGGCCAACCACATCCCAACAAATACTATGGTTGGACATGATCATCAGCGATAATTTATAGTGGTTACAGGCTGATGCTGATGCCAAAAAAAAACATCGTTCTATTTGATCCTGTCAGAACACCTGTCCTTTATGCTGACGTCCTTGGCAAACATGTAGATAGAAGAAGCCCAAGTTCCACCAGAAACACTTGAGATCGCATCTACATGTGGGATTAATTTCAAACTCTCCAAAGCTCGAAGGACCCCCATGGTCACAGTAAGAGCGCGAGAGCCACCACCACTGAAGCAAAGTCCAGTGCGAAGATTGACCTCCAGGGCAGATCTGGAAAGAGTCTGGAAAGAGATTGAAAGAATCTTTGGCCCTGGACAGCATTACTCCACAAGTATGGTCCGAGAACAAAACCTTTTGGGCACTTTCTGCCTGGGAGGATGGGAAGTTTCTCTGCTGCAAATTCACAGGAACCACATGTGCCTTGATCCTCGCTTTGGGTTGGTGGCAGCTGCCATCATCGGCACTACAGTATCCTGCCTTGCAAACGCATCCTCCGTCGATGCAGTCCACTGCTCCTCGATATGAAGAGCACCCGAAGAAGCGACAACTGCCCCCAGTATCTCGATTGCAGGTATCCGCCACATGAGCGACATTTTCTTGTTTACGCTCGTTGCAAACACCAGCTGTGGCACAAAAGCCTGGCATGCAGCGACACTGCGACGATTTGCACATTGTTGGCCCTCGAGAGGACGAACAAGACCAGAATCGGCAGCTTCCACCAGTGTGCGAATCGCAGTAAAACTTGGATGCGTTGGTGGACACCAGTGTGTGATCACTCTCTTGACTGCCCAAAACATCTGAAGCGTTTACGCCAGCTCTGCCCTCCGACTGCTGAGAGTGATTGCTGTCGGCATCGCTTTCCCTCAGAGGTCGCAGCGTTTTGCAGGTCCAGCTTTGGAGAGTAAGGAGTAGGAAACTCTATACAGCTTTGGTTACAAGATTATACAATTTAGGTTCAACCGAACCGATTACTGGGTGTCAGCGACGTTGTCTCTCCCTCTTGACATCATGCAACTGTACTATTCACAGTCGTGTAGCCCACCAAAAGGAACTGACAACGTCAAATTGAGTGACATACTTTGTTTGGTGACCGCAAGATACAGTATGTGCTGGTATTTTCATACAAATTTGACAATCGTTTCCTTTTTCTGTGTCATGTCAGTCATCATAGATCCACTTGCTTAGTTACGTGCCACTTTCACTAGAATTGTATAATACTGTCAGGGAGATTCCTATGCAACTCCCCCTGTATTGTGCCCAAAGGCGCAATCGGCAGCCTGGAGGATTTGAATCATTTTGAACCTACATCATCTACATCTACAATGTCGTTACAAAGTCTGTTGCAAATCTGCTGGCGAAGGTCTCACTCAGGCGTTTGGCCCGACGCTGAATCCAGCAAGCTGCATCTGGAGAGCTCCCACAGCTTTGATCCTCTGAACAAAGCTGAAACCTCACTGAAACCTGATCCTGTTGAACATTCGGAATATTTCGGAATGCCAAACTTGAGAGCAAGCGGGAGCGCTCCTTTTCCCACCTAGACCACCACCTACTTTGGAGTTTTCAGACCCTTTAAGCTCACTTTGTTCGCAGCAAACAACATCAGCCTGCTGGCCGGCTTTTGTAAATAACGCCCCCAAACTGGAAGCCATGCAGCACCATAAAACAGCAGCAGGTTCCATACAACATCGTACAACGCATGCTGACGCTACGTTTCCTGATTTCTTGGCCTTTCCACGAATGGCGTAAAATTGAACATTGTCAATCCTGACGGTGTGATTCTTATCAGTCCTCCAAATGCAAGCCCGCTTGCAAATCATCGAACTCCACACTGCTCCCGTCGGCCCAGAGCAAAAAACATGTAAAGCTCAGGCCGAGCAAAGGCGACATGCGTGAAGCTCGCACAAAAGCAGTTGAATAAGCTGTCCAGCACATATCTTTCATGTTTGATTTTCTACAAGCTAGAAACAAGTAAAGTTGACTAGAAACACCGATCTCTCGTTATGTAATCATATAGGCAAAGTATGTTGGTTGTCTTGGTTGCATTCTCAAACACATGCAGGCTACTTAAATGTATTCCATATACATTCTATGGTCGTGGCATGCCATCGCCATCCTGGAGTCTGTTTGCGTCACTTGATTGATCGGCCAAGCATTGGCTCTATGCTTTCACCGTCTATTAGATCTTTTAGTAAGGTAGAATTATACTTGAAATACTTGAATAAAAAGCCAGGTAATCATCAGATTTCAGATGATTTCACTAGTGAGCTGAACAGGGACTGACTAGTACGCTACCGACGCGTAATTTCTTGAGCCTCCAAAGAAACAAACACATGTCATCAGGTTTCAATATGGCATATGGATGCATGATGATGCATGTGGAAGGATTCCCGTTTCCTCATTGCCCAAATTTGCCAAATAATCCGTTGTGAAATGTTGTGAACACGTGTGGACTCACTAGACTGTTCATATCTTTTCACACGGTACTTTAAGCGAGGCCAGAAGAAATGCACAACTGTCATCAACTGTCCACGTCTCCTACTGTATACAATGGACTGTGGCTTTCACACGGTATGCGGATGCTTTGGAGCCGTGGCACGTTCGGGAAGCCCCTGAATCTCTTGCGGAAGCATCTGAGAGCAGTTGAAGCTCTGGGCCAGAGCCCTCAAACCCAAAGAAATTTGTAAGTTGAGGCGCACTCCGTGCTTTGCGGCATCTCCTTCTTCGGCACGTTCGGGATCGCCAGGGACCAACACCGACTGTGTTGCATCCCCTGGTGGAAGTTGTCGCATGGTCGACAAATACCCACTGAGAGCTTTCTGGAAATCCCCAGTTGGCAGTAACTTTGTGGGGTCGATGCAAATAAAGCAATGTCCGTAGTCCACTGGTGTACCACGATCCACTCTCCAGGGAGGCACATCCGGGCCCACTTTGTGGCAACCACTTAAAACTGCACACAAAATTTCAACCATCATGTTCAATCCATAGCCTTTGTAACCAGCTGTTTCTTCCAGCCCTCCTAAAGGAGTCAAGCCACCTCCCACGAGAACTTTTTCTGGACTAGTGGTGCTGCGAACTCCTGTGTTGTCAACGCCCCATCCATGAGGAATCTGCTGGCCCTTGCGATGGCAGACTTCAATCTTTCCTACTGGCACAGTGGTCGTAGCCATATCAAGCTGAAAGCTATCTCCGTTTTCTCCTGGGCAGTAGCATGCTATCGGATTAGTCCCTCCTGCACGTTGACAAGCTCTGGTCGGAACCATAAACGGGCTTGTGTTGGTGAAAGCAAAACCAATGAGGTTTTCCTTCAACGCCAGTTCTGACCAATAGCCAGCGATACCAAAGTGGTTACTATTGTGGCACACAACGAAGCCAACTCCCGTGGATTTGGCCTTTTGAATGCATAACTTCATTCCGAATTCTGCCACCACAGCACCAAGTCCATTGCATCCATCCACATTTGCCGCACTGGGTGAATCCGCTGATATCTTCGGGTTGGCCGTAGGATCAATCAGCCCTGCCTTAAGCTCACCGCAATACATCTCTGCCCTGTTTACACCGTGTGATGGTATTCCACGACAGTCCGCTGCTACCAACACTTTTGCAACCAAAGCAGCTTTGTCGGGAGGAGTTCCCACGGCTTTCAAACAAGAGGCAACTGCTTCTTCAAGTTGGTCCTTCTTCACGAAGACATCAACACCTGACTTCACTACATCACTTGAACTTCTCACCGTCTGAACTCTTCGCAACTTTTCCAAGCAAATGCCAATGCCAACCCCAACAGCAGCGGCCGCAGCTGTCTGCCACGGGAAACCCATGAGAGGATACTGGAACGCCCGGCATGAACAGCACCTAACAACTATGTGACATTATGTGACTATGTATTTAAGATATTTTAAAAAGCACCGGTTTGATGAGTACCAACAAATACCAACACCACTTTCATATTTCCAGAGATTTACACCATGCAATGATATGCAATATATGCAATGTGAATGTTTATTTATTTCTTTGTCGTGTTGGAACATGCAAAGCAATTGGAAAAAGTTCATGTTTGCTTGTCAAAATGCCTGTCAAGCAACGTAAGCAGCTGCTTAGAGCCAGAAAGAGGACAGAATTGAATAAGAATCTGAAGCTAGATGAAACTAGTTAACATATGTTAACATCACTTGAGATTTGATTCCAACACAGTTGTTATGCCAGTTCCAGTTGCTTCTGGATCTATTCTCACCAAACGCGTTACAAAGACATGAAAATTGGGCCCTTTCTTCGCCGGATCCTAGTGATCTGGCCGAGTGCCAGTGGCATCTTTGATGGGGCTGGTGGCAGGTTGAGCCGTCCCCTTGGGGTGGGCTCTACCGTGGCCAGAAAAAATCCGGGAAGAGCGCTGCAAAATTTTGCAGGATTTTGAAGCTGCTTCAAGCAGCTGGGCCCATGGGCAATCGCCAATCTCTGTATCGGCAAAGCTGCACAGGCTCAGATGAGCCTTTTGGGAGGTCTACAACAAACAGTCTTCAGAAATACAAAGACAAACATAGAAACACACGCCTAGGAAAACACCAGTTTTTTAATCTTGGAATTCACAAGCCATCAGAGACTTGTTTGTGATGTACCAGAGCCGTCGGTTGACGAATTGTGCTCAGAGGAACCAAGGGCCGCACTCCGTTTGGAGCCAACCCAGGGTGCAAAAAGCGGTTTATTCACTAGCTGTGCTTGTGCGCCTTCCTGAAAAATGAAAAACAGTTCCGATCCAGTTCGTTTGAATGTCTGTTTAAAAAGAATAGCTGCCAGTAATAATTTTCAAGGTTTTAGCCGGAGCGAATTGCTGTAAGATCAAACAACACAATTCGGATCAATTCGGCATAGCTTGGGAAGCATGGCCTATTTCGCGCTTTTGTGCGTGTTCTTCGGAAGCAACTGCGTGTACCTCAATATGTCGCGCTCAATTTCCAAATGCGCTAGACTTCATCCCCTTGCTACATCTTGCCACCCCATGGTGTTTTTTCTTGCCAGTTCTTTTTCCCCATTGGCAAATGTTTTTGTTGCTTTGTATTGAGTGGAAGACATGATAAGCTTTGTCAAATGCGAGAAGAGGGTATGTGTCATAGCTTCGACATTCAGTAGAAAACCGAGTTGCACAGCACCCTCGAAAGGAAAAGCTCGGCCAGTTCACCTGGGGCAAGTAGCTTGAGTATTGCAAGTTGGAGACATCTCCAAAACTACCGTACAACAAACAATTCTCATCTCACTGCGAAGTCTTTGGTCAACATTTGCACGTCTCTCTGCAAGTACAATTTACTCCAACCCCAAAGTCAATACCTCTCAAGTTTGACCTAATACAAAACTCTGAGCGGCGTGCTGATTGCAGAGTCAGTACAAGCCATGCAAAAAGAACGTAGAAAAATGACCAACCCAGAAGCCAACCTGCAGGGGCCAACGGAGACAATGCCAACCACAAACGCACGTTCGATAGTGTATTGTTGCCATAATATTGACATAATTAATGACCCAAATGCAGCAACAAATGCAAGCTCTAGACAGGTTGCAAACAAAACGCCGCCGCTTTCAATTTTTTCAGGCCATGACCTACTTCTTCATGAACCGGATTGTCTTGGATGCCCAAGTCTGTCATCCAATCCTGAAGCTTCGGACGAGACATGACAAAACTCAAACATCGAGAACTTCAAAACATCTAAATCTCAAGACAAATCAAGACTCTATGTCAAAGTCTATGTCTATATCTGCCTAACTCTCTCTATCTGCTCTTAACATGGAAAGTCACAGCAAGTGCGCCCAGCAAGGCTCCTCTCCACTTCGCTCGCCCAAAGTTGTCACCACCCCTTCAGGATCAAACCTCAGTCTCTGTGTTGGTTCGTCTTGGCTTCCATCCCTGCGATTACACTATGATTAATTGATTAATTACTACAAATCAGGATCTTTAGTATTGGGATGTGCTATGAATGATCGGCATGAAATTTTGACTGAGGAAATGGCTTGAACACCATGCCGCGCATCTCATTTGCGGAGAGCATGTTGAAAGAAGCGCGGAAGATTGACACATTTCTCAGAACCTTGGGAGCAATGTTTCGACACAAAGCAGCACGAATCTTTGCAGTGCAAGAGACTTGTGCAGTGTCTGTTCTCCAGTGTCCAACAATGTCCAACATCCCATGTTGCTGAATTGCTATGATTTACTGATATCTTTGTTCTTCGATTGTATGTTTTTCTTGGAAATTTGTCGTTTTCGTGGGTTGTTTATTGCCGCATGCTGCCGCATGCTCAGCTTCTGATCGCCTCTGAGCCCTTTGCCCCTTGTTGCGTCGCGAGTAGAGGACCACCGATCTGAGGAAAAGAAGCATTCCACATATGTCCAAATAATTTCCGTAAATCTAGTAAAGTATAGTAAAGTGATGTAAAGTGCATAGTGCAGTGTCTGATGGTGAATCATGGTGTATCTTCTGATTTGTACAAGAGCGGAGCAGTCGAAGATGCAGGTGACTTGAGCTCACAAGTCTCAGGGCGCACCAGGAGGAAAAGAAGTATCAGCAACACTGCCAATGGTAAAACCTGGCAGAGGTCTTCACACATGTGCGGACGAGCCGCTACAGCTGCTAATGCAAATTGGACATCATGCAAGTTCTTCCAAGCGAGGCGGCTTTGCAGCCCCCGATCTTGGGGCAGTAGCTCCCAAAGCCAAGCCTCAGGAAACGAGATGAAACAAGACCAAACCAATCCAAATTATACTCCACACATCTCTACATTTTCAACACTGTACACAAATAAGATTCAGAATACTTCATGCCAAGCCATGTCCAAACAACGCCAGCAACAGTTGTTCCATAAGTTCTTTGTTCTTCTCCAAGGTCAGTGCAAAAGGTTGAGGCAACCTTGCATGAGTTGGACACTTTCAAATGCTGAAACTCCTCAACATTGCATTTTCTAGAGCGCTGGGTGATAGCACTGTGAAGCTATGATTTGAGGCACTTGCGAAAGAAGCCAAGCAAAAACCGAGACAGCAGACTGCCTCAAGAGATGCAACACGATAGGGTGTCTGCCCTTTGCTGGAAACTCTTGTACTCCTCCATCTGCATCAAACATTTGACCCTTAACGAGCAGTTCGCATTTCTTCGGTTGTGTCATGTTGTGTCTTTAGTTTTCTCGTTCCCATTATTGCTAGAAGTAGCACTGGTTGCTGAATACTGATACATCCTGATTGCTTGAGGGAAATAGACATTGCAGATCTATGCGGTATACGACGCTAGTGACTGCTAGTGGTGCCTGCAAAGGGCAGGTGCTCCTTGCGCTCAATTTAAATCTTGTTACAATTTGCTACATGTGACCCAAGCGCACCTCTCTACCTGGCTGCAAGCCAGCTAGTAAGTAGACGATGCAGCCTAGAAACGAGCAAAAAATGTAAGAAGAGAATAGAAGAGATACAAACATGATCAACCATGTATGAAAAGGATTGAAAAGGTCAAAAAATGCAAATCTGAAGTAGATAAAAAAAAAACAAAAACATGAAAAAACAAGACATCAGAATTTAAGATAATTTAAGATTGCAAAACAAGACTGCGACCAGACTTCCACGATCCACGGCTTCATGAGCTTCCAGCACATCAGAGCTGGCGGACCAACCTGAGGACTCGGAATTGCATTGTGGATAATCCTGAAGGATCCTTAAGGTATCTTCAAAGGATCCTTAAGGTATCTGAAGATTGTTTTCTTGAGTGAAATGGTGAAATGTAATTGAAATGTAATAATTGGTTGTGGAATGTTGTGGAACGTTTCACACAACATACACAACCATCGCCACAGGAGTTAGCGCTTTTATGGTCAGTGGAACTGCCAGTCGATTGCTACATGTAGACTCTCAAAGTCGAGAGCTACGTCTGAGTTGTAGATTGCAATAGCTGTAGATGTAGCAGCTGTTTTCCAGGTTCAAACCCACAGGCAGGAGAATCTCTAAAGAAAATGCGCAGCAAATCCCAATGCGAGTAGGAAAATGAATCCCAATGCAATGGCACAGTCCTCAAATTCTTCGGGAATACGAGACACATACGAGAGTGAAAGGGAAGGACGTTGAGTTCAGTTCCCATGCCAAACCCATCCAAACCCTAGAAGGATGAAAGGGGATGAATTGTTGGATGAAAGAGTGTTGGGATCACGGGTTCACCAGGACCAAGGACGGGAGAAAAAGAAAGATGCCATAAGACGCCTATTTCATGCTTTCGAATCCAGTTAGCGAAACACTTTCTCTAGATCTCTCTGGATTCTATTCCTCAGAAACGTTATATTCGTGGTCGTAGATATACTAGCCAGCTTAGCTGACTAGATGTTCATTGATACTTTGTCTCATTGGGGATAGTCCATCCCCTTCCTTTTCCAGCACAGGCCCGCTCTAGCCAAGGAAACACAACTTTCCGAAGCGCTTCCACAATGAGAATGCAAACAATGAATCCATTTCCATCATCTGAACTTCCAAAAGCAACTGTCACCAGGAAATAGATGACACACAAAGGTACTGCAAGGGTATTAGAGCAATGAAAACAATCACTGCATTTATGTGTTGATGCCCTGTTGCCACGATCGCAATCTCAGCCGTGAACTCTCAAAAGGATTGCGTCCATCACTACCTCCGGCTTTGCTGCAGTTGCCGTGTGACAAAGGGAGGGCACTTCAAAAGAGTCAAATTGGATTGAAAGAGAATGAAAGATGACTCGTTACATTCTGACACCACGATGACCTGACATGACCTGACAAATAAAAAGAGAATGTGTAGTCGGCTGAAGGAACAGAACTCTTTGGTAACACAAGGAATGGGTGGCTTTGCAGTGTCTTGGCAGAACCAGTATAAAAGAGGGATGCTCCGAAGAATCACTGTCCTAAGTCACTAAGATTCTCAGCTCTAGCAACAGCGACAATGTGTTTGCGTGGGACCCTGCCTTTGCAATCACGAAGGTGCCAGTGTAGTAGTATCCTGCAGATCGTGTTTCAGTACCCTTTAATGGTGTCCCAGGATTGCATCCTGTTCCAGCCGTCGTTGGCCACCTTGAGCCATCTTGGTGTCTTGCTTCTTTTTGTGATTTAGTCTAGAATCGCACCAAAAAAAGAACCAACAAATACCAAAAAAAATAAACACAGATCAAGAGCATTTTCCCAATCGCTTCCTGCCGCACGTTCTCGTCTAAAGCTTGTATAGCCTTCCCGCCAGGCCAGTAGGCCCTGCAAGGCCTCCAATTCCACGCAGACAGTTTCTGGCTGATTTAGAAGGCTGGAGCCAGCTGCAGCTGAAGCACACTTTAGTGGACCAGAACTCAACTTAGCATGTCATTGCAAGCCTCAAATAGCCTCAGTTTCCTTTGTTCTGGATGGCTTGTACTGTTGTACCATGTTGTACCTCTTACCCTCTCTTGAGATCGCGAATTCTCTTGAAATCGCACATTGCTCATGGATATATGTACATGCTATATACTATTTGAGAAGGAAAGTGGATAGCCAAATATAGGAGAGACAAGAAGAGAGGCAGAGAGGTAGTGAAGTGCAAATAACTCAAAAAAGGGCGAGCGCACACAGTATCAATGATAACAGGTAAGAATGAGACTCCAGCCACTAACATTTCAGCAAATACAACCCCCCCTACAAAGCTGATTCTGCAAAAAGAAAATACCACAGTGCATCACAGTACAATCAAAATACTCACATGTCGAGATGATTTATGTCTCTACATGTCTCTACCCCGCTCCTGTTTAGCCCGGCACCGGGTTCCTAGCCTGCATACCCAGGGTGCAGTGTACTGCGAAGACCAGACCAAGGCGACTGCAGCCAAGACAAGCATGCAATTTCTTGAGTTGCTCGGGGTCATCAATGACTTAATGCAAAGACAGCAACAAAACAGGGACAAACAAACGCCAGAAAAACAGATTGAAGCAAGGGCTCAATGACACTGAACAAAACCTAGACTCAAAAGGAATTTGAAATAAGAATGCTTCTAACAGGCATGCACAGGCCAGCATTTTCTGTGTCAGTGGTGCGCCTGATAACTCCTGCCAGTCTCATGGACATCTGGAAGTAAGTCATTCCAAGCAGAACTCCTGCTATCGCTGCCTTGCAAGCCAGTTTGGCACGAAAACAAAGTGGGGATGAGAGAACACAAATAATATCAATAATACAGTGTATATATATATACACGTATATATATATATGTATATATACATGTATACACGTTTTTTATCGTTTTTTAATGTAAGAAGAACCATGAAGGCACATTCATGAGTTTGGCAACGCGCCGGAAAGCGCTGCCTCAAAGTAGGTGTATGTTGCCAGGCTCCTGATGACACACGGACTGGCAAATCTCGAATTTTGAAGTTTGATTTAAGCTGCTGCAAGCTGGGCAAGGCATCCTCTGAATTCGCATTTCTCGGAGAAGAAGTTGTATCCTCAGAGCAGAGTTGCTGTGTCGGGTACAGAATGCAGACTTGGTCGGCCGCCACCATCAAGCAGAACGGGAAAGAAAGGTACAACATGGTACAACAAGTTGGACAAGTCTGCAATGAGTCTGCAATCCACTAACACTGAAACCTCAAGCTTTGTCGCACCAGCTCTGCTTGTCTCAAGGTTTAGACATGTCTACTGACCAACATCATCCGCAATCATCCACAATCATCCACAATCATCCTGTTTCTGAGGGCAAAGCAACTGCACTCTGATGGGTGGTACAGTTGCTGCCTTCACCTGGCAAATGTGACCGTGCAAAACCGTGAACTGCTTTGCACATCTTGCACGAATATGCACGAATCTCATGACACAACTCAGAATCCTCTGCAAATCCTGGAACAGTGATGATAATGTGATGATGCTTGAAGCATCTTGAAACGGTCAGAACTGCCCTTGACCCGGCTTTCGCGCAGGTGGCCTCCATGATCTCTTCACCAGGACTTGCAGTCAACGCCTGAGCGGCTGGAGTCCTTTTGGATCTTTTGGCTTCCATTTACTTATTTTACTTCCAGTTTAAAGCCCCTGGAGGCTTTGCCCACTTTTTGAATCTCCAAATATCTCGCAGCCTTCAATGAATAACTTCATGCAGACACTCCGAAAATGACATGTGAGCACAACAACGGCGTGTCAATGAAAATCATGGACCCGTAAACAAACCTCACATCACAGCAAATCACAGCAAATCCTGGGCCCCAACTGACTGAATCTCATCCTCCATGTCACCCTTTTCTTCTGCCCTCAGATGCTGGAGCATTGCTAGGGCATGGCCAGTACTTGAGAAAAGACTTTAGAAACGAAGCCGTTTCACGTGCCAGTAGCTCTCACATCCATAAGGGCTCGAGCACTTTATAAAGTTTGAAGGCTTCATCTGCATGATCACCTCAGGAACTTCCAATCTATGCGAAGGAAGCTTCCAACCACCAGAAGTACCAGAAGTTTGTCATCAAGGCATTAGAACCGTTTAGAACCATACTGTGGACTTCTGACGATCAGAACCTGCTTCTGTGTGCTTTGCAAACCATTCCCTGATAGGCCTGATAGGTCTGCCGAACCGATATATCATGCACTGTACGGGTAATGAAGCAAGTTGGAGACCATGCGTCTGCTTCCAAGAAGCCAGAGATGATGTCCAACAATACATCCTCTCGGGCTCAAACGTCAAAATGATGCACTGCTTTCTTGACTCGGAAACAGCAGAGCGTTGCCATGGTATACTGACAATGCCGAAAAAAGCAAGGCAGTAGCAGCCAGCAGTCCGACGCAGTGCCATATCCCCCTTCAGGGTGGAGTTGGCCTTTCCGCATGCAGTCTGTGTATGTCTTCCTGACATTCTGAAGATCCCCTGACTATGATCACTTAAAATCAATTCATGTTCATATCCATTCACATTAATCTATAAATGGTATCAGTATGCGTTTATATTAACTCCATTCAAGCGGCTGATCTTCTGTCACAACGCAATGATGTCATAGATGGCACTAAGGCGCCGACGCAAGGGCGAGATGTATGTGGGGAGAGATGTCGTTGCACCAAAATAAGCAACCTCAGCAAAGCTGTACTAAAATTAATAAAGGCACACACACACACATCCTCGCCGCAAATGCATTTTGAAATGATATGAATGTCACTGTGCATTGACTGTGCATGTTTGAGCGAACGGCTCGTCCGTATGTCCCAAGCACGAGAGTGTCAGAAAAGTTTGCCTCAAAGCCATGAAAGCGGTTCAGAGAGCGGTTCAGAGCAGTTGAGTGCCGGATAGATTGAATCTTTGATTGATACATCTGGTGTTCAATCCGAGAGCCAAGCCAAGAGCTCAGGGGAAGGTTGGTGCATTGAAGCAAGCAGTATACAGCCTTCAAACAACAGCGGAATCTTTCATGCGGCTGAGGCAGAGCCTCTGTAACTCCTTGTTTTACGCCCAACCATCTATAGATATCTACAGTAGGATGCCTAAGTTGAGGATGTCTAAATTGTCTAAATGGTCTGAATTGTCTCAAGATGTCGGATGTCTAAGGATGCTTGAGGCACAAGGAGCCAGTTGAACGACCTCAATACAGCGCCAGTTGAGTACAAACTCCTGACTCGCTGCGCGATTGGAATCACGAGGCGTTTTGTAGATTTTCTCATCTCTGTCTGACCATCACCAACACGCTGTCCATTTGCTTCCGCAACAGCGTGTATCGATATGGTCACAGCAAACAGGGACGCCTGAAGTCCATGAGCAATGCTTACAGTGCTTAAAGCTGTGTGAAGGACACGTTGCCTTTGATTTGTAGAACTTACTTTGCCAGAACTCAGTAGTCCAGCCGGTGTTGTCGCCCAAATTTCAAGCTCATTTAGGTTGTGGTTATCCCGGGCAACCATGGCCAAATGATGCCAAATGGAACCCAAAGATGGTAGCCAGATGCTTAGCCAAATGTAGCCAGATGCTTGGCCAAAGGCCAAAAGACTCGTTCGCGGCAAATCCCACTCAGGAAGTGCCTTCGGCCGCCAATTCAGCTAACAAATGTCCCAAGGAGAGCGCTGTTTCGCTGTCGAGACCTGAGTCAGAAGAAACATGAAAAGTCATGAGTCATGACATGGTTTCAAAATACATTGAAATACTGAAACAGTTGTAGCACGAGTGTCTCATGCAAAATGAACCTGTTCGAGAGATGAGGAAGCGCAACAGTTTTTTTTTTTTTACATCTCTACATTCTGCACGAATGTTGGGTGGCTGACCACTTGTAGGTTCATCCAAAGCGAGAACACCGCGAGCCACCGAAAGCTCTACCTTAGAGGGCCAGGCACAAAACATGTACAATACGAAGTGTACGAAGTCATACAAAGATATCCAAAGTATGACATGTCCCAACTGTCCCCACTGTGTCCTATTCGTTACACATTTGTTACACACCTGTGAAACAACGAAAGGCACTGACTGCCCTCGCCAGACCATCAGCTCCAAGTCACGCCAACAGCAGTCCGCCGGCGTTCACCGCCCGAAATTCCACGGAATTTGTGACCACCGACTTTGGAGTTGGCCACTCCCTGGCAATCACTTCTCTGTCAGGGCATGACAGATTAGCCGACTAGGCTGCAGAGAATGCTCTGTTGAGAGGCCTCAAGACCAAGTCTGCCTATGGTCCAGCGAACACGCCTTAGATCGAGCAAAAAATGAGCTGACTTGCAAAGGTGTGCCTAAATGTGTTTTGCAAGCGTTCCCGACGTACAACACAATGAACTGCAGTTGTTTGACACGTCTATTATCGTCTATTGCCCAAAAAGAAAACCAAGGAACACTTGAACATCACCAAAAGCAAAATAACATCTTTCAAATAGACTTTAGGCGACGGCTCTTGACATACTTTGCGACTGGAGTGCGGCATTCTCAGCGCCACGGCCTTTTTTAAAGACGATCCATTGGGAAGGAGCTGAGGGAGCATTTACATGTGCCAACTTGGTCAACTTGGCCAATGGCTATGTTTTCATGTCATTGAGTAAACGATAATGTATTTTATGTGATATATTTGTATACATAATATTCTCATATACTATCATAATCTATCATACAATATCATACAATATACATAAAACATGCATATCACATAAACCTGCATGAACATCGCAAAACTGATCTGTTAGGATATCCACTGACTCCTGGAACATCTGAGGTCTTGGCGAAAGAGATCGCCTGAAAAGCGGAGTGGGTCACAGCGCAAAGGGTGCATCATACATGTCAACATATGGCGTCCCCCGCTGTATGTACATGCATTCATTATCCTGACTTAGATTATACGTTGTTACATGTTACTATTTATATTGATGTTGGTATGATATATATATATATTGGGTTCTTATATTGTCATTTAATTGTTGCTGATTGCACTGGTGTTTGCCCTGTGCAAGCTCCCCTTGTCACGTTGTATCTGAACTCTGCACCTCCGAGACTGTCAGCTCAGGATGCAAGGCATCGTCTTGACGGACGTAGCCCACCTACCATCGAACGATGAACAAAGAATACCAAAGAATTCAAAGAATGACAGAAATTGCCAAAAGAATGTGCGCACGATGTGGATATCAAGATTATCAAAATGATATAAGTGTCGACTCATGTCGACTCATGTCGACTCATGTCGACTCATGCCGACTCACAGGGACGCTGGGACGAAACTAGTAACCGCTACGCTATGCTGCGCTATGCTGCATTCCTGGAGGCCGAGCACCGGACTGTTCTTCTGAGCTTGCTCCGAGCTATGCGATGCCTGGGCGGAACCAAATAAACATTCAAGGATCAATCCAATCTGAACACAAGATATGATAGGTAATTATATTATAAATTATAATATAATGTGTAATATTGTGTAATTAATTGTATAATATATTATAATCTATAATCAGGACCTGCACAGAAAAAGCCGAAAAGGCCGCTTCTGGCACGTCATCAAGCCTGTTTAGATAGACCGTCACGTCGCACTTTGTTCGCGTCACCTGTGGCAGCTTGCATGCTGCTGACTGTAGAGGGCCTGTTCTTTTTTCAAAACCGACTCAAACCTCCATTGAACTGAAAGCAGTGGAAGCAGAGTAGGAGAGTGCGAGCAGAGTAGGAGAGTGGGAGCAAAGTGAGATTTGTGAATGATATATCTACGATTATCTACGCTTTTTTGGGAAGATAAATCCTGCAGTTGTTCATTCTTGTCATGTCCACTCCCACCTCGCCGGCAAGGCAAGACAAAAGCGTCGTCTTGCCACAGCCGGAAGGGCCAAGGACCGCCAATGGCCTATTGTTGCCCAGATTCGCAGCGTAAACTCGCCAAACTAATCATTCAATCGATCTCACCCTGAGGATCCGCTTGTCAAATTTGCAATGTGAAGATCCGCAAGCAGCTTCCAAGCCTTCCGGCTTGAACTATGCCATTCATCCTGCGACAGAAAGTCTTCCGGTGTTCTATCATTGATCTCCAGCTCAAACTCGCCAATGATCACCAATGTCGAACAACTGTCGCCTATACATGCCTATACATGCCTATACCATCCTATACCATCAAATTCACATGGTGCGCGTCGCATCTAGTGTTTTGTCGCACGCCCCGAATCCATCTCTCCACTGAACCCCAACGATCCCACTGGCGCACCCATCGTACAGCGTGGTCGAGTTTGGAAGCATAGCATGCAGATCCTTCCATTGAATTTCAATGAATTTCACAGTGGCATCACGTGGCATCCATGGATTCTCCACGTGCCATGAATTTCATGAGCATACAATATACTGGTGCTCCCGTGACCACATAGGTCCCAGATGGTCCCAGATCCGCATCCCCTGACTGCTCCAGCCTTCCAGACCAACGCCGCCGAGCCCTGTCATTTCGACCATAGATCCACGAAGCCATGAATCATGACATTGTGATTTGTGACATTTTATGACATCATTCTGATGTCATTGTGCTGCTATTGACATCATTATAACATTTTATGAAACTATTTGTTGATATTTGTTGTATTTCATAGTCAAATGCCAACCAAAGGTTCCTAACAACTTGTGCCTTGGTTCTCGCACTCACCCAAGATGGCGCTTCCAAGGACTTGGCATCACGCAATGCATCGTTCATTTGGAAACAAACAATTGCTTTAATTTAATTAAATCTGAATATATCTGAATTGCATGTAACGCACATCTGACGATTTTCGTCTAGACTGACTGTAGGAAAAGTCAAGATGTTTGAGTCTAGAGCCGTGGAGCAGCCTGGATCCTTTCTGTAGATGATAGCTCGAAGGCAGTCGCCCTTCTTTACCCGGTACCTGAAACAATATATTTCTGATGCAAATCGATGCACATTGATGCAACATGCATATGTATATATATATAATGTATAGGCCACAGAGTATCTCTGTTATTGACATGTGAAGCTTGGCAAACAGCCAACAAAACTTAAACTTGATTAAGCAGGGGCACCATTGAAGCCACAGCGGGATCAATGCCAGTATCCATGCGAAGCAAGCAACGAGCGCCAACATTTGAACATTGTGTTCCAGCTTCGTTGGGTCAACGCTGAACTGCTTCGGCCAGATCTTAGCATGGCAGAGCTCTGGTAACAGCTCCAGGTGAGGTCAAGACGTTTCACGGAATCTAAGCTTGGGACACCTCCGTCAACTGTCAATGCATCAAAACCTGAGATCAGTTAGCTCTGCGAAAGCGTGTTCAGGATGCATCAGAATGCATCATAATGAAATGTTGGATGCAATGTTGGATGCAATATCTTTCCAAAAAAACAATCCAAGGCGGATTTGCAAATCTTTGCCCGAGAGCGCCTGTAGCATCTACTGTTGTCTCCAGACCAGTGAACTCGCTGGAGATCATGGCAGCAAAGGCATGAGCGAACGGGGACACGTCTGTTAGCCACCTTGGCGCCGAGGCAGTGAGGCCAGGTCGAGGCCAGGTCGAAGCCAGGTCGAGGCCCAAGATGCTCAAGATGCCCAAGTCACAAAGAGCTAAGAAAATCCGCCGATTTCGGATTTCAGATATTTCAGGGGAGATCAGTTGACTGTGCATGAGATGGATGAGATTTGTAGAGATTTATGTGCCTCAGCCCGCTTGGAATAGCATCTCGGCGTTGCAAAAAGCCCGCGTACATTTGCAGCACCTGGTCACGGTTGGACAGATAAAGCATTCTCAGATTACATGTAGTTACTGTACATTACTGTACCATACGAGTCGTATCAAAACAGTCGATTCGCTGCACGCATCTGAGAACCAAACAGTAATGAAGATAGCTGCCAAAGAAATCCCAGAAGCAAACGTGCTCGTGATTGAAAGGCAAATCAGACCTTGCAGTGCTTGGGCTGATGCAGCTATGACAGCTATGACTGCTGCCATGTGTAGCTGCTATGGCCGGTGTTGGCAAAAGACTTATGATGATGTTCATTTTGAACAGAGAATTTGGGCTCTTAAATCTGATGAACACTCCTGAGCACTGATCAGCACCTTTTACTCAGTCAGCTCGAAGGTGGCTGAAAGCACTAAAATGGCTGCAGCACATATACAAACATATATGCTACATGTGACATAGTCTACACTGTACACATATCTGATCACGCCTCCCGAGCCTGTTTAAAAACGGCGCTCCCGTCCAATTATTTGAACTAGGCGAGTTTTGATATGTACAGCTACTCATAGCCACGCTCAAGCCATCTATGCTCTCAGTGTCAGGTGATGCTCACCTTCCAGAAAGTGAAAATTCATATTTCGCAAGGCTTTATTCATTTTCTCTTCTATGACAGGTTTCGTCAAGACGTCGGCAAGCATATCGCCAGTGTCAACCTTCTTCAGCCGAAAATAGCGCTTGGCAACGCGGTCTTGTACCCAATGGTATTGAGTATCCACGTGCTTGGCCTTGCCTAGTCCTCTGCGAGAACCCATTGCTATTCCTGCACTTGCGTCCATGAAAACTTCACTCTCGGGTTGCAAACCCCAGTCTTTGGCGGTTGAAACTTCTCCCAGCAAATTGCTGGCACCGCTCACAAGAGCGTAATACTCACTCTCTCCAGACGAAAGACTGACTACTCCTTGTCCTTTAGAGTAAGTCTTGATACAACAACCTCCGGCCATCAGGACGCCTCCTGACACGCTCTTCCTCGTCTTCACGCAACCAGCGTGGTCAGCATCAGACCACATCACAAATGGACTGAGTTTGCTCTGATGAGGAAAGAATTGTGCCATGCGTGGTCGATACCTTAGGTATCGTGCAACTCGTTTGAGCATAAGCATGTGGCTGGTAGTTGGTCGTTGTAGCCCTTGTGCTAAAGATCTTGTCGCTACTTGCAGATCTGGTCGATCTTGTGCCAAATAAGCTGCTCGCATTGCAACTGATCTGTACTGGGTTGCTTCTTCATCATTGAGAAAAACAGTGGCGTTCTTGAGGTCTTCCACTGAACCCTTGGCAAGTGGTGTCTTGACTTTGGCTCCTCGGGGACCATCTCCGAGTAAATCAATCACCAACTCTGCATGACGTGCATCTGGTTCCCACCAAATTCCATTCTCCTTCCATGTGATAATTCTGTTCAGGACTCTGATGTCCTGGATGGTGTTTGGTGTTCCTGGTGGTCCTAAAATACCACGTTCCACACATTTCCACTTCTTCGACAGCTCTTCATGAAGCCATTTGATGTTGTCAAATGTTCCGGCTGTTGTAAAATCATCTCCATGTACAACAGTTCTGAGGTCTCGGCCTGCATGGTAGTAAATGCATGGATTGCTTTTTCCTTGCTTGAAACCTAAGGCTAACATAACCTTCTGTATTTGCAACTCCCAGTTGAGAGGTGCGTCTCTGGTTCCATACAAAGACTTGAGCAATCTTCCTACCACATCTTCTCCAGGCTTCTTTGCTTCTGCAGGAAGTTCCACATAGATCTCACGCGTCGCATCTGAGTAAAAGTGGGCGCGTTTCACATCCAAAAATCCTAGAAGTCTACGCTTGCGATAGGCTTCCTTGACAGCTTTTCCAGCGTCTGGCAACTGAAACGTGACGGCTATTGTAACTAGCATCTTCAAAGCCGACAAACTGGGCATAGCTGCGAAGAACTCATCAAAACCTGAGCCCTTCTTGACTTCTTGAGCTACTAACCTACTTCTATAAAGTGGATTCTCTTCATCCTGCTTGTTGACATCTACCCATCGTGTTCCAATGGTGCGTACCCCTTTGGGCATCTTGTGTCTGGGAATCTTTTCCCAAACTGGAAAACTTTCGATGATTTCGACCTCATCTTTTCTGGCTTGTTCTACACCTTTGCTGTCTAAAATCTTTCCACTGATATCATCGTAATAATACCATGTGGCTGCTTCATCTTCCAGTTCTGGTGGAAGAGGAATCGTCTCTTCACAAACTGGCTCTTCTTCACCTTCAATGGACTGAAGGTACTTCTCCCGATCTTCCATGATCAGGTTCATAAGACATTGGTCTATGTCATCCATGTCTTCTGGTCTCTCATTCTCAGGTGGCCGTTTGGTGCCCTTAGACGCCTGAGCTGAAGCAGCTCGGCTGTCCTTGGACTTTGACGTTTCGCCTCCTGAGTCTGCAGGTCTTTTCCGACCTTTGGTTGGAGACATTTCCAACCTTTTGTGTGCTCTTTCTTCTTGCTCGCCTCCTGCCCTCTTGGCTGAGGCTGTGCTTGCGCTTGCGCTTTCTGCAGGTGGATCTGCAGCTTGTCCGGTAGCAGGACTCTGCCTCGCGATAGCAGGTCCAGCTGTTGGCAAACTTGGAGCAGATTCCCCTGTGGCTGAGTACCACAGTTCAGTGACGATATCTGCGTCATCAATCAAAGGCGCGTTGATGACTTCATCTCCTAAACTAGGATCCATTGGTTCAGACTTGATAATGTTTCCTGTTTTGAAATCTCTGGTGACTCTCCACCAGACATTATCCCAACTGGGACCTTCTGGCATAGTACCCTTGAGATACCTTGCATTCTTGTCAAGGCGCGCAAACACCTTAAAACCGTGAGGAACTTCTTGTGGTTTCTCACTTGAATACCCATAAAGAATCTTTGTGCCTTCTTCGGACACTTCTTGTTTCTGACCAGTGATTTCAGAATCAACCTTGGCCGTATGTTGGGCTACTCTCAGGTTGCCCTCTTCTGCTTGAAGCAGACGTTCCATCCTTTCTCTGCAGGCTGGAGTGTGATGAACTCCAGTGCCTCTTTTGCCAATTCTAGTGGCATCACAGGCGACACAACCAGCGGTGTAGCCATACTTGTCCAAATCACGTTTGGTGATGTAAAGTCGTCTTGTCGACTTCTTTGGTGGCTCAACTGGCACTGATGGCGCCAGTGGCTGCTGATCTCCCCCAACAATCTGAGGAAGCAAAACATCATCTCTTTTTGATGCTTGAGGATCCCATGGAACCCCAGTGACTGACATCAAAGTTTCGGCATCATATCTGTCGTCAGCACTCTTGCGTCGAATGCTTTGCACAGTGAAAACACCTGATGCATTTCCCACTATCTTCTCAGTGGTATTGTCTTTGACTCCCAAGAAAACTCCTTGGTGCCATCTTTGTTCAAACTTGTGACCTCTTTTGAGGAATTCAATTGTTTCCCCAAATGGTGGTAATGACACTCTCCACTCACGACCACGGTGTCTAGAGTACGGTGTCTTCCCATCTTTGACTTCCAATGATCTGTGAAACAAATTGTAAGTGGTGCTAGCATGTTCAACCAACCATGTCAAAACTGGGTGGTCGTCTGGCACCTTTCTTCCATAGCTTGTCTCCAAGGCACTTCTGAGTGTCCTGGATTGAGATTCAATAGCTTGAACTGCTCTTTCAATTTCCCCTTTGGATTCTGAGACTCCTTTGGGAACTTTTTCCAAAACCAACTGTTTGTCAAAACCATTCTTGGCTGCCTCAACTACGGAGTTGAGTGCAGGCTCTGGGTCATACCTCATGACCATCTTGGGGTACCCAAACTTCTTAAGGTCATTCAAAAGACACTTAGATCCAATAGGACCTTGGGTAACTCCCTTGTATGGCAAAACGTGTGCGTAGGTCAACTTGGACCATCGATCATGTACTATCAAAACTGGTGCATGCTTTTTCTGCACTTCTTCTGTGATGACAGTGTCATCCACTGAATTCATGAAACAATAGTCAGCTGAGATCACAGGAACTGTTTCATCTGAATGATCTACTTTGACATGTCTCATTGCCTTTGCCTTACCTCGAATGCAATGTTCACACCAACTCCTAAAAGGATAATGGCTGACAAAATGTTCTTCTTTTTCTCTCTGCGTCGGCGCTGCTGCAGTTGGTAGCGCTTGAGAACCTAGCTTACTACTGCCCGGTTCATCATCTCCACTACCTGCGCTCTCTGTGGTCTCCACAGGACTTACGCCTTCAACCCTTCTGTGGGCTGCCCATGAAAATCCATGGCTATCTTGAAAACTCCTCCAGTCATTGTGATTGGTACCTTCTTGGCTCCCCTTTGCAGGAACGATCCTTTGGGGCCGAAGGTCACTGTCCAGCCTTTCTCAACCAGCTTGGACACAGATAGCAATGGCTTTGCAACATCCATTGCCCGGAATTGTCCCACACCTTTGACTTGTGGGCCTCCTTTCTCACCCATGGTCACTATAGGGTTGCACACCCCATGCACCTGGACTGGCTGCCCTGATGCGTTGGTGAACGGCTTCTCATCCACAGGTGTCATAGCCAACTCCAATGACTGTGCCAATTCCTTGGGTAGGCAACTGGTTGCTGCCCCTGAGTCAACGGTGGCCCAGACAATGGTATCCACCTGAGATGCCAAACTTCCCAGGAAGTCGAGGTTGGAATCAGATCGAACTCCTCCTCTTGGTGAATGCTTCCTGGGCTTGGGAGATGGCGTTTTCTCCCTCTTCTTCCTGGCTTTTCTTTCCATGTAGTTAGCTGCATCACGCACCGTCTTCTCCAGGAATCTCTTGGTGCCCATGCTGAACTTTCCCCTGCCCTTGGACGCCTGGGCTGAATCAGCCCGGCTGTCCTCAGGCGCTCTCGATGGGGATTTGGACTTCAGCTCGATGGGTGCTCTGGGTGCCTCTTCTTCTTCTTTCTTTTCTTCTTTCTCTTTCTCCTCGACCTTCTCTTTCTCCCCTGGCCTCTTGGGGATCTTCTTCACCTCGGGCTTCACTTCATCTTTGCCCTTGTGCCTGAAGCGCTCGTAGTGCTCCTCAAAGCTTTGCTTGCGCTTCTTCCTTTCTTCATCCTTGGCAATCTCTTGGCGCCTCTTCTCATCTTTGGCTTCTGCATCATCCATGGGGCGCTTCTGGGATGATTCTCCTTCTTCTCGTGCCTCTCTCTCTGCCTTTACCTGACGATGTTCTTTCTTCCAAAACTCCAGGGCATACTGAGGATAGCATTGCTTGTTCTCCACATGTTGCCAAAAGCTTGCAACGCTCATGGAGTTGAGTGCCTTTCCACATGACTGGCACTTCACATAGGGATACCCTTTGTTGGAGACAGTTTTGCACTTCTCATGCAACTCCTTGAATGGAATGGGTCTTCGAAAGGAATTTTGCCAATGCTCGACCACATCCTCCATGCCTGGTGCTGGCTCCTGGTTGTAGGGCAAATCGTCTGGATCTGTCTCATCAGAAGATCCTAGGTCAAGAACTTCACCATAGGCTTTCTCGTAGGCTTCCTTCAAGACGTTGTCCAACTTGCTGAGGACTTCAGGATCGGTTTTCAGCTTTTCAAGTCTGCTGACAAACTCATATCCTTCAGAGGAAATGCTCTCCTCAGAGGAAATCTCACACTTGTCATGGATCCATTGTGGGATCTCATCCTTACTCATCTCTTTCATCTTTTCCTTATTGGCCTTCTTCCTTGCTTCATCTGCTCTTCGTCTTTCAGACCTGTGATGTCCTCCTCTATGGCGCTTGGGTTCCAACTTTCTTGCCTTGGGAGGTTCAGACTCTTCACGGCGCTCAGACTTTGGTGCCATAGTGTCTTCCAAGGTGAACAGCGCTGTGAGTTCAGGTTCAGGTTGATCACCAGTGGCAGCTGCTGCAGGTTGCTCTTGAGTCCAAGCATCAGACTCAACATTGGCAACTTTGCGACCTTTACCTTGATCACCTTTACCTTTACCTTTGTCTTGACCTTTCTTGCCTTTCCCTTTGCTCTTGGAGTCATTGGTGTTTTGTTTATACCAAGACTGCTGATTCCAAGACTGATTGTTCCAAGAACCCTTGTGGTATGAATTGTTTGACCAAGACGAAGACTGACTCTTTCCTTTGTCTTTACCTTTGGACTTACCTTTGCCTTTCCCTTTGTCATGTTTTCCTTTTCCCTTACCCTTAGCAAGGGAATCCACATCCATGGGAACGGCTCCTGATTTTGCTTCTTTCCTGGTCTCGACATTCTCGAGATAGGCCAAAACTTCAGCTTTCACCTGGTCATACGTGGTCAATCTCGAAGCCTGCAAGTCCAAATGATCTTGCAACTTGTTGGGACACATCTGCTGCAAGCAACTCCTGCAGATGTCATCTTCAAGTGGTTTCTTTCTCCTGTCTTCGTACTTTCTTTTCAAGTTCTCCCAACTCTCAAGCCCTTCTCGAAGCTTATCAAGACTGCATTGACTTGGATGCAGAACCTTTTTCAACAAGGCTGAATTGGCTTGAGGATTTTGAGGATCATATTTGCACAACAGTCGTCTCATGGCTTCTAGGCCAAAGTGGCTACCACGAGATGTGTTCTTGACAATTTCCAACGCTTCTCCCTCAGTCAATGATATGAGGGCTTGTCTAGCCTGAGCTGAAACTAGCTCGGCGCCTTCATCAAAGTCTACTTCTAGACTTGACTCAGTGATCTCATTGTCACACTGAGACTCGACTTGTGCCACAATCTTCACAGCGTTCTTGTGGCAACTTTCAACCCATGTCTTAAACTTGTACCACCAACTATCCCAAGTGCCTGATGCTCCATTGAACTTGTCAGGTTTTGATATGCCTTTCAACTCTGATCTGTCTTTGTACTCAACAGATCTCTCAACATTTTTGTTGATCTGAAGCTGCTGGCTCATAGCCTCAGTCATTGCCTGATTCAACTGCGCCTGACCCTGAGTCAATTGGGCCATCATCTGCATGATCATCTGGGACATGTTGGGACCGTTGCCTTGTGCTTGTGGTGGTGCCGGTGGAGTGCCTGGTTGCTGAGGTGGCTGCTGTTGCTGAGCCATCCTTAGTCGTTCTTCAGGTGCTTAGAGACCTGGTTCAAGAGAACCCTTGGATACTGTTGGAGATGCACTCCCAGGTTATGGAAGTACCTTTGGAGTTTCCTGATTTTCAGGAGCTTGAGTGTCAACCTTTTCCAGTTGGCACTGGGTAGGCGCGCCAGAGCTGATGCAGCTCGGCGTTGACACCTACACATTCACAGCTGGGTATCAGAACCTCAGCTCCGCTACCATGAACAGAGAATTTGGGCTCTTAAATCTGATGAACACTCCTGAGCACTGATCAGCACCTTTTACTCAGTCAGCTCGAAGGTAGCTGAAAGCACTAAAATGGCTGCAGCACATATACAAACATATATGCTACATGTGACATAGTCTACACTGTACACATATCTGATCACATTTGCAGGGCCATAAAGACATATAAAGGCATAAAACATATATTATAACAACATATAAGAAAATATAAAGATGTATAAAGTATTACAAAGTAGTGTATTAAAGTGTTATAAAGACCAAGAAGTGAGTCATCTCGTGAGGCCGGTACTTACTGCACTTGCTGCTGCTGTTGAAGCCGCAGTGCATAAGTAGAACGTCATGAACTTGGAAATACTGGCCTTGGCTGAAGGGTGTTCAAGCTGATTCAAACCGATTCAAACCACGTGTTTCGCTGCTGCCGTCTGAGCGCAGAACTTGGAAACCAATTAGTGGATAGACAATAGCGACCTGGAACCATTCCGTCGGCAACTGGTTTGGGTTGGGCTGCGGCTTGCCATCATGCACTGCTATAAAATATATTCTGATGCGAGGCCGCTGCGTAGATTGCAGGAACAATGAGGCAATACCTAAGAAGCCGAGGTGCCCAGTCACAGCAGACAGTACTAATATGCAACATTTGTAGGTGTGCCAAAAAGCTTTTCTCAAGCATTTTGGAGTTCGTTGTCTGGATTGTGATGTGTGACCTGAATGAACGCCAACAAACAGATAAGTAGAAGATAGTAGAAACTTGGGAGAGAAAGAACGGACTCTAAAAACGATTGGTTTCTATTTTTCTATATAAATGCAACATATACACGTATACGGCAGGACGTCATCATGTTTATTACTTCGTAAAGGAATAGGCTACTGAGGCTCAGACCACCATAGATACGAAGATGCCTTCGAAGTAAAATAAGCCAAAACCTGAGTACTTCAGGCAATGTCCTTGTCCCATCACATCTTGCACTTTGTGAGACACTTCCATTCAAGGAACGTGGCTAGGGAGGCTCAATCTATGCAACCACAATAGTTGAATGATTTCAAGACCTTTCAATCATCAAGGCCCAAGGAACATGGTAGAGTTTTGACGCTCTTTCACGGTCAAGTCGGTCGCGATCAAGGTACCAAAGCGTGCAAGCCTGCGAAATGGACCAGCACAGTGGCCATGACAAACTATGACAAACTCCTCAACCCCTGACGATAGATCACAAGGTGCATCCGTATCATTCCGTATCATCCATGTTCTTGATGTCCCATGCCGGAGTCAGTTGGTATCGCCTGGAGCCCAAAAAAGCTGAAGAAGAGCTGAGTGAAGAAAACGGAGCCGAAGCGATTTTGGACTCCAGAAACACCTTGACTCTTGACATCTACGTGAAAGCGCGTTTGGATGCGTTTGGCCACACCTTGCGTCCACTAATCTCATTTTTTCGGAAATGGGTAGATTGTTGTTCCAAACATGATCCTTTCTTTGGGATGTGGAAACCCCTGAACTTCTTTTGCTGCACACACTCTTGCCCACTGCGCAATTTGGCCTTCATGACTGATCTCCATGCCTTTATGCCAGTGAGGCAGACTAGATGCATTCTAATCATATCTACTGTAATTATAATTATTATAATTAGATAGTAATTACGTCTAATTCCGCGCTGCGAAGTTTGGCATCTGGGCAGCAGGCCACTTTCAAGGTCGCTGAAAGTGAAGCCAATCTAGGTAGCAACAAGAAAATGAAACACTGGCTCCGAGTGAAAGCAAGTTTGCGCTCAATCAAATTGAGGTTAAAGTGCTAAGTCATGCTAAGTCAAACAAAATGCATCAAAATGCAACTAACTCCTGAAGTTTCATGTCCTTAGATTCACACTACAACTGCGACTGTCGCCACCACAGCTGCAGCAACAATGCCGCTGTAGCTTCCGCGGGTTGCCTACGCAAAATGAATTGTGAGTTAGTTATATGTTATATAATTACAATCACAAGCAACAAATTCAAGCAAACATGATCAAACATGAAGGAAAACTGGCCTCTCGGAAGCTGCGTTCCCACAAGATGAAGACCTGCGAACCGGTTTATACGAAGAATTACAAAGACAAACACTGGTCTGTAAAGTGCCATCCTAGCTGGAAGTCATTGGGTTGTGAAGAATCTGCTATGTGGAGCCCGCAAGAAGTGGGAGCAAGCTAAGCTGTTGCCAAGGAATGCAAGCACCGAAGAAATAACGAGTGTCCAAAAGGGTACCCTGTGTTCACTCAAATGACTCAATCTCGCCTGATAGGGAAGGTTTGCAGGTTTCACACCAGCAGTTGCACGAGCAGCTATTGTCTGGCGCAGCTGTTGGCTGTCAACAGTTGACAAGCGAGGCAACTCTGCTAAAACATGCAACCCAAGCAGCGCCCTGCTGGGGCCCTGCTGCCCTGCTAGGGCCCTGCTAGCGCCCTGAGCTCTGGACCAGCGCTTCATGCAAGTCATCACCCATGCATGCTCTGCAGAAGGGATGTTTCTGCTGCTGCACGGATCTCCTTGCGAAAGATGAGCATTCACTGTCATTCACTTCCTTCCATCAAGAACAATTTTGAGCTCAAGAATCACAATCATCTGATGAAATTCATGAAAAGTCAATATCTGAAACTCAGCAAAGATGGCAGAAGATGGCATGCCCTTGCCTGCTTGTCGCCCGCGTGATCTCGCTGATCACTACAGAGTTCAAGAGACCCGATGTCTCGCGATTGGTGTGCATCTCACGGTTGGGGTTCAACCCGCCGATTGGGATCTGGTAGCTCTGGTTGGGGTTCGTCTCGATAGTGGGTTGCGGCTGGTGACCCGTGCGCGCTTCAGCCATTTGTGAAGCTCTTCCTTTCGCGAACTCGTGTGGAACGTGTGCCTCGAGATCACCAGTGACCCCATCCTGGCAAAGGTTGAAGCAGCTGAAGCAAAGCGACGTCGAAATTGACAAAGCTGGCACTATCTGGTACTAAAATGTGTGTGCTCAAAGCTTTGACGTCTACCGTCTATAGGGTCTCAAAAGGATTCAACATGTCTCAAATCTCGTCAGCTCGACCTTTTCTGGTAAGAACTTGGGAGTTTTCACCAAGGCATCTGTGCCGGCAACCTGAGCGAAGTGGCTTTTCAAATCACACGACTTCTGCGCTCTGCGACATGTTCAATTCATTTCAACTCGCATCGGCAACGTATTTGTTCATATTGTCGCCGAAATCATCCGAAATCTTGGTTTCAAAATGTGCTCAGGAGAAGACCCCAAGGTCTAGCCTGCGGACAGGTTTGTTCCGCTGACCCTAAGATGAGATTGGGAGAGACTAGGCTACTAGATGCCATTAGCATTAGTGACTCCTTTGTGTCCACTAGGAGCAACTTGGACCAACTTGGACCAACTTGGGGAATTGAATGAAATTGACATCTGGCAGACAAAACATTCATCGGCCTGGCATCGAACAAACGCATTAGCTCTTGACGAGGCTGATGCATGCTGCAAATTAGAAGCCGCCCACCCTGCAGTGCAGAACAATGAAATCAATGAAGAGGCTGAAGAGGTCGGTCAAGTGAACCAAAGGACCAAAGGATCTGAAATCTTGTGGAACTTTGGTGAACCCTGGTGAAATCATGTGATTTATCAAAGATCTACGAACATGTCTGGTGGGCACAGTGTGCACATGTCCAGCACACGTGCTGAGTCTTGGATCCGGCTCCCCAGCTCCCCGATGCTCCCCGATGCTCCCCGATGCTCCCCGATGCTCCTCTGCCAGCTTGGCAAGGACCTGGCCCAGCATCAAAGCACAGCTTGCATCCAGCCCAGTTGTAGGCTCCTCAGTGAGACATGATGAGACATGGTCAGGTTAACAAAAACACACAGTAATAACATCAGTATAGAATAAATATGAACTAAATAAATCAAAGTATATAAATCATTATAAATCCAAAATAACCGAGATTGCTTTCAGTGATATCATTATCATTCATATCAAACAATCACTGGCTCTGTATGTATATCTAGAGGTTGCACGTCCATATTTGAATATAATTCACACAAACGCTCAACTAATGGACATCAAACATATCAAACATAGATTGTTCATAGTTATTTCATGTTTGCAGACATTGCTTTGGGACTGCACAAACATGACTAAACAATATCAAACAATACAGAAACGTTGGACGCGCCAACGTTTTCCGACAGCATACTCCAAACGATTTGCCCCCCAAAGCTGTGAATTTGTCGTGTAGCGGAGGCAAAGGGCGAGAAAATGGGTGCCAAGCGTCGTCCAAAAACATGATGGGTGGGGACACAATCAGCTCCACACCTTCGAGGCATCGAGCTAGTGACAGGTGTAGCGACAGTTTATAGCGGCTGCTACGGCAGGACTTTCAGGCCTATTGCCACTCGACGGCGCTCTCCGCCAGACACCCCTCTTCGCAGATTGTCTCCAATTCTCGAGTTTGCAACCTCCTAACAAATGCTGTGGACATCTGTGGAACCTGCATATTCATTTCTTTGGAGATTTGAATATCTATGAATATCTTGCGTTTCAAATTTAATATCAGGCAAATGCAGGCAAATGTTCTTGCAACGGTCTGGCCTCTAAATGCAAAGTTTTCAATGCCCACGAAACTCGCCCTGCCCGTTGAGAGGCCTTGATCCGTTGTGGACACGTCCCAGCAACTCCCAGCGCTCAAAAAGGCAAAGCATTACAATAGTTTTTCAAGATATTACAAGCTGTCTATCTGGATCTATCTGGATCTATCTGGATCTATCTGGATCTATCTGGATCTATCTGGTCTACCTTCTGCACATCTCAGCAATGTCTCCTTCGCACAGCGTGCACATGAGGGAACTACCGAAAGTGCTCTCAAGCGCATCGCGGCTGAAAATTCCAAGGCCTCAGGGGGGAAACTTTGTACGGGATGCCCATCTGTGTTGTTCGAAAACATTTGAACACCTGTTTTTGTTCAGCTCTGCAAATGCCTCTCGAACTGTCAATGTGGCTCCAAGGATATCGTCCTTCAAAAGCGTCTGAAAGCTTTGACATGCTTTGACGGCTCCAGCATCCAAATTGTCCAAACTTCTCATCATATACAGAAATACTGCTACAATACAGTTGCACTACATATTATATACTTACATGATTATACATATCATTGTATATACATAATTACGTAAATTATGTATTGGCATCATGTAACTCATGCAACATCATGTGACTTTATCATGTAACACCGAAACATCACCTGTCCTGATACACAAAGGAAATGTGCCGACGTCGACTCTCTGGAGACATTGCCTCGTAAAGTGTCCGCAACTGCAAAGACGAAAACAACAGATAGACTTGGATAAACCCTTTATTTTTAGTATATTTTAGTATATGTTAATGGTTTTCAATCCCCAAGTGACAACCCTTTTATATAGATCTTTTAGATTCTTTTATATAGCATCGTTGAACAAAATTTCAGCTACTACGAGGCACTACAATGCCCTTCTTGTTCCTCAGGACATGTTCCGTCTTTTTGACCTGATGTTTGCTGTTTTGTCGGATAGGCTTTGAGCTTTTTGCTTTTAACACAAGTACAAACCTCATAGCATGTCGGGCCCAAAGGCACCTTTCCATTGATGTACACTGTGGCAGTGTCCCCACGTGATGTGCGGCCAGAGAGAGCCTGATGCTCAAAATATCTTCAAAATTATGTAAAGTCAGAACAAAGTCAGACTGTCGACTCTTCGAAACACGCTGCCGGCCGCAGCCGCTGGCGTCTGCCTCCAGTAGTGTTGTCTTGCCACTACCAGACGGTCCAAGCAAAGCCACCAAAGCACCATGTCCAGAGGATGAGGACTGCAGAAAGGCAGCGTTGGTACAGCAATAAGGAGTTGAAATGTTGAATAGATGCTTCAAAGACTGAAAGTGGCTACAACGTGAAAATAGCAAATCCACCTGCATAGCTTGGACATGCTTGGATTGTGTTTGCAGCATAAAACATGTTTGCTATTAAAGACTACAAACACTTGAGGTCCGGGGGGAGGTACGAAAGCTAGTCGGACGGTTGCAACATTTTAATTGCCGGAGATTGGGCTATCAAGGATTCCTTGCTAAAGCAAGAGCAACTTCAGCTAGCACAAACTACAAGACGCTACAAGACGCTACAAGATGCTACAAGTAGCTCTCGTGATTGGTAAACTCCAAAAAGCATGGCTGGGCACCTCCACGGCACCTGAAACGTCTCTCAACACCTGGCTACTCGGCTACTCTCTCCGTCTTTCCAAGGTTTGTGGCGAAATTGCAATGGAAAAGACTGGAAAAAATAGAAAAGAATGGAAATAACATGGACATAGAATTGAGAAGAGCTGCTCAAGTGAAGTCAACTGAAGTCAAGCTCTCCCTGCACCTGCTTGCCATTTCGCCTGCAATTGACGTTCTGCCAGCTGAAGACCAGCGTGGCCCCTCGCAAAGAATGAAACTTGCTGCGTCACCGGCAAGCGCGTATCATTGTATCATTGTATTTATTTTGTATGTCAATTCCTTTGTTTGATTGACTTGCTTTCCCAAGCCTGGAGGATTACTTCCGAAACCTGAGCCGAAAACAGTGACAGGTCTAATATGGTCTCATATGGTCTCATTATGTTATGAATTGTTCTCAATTGTCATAATTATCCTCGTCAACTTCCAATGATTAACAGTGATTAGCGAAGAAAGTTGATCAGCTGATACTGCTTTGACCACACGCCGTCACACGCCTCCAAGGGCTGCCTGAGCTGCTGCAAGAGCCGCCAAAGGTGCACCAGGCTCATTTAGCGGAATGGACCGCAGCCTTCGTGAAATGCCACATGAATCCACATGAGACATATTACGTCATATTATGATGACGCAGGGATCAACATGAATCAACATCCGGATCAATGCAGATCAGGGAAACCTGGGAACAACCATGAACCACCACCATGAACCACCAGCATGACATCCATGACTGAAAATACCTCAAGATCTTGGAAACCAAAATTTAGTATCATCATTTAAGTACAGTAATTATATTATAGTCATATTTCGTCACTTCGTTTGCTTTTCCGCCACTCAAGGCCTTTTTGTGCGCAAGCAGTGGAGCATGATGGCAAGCAGCAAAAGCCTAACCCGCAGATGGCTTCGCCAGCTTGACGTGGTTTGATTCACTGCACGAAGAGCACAAAGCATTCGCCGACAATTTGAGCTGCGGGCACTGAGAGGGTTGCCAGAAGGAACAAAATGCAAATAGCAGCTGTGGTCCATGAACCGAAGAGATTGAAGGATTTTTTTGCTTCGATCACCTGCATCGGAAGGTGGTTTCCAGCATCGCATTGAGAAGGTATGTGTATCATACCTAGCTACCATCAAATCTACAAGTGCGTGTTGTTTTACCCCCTTGCAATATCTTGCATTTTCTTGCAATAACAGTACTGAACAAGACAGCATGATGAACTTTAACTTTAACTTTCCCTTTACTTCCAAATGTCTCGTCAGTCCGTCTTGGCAAATGTCAACAAAGCTTACTGGCAAGGAATACCAGGAGCACGCCTCTCTCGTCTGGTTGTCTGGAAAGCAAAGACCACTTTCGCAGTCAAATGAGAGTGGTGCTGGCAGATCCTGAGGAAGGCATGGAGGGAAGGGGGGCAAGGGGGGCAAGGGGGGAAAGGGGGCAAGGGGGGCAAAGGGGGGCAAGGGGGAAGGGGGGCAAGGGGGGGCAAGGGGGGCAAGGGGGGCAAGGGGGGCAGTATCAGGCTTGAAGCTCCAACGACAAATTGGTCACAAGTGATGTGCTAAGTACAGCTATGTGATGCCCAATGGAATGGATTCCCACGTAGGGCGTGCACATCGAGCATGGCAGTGCAGCTGCTGGAGTTCAGGCCCGCCTTGCTTCGAAAGCAGACCACGGACATCATGGTGGCATCATGGTAGGTCAAGGTTCATTCATCCAACGTGCAAAATTCATAGAACGGTGCTGCAATGGAGTCGAAATCCAAAATCTCACCACTGTCCAGCCATCACAAGGGAAATTCATTTGCTCATGGACCTCGCAGCCCAAGTAGACACCCTGACTAATTCCATCGACAATGGTCCTGCCGAGGGTGTGAATGGTCATGCAGCAGTACAATACACTAATTGCCTATGGGAAGACTGAAAAAAGCGGAAGCCAACCACATGATGCCAGCATCCAAGGGTAGTCAGCATACATCAGCACACAATATCGTCCAAGAGTGTATAAATAATAATAATTATTGTTATTAACAATAAGAATAATAATGATAATGATAACGATAATAGTTAACAATAATAATCATCATAACAACTCTCGAAACATGCCTGGCCAAATCACAACTTACAAAGGAGCACATGCAAGTATGGTAGCAGGTATGGTAGCATTATAGTTATCTTTTGTTTGGACCGACCTGGAGTATGTGTACGTGTAAATACGACTAGCGTACCAGCACTGGACGCAAGCCTCAGACCAGAGGCAGTGTGACCTGTTCTGTCTGGTAGCTGTCCTGGTAAGAGTCCCCAGCCAGGAGTCATCCGGATATGTGCACCTTGGGCTACGTCTGTTTGTGTCACTCTGATGGATGTGCTCTTGTTGAATTCGAGTCCCGCTAGATTTTTCACTGAGTCGGGTGCCGGCATGTCTCACATCTTGCACATGGGCTTGGGATTTTCTTTTGTTTGCAGACCTGGGATTCGGATTTCGGATGGACTCAAGCTGTGTCTGAATCCGATTTGCCAAAGCCAGAATTGCAATTGACTCAGAATTGCCAGACTGCCCGACCTCAGAACAGAAGAGCATCTGATAATATCTGATAGCTGGGTTTCAAACGCCACTCTGTTCGTTCGTCAGGGCATCTATTTCGTCATACATGGAGGAACATTCTTGGCAGCTGCACCTTGACCAACTTCCACGTCACCGCAACGTGGTGCAACAAGGTGCATCATTCTACACTTGCCAGATATGATATGCTGTAAATTGATATAAATTGACTGAATGCAGAATCTGAGAATCTGTGCAAAAAATCCCCGTGGAGTTGAAGCCCTGATGAACAGATTGCTTGGACCCTTGCTGCATCAAGATTGGCTGCCGGTGACTGCACATTGTGTTTATGATGTCCTTGGAGGCACAAAAAAAGAAGCAGTACAGTACAATCAAAACAATCTGCGGGAATCTTCAGGTAAAAAGGCTCAGCTCAGCATGCCCAAAAAGCTGCTTTGAATCATGCTCAAACATGTTCAGTATCTTGGAATTATATAACTCTGTCGAAGAATTTGTGGCCAAAGTTCAAGTCGCGCTGTCCCCCTGGAAGGGAAGTATTGAGCGAGGAAACGTGGACTTGCCCAACCGTCTGGCCTGGAACACGGACTGCATGGACTGCAGGGACTGTATGGACTGCTTGTGCAATCAACTATTAACTACAAGTATTATCAATGCTATTATCAATGCTTTTATCAATGATTATCACCTCAAGTCTTTTGTCCCTTGAATTGCGGACAATCTCAGGTTCTGACCAAAACAGTTTGTATGTTGGATGTCGCTTCAAAGCATCAGAGAAGGTACATGAAAAATGCCTGCCAGGTGGGGACGCACAAGCGTCGACAGGAGCGACAGGAGTCGAGGTCTCCGAGGTCTCGGAGTCGTCTCGGAGTCGTCTCGAAGCGCCTGTCATAGTTGTCGAGGAGCATTGTCCGGTCACACGAGCTTCCCGGTCCACAAGCCGCATCTTCGACCTTGAAATCCAAGTCGTGATATGTATATGATATGTATATTTTTTGGCACTGACTCAATGTGATATGTATATTATATACATGATATGTCATGGCTAGAGGATATCAAAGGTTTAGTTTTGCTGGCTTGCAATGGATACAATTTGAAAAACAAATGCAAGCAAAGAAGTTTGAGATCAAAACGCAATGTGTGCACATAAAGCCACCAGTACCATTGGAGCACGGGCACTGCCTTGGAAGCGTGGACAAACCGAACACCCCATGAGTTCTGTGGAACTTCTGCGGACTTCTGCGCCCAAACTGGTCAAGGTTGGATCGTGGTCCTCTGACAGTCCGGTGACCGTCTCGTGCTACTTGTAGTGAACAATAGTGACTATTCAATAGTCAATAGTGTTCAAGAGTTAACAGAACATTGGCATGCTGACACGCCTAATTTGCCTAAGTTTTGAATCCTTTTGCGAGGATTCTGAGCTTGCGACTCGCATTCACATTTCAGCCTGTCTGCGGCTGTGCCACCAGGTTCCAGCGGGCACCAAAAGGCCCCAGGACCTTGGAATGCTACAGGATATGAAAAGCTACAGTACATCAGGAGGTACTACTTATCGGATGGTATTGCAGCATATTATTGCAGCATATTGCAGCATCATTAGTATGTTATAGTTATAGTCATAACAGAGTACATGACATAGTATGTTATAGTATTTTGCTCTCGATCTTCACTTTATCAACAGAACTCACAGCCAAAAACATGGAGGAAATTCCTGTATGATGTGAGTTGATAGCTGAGACCTGTACCAAGGTTCCCTTGGAAGCTGCATGTCTCCGTGGCACAGGATTGGGTCCCAGTATCAGACCAATGGAATTCCTCAGCGACAAATTCTGCTTTCATGCGAAGGCCCATGACTGACCATGCCTCACTGTGACCAAATACTGACGTCTTCCTACTGATGTCTTATCCAGTCTTTCCATCTTTCAATTATTTTCGAATCAACCAGGATAAACCAGAATAAACCAGGCTCAACAAGCAGGCCAGGCAGAACGAATTCTCATTCCTTGCCCACTTTCTGCTGGTGTAGCTATGTGCAGCTAGTGCAGCTGAAACTCATCGGAAGTGACTGGATGGATCTCCTGACCTTGCGCAAACTGAACAAAAAAATGAAATCAGCGTGTGCCAACAGTGCCAACTCATATTCGATTTGGATGTTGAACAATGTTCAGAAGCACGTTTGCGGGTTTCAAGCAAGACAGCCACTTTGGATTCCGATCCCATCTGGCCTATCTGGTATATTCGGGTTATTCTGGTGTATTTTTTGCGTTTATTTCTCTTTAATTTCTTTTTATAAGTCATTATAATTCCTTGTAAGATTCTTGCCGAATGTGGCCGCCCGCACAGAGCCAGGAACTGTTCCGGCCTTGGTGCGATGATGAGGTTTCCAGGGTCGGGTCCATTTGGAAAAATCCAACGTGTGAATCGGATTCTGGCTGTTTCGAGAAGTTCACCATTGAGTTGAAATGAACATATTACCACGCCGCACATGCAAATATATATATAGTATATTATAGTATAGTATAATTTAATTTAACTTAATAAACAATAGTAACATAATATAATCTAATGTGATGTAAAAGGAAATGATTTGACGAATCAAGTATAATAAAATATAATATAATATAATATAATATAATATGATTTAATATAATAAAATATAATATAATATAATATAATATAATATAATATTCGAAGGTCTGCGCCAAGGTACTTTCTCGTTTGTGGTCTTGCTCAGGTCAAGTGTCTGTCTCAAGGATCCCCATTGAAACACGACGGACGACGAAAAACGACGAAGAGAAAAGAACGAGCAAAAGGGTTTCAAGGGTTCCTCTACGGGACCTCCGGGGGAAGAAATTCCAAGGGTTCCTCTCCGGGACCTCCGGGGAGAAAAAATTAAAAAAAATAAAAAAATAAGACGGGCACATACCATTGAGAAAAACACATAGCATGTTTTATGCATATTTGCAATGTTCGGTCGCAAGTGTTCTTCCCCGGGGTATGGGTTTGTCTCCGGGATTTTATTTTATTTTATTTTGGCAGCCTTGAGCGCGAACCTTCACTGTGGGAAAACACTTGGCCTTGAGAAATCCTTCGAACATGGGAAAATTTTCCAGGAATACGGTTGGGAAACCAGGACCTTTGAGGAGGGGAAAAAGAAAGCACCTTTGATACAGGGAGGAGGGTTGAGACAGGCACATACCATTGAGAAGGTAGAAAACCCTTCATCCAGACTTTTGAAATATAATATAATATAATATAATATAATAATATAATATAATATAATATAATATAATATAAATATAATATAAAATAATATAATATAAGTAATATAATATAATATAATATAATATAATATATATATTATAATATATCATGTACATGCATATGGGACGGGACCTAGCCTGTGAGCAATTTCAATATGTGGCTGATGGACTGCCAAAGAACTAAGAGCCCAACACCACACGTGCCATCCTGAACGCACAGAAATAAGAATTCGGGGGTCTTGGGGAACTATTGTACTGTCTTGTCAGTATTGTACTGTGGCTTGTGGCACAATGTTGCACATCTCAGAATAATCAACCCATCAATCCCTGCCTCGCTGATGCGAACCCGCCAGTCTGCAAACAATGGGTCTGTGCTGTCCAAAATTATCTCTGTGACGTTCGCGATGTCTGTGACATTGGCTGCTGACGCTAGCCTGCCAGGCAGGCTGTCTTATGAATGAAAGACAGTTTCAAAGCCAAAGCATCTGCATCCAGAAAGCCTTGATATCTGAGCAAGGAAATGAAGCACGACCACCTGAAAACCTAAGCGAAGACCAGCTGAACACAATTCCGCGCAAACACAAGATCCTCCACAGTTGGAGTTTTGATGCTGAGGTTGGGGCAACTTAGTTGTTTCATGGCCGCCACATGCATTCTGCTACATGCAAATCCAAGCTGATCTGAAGCCAAAGAGCGGCGGTTTCCAGCTGGCTGACGTTCAAGAGCAGTCAACAAGACGTCGAGACAAAGCACATCAAAGCAGTTCAAAGCACCTACTTGGCTTAGGTGACAAGTCTGCTGTCGTTCAGAAGCAATTACCATCCTGTACTCTGAAGTAGAACGAAATACAGGTTTGTGCTTGGTACGAGAATCTGGCGAAACAATGCTAAACAAGCATTCCAGATTCCAGATCATTCCTGCCAGCCGGGTGCAGTCTACCTTCTAGGATGTGTTGCGTCAAAAGTACAGCCATTCTTTCCTGTTGAGGTCTGCATGAGTCACTGTCTACTGAGTCACCCTCTGTCACATTTGCCTTGCTCTGCAAGACCGGCAGTACTTTGGGACTAGGCTCAGCTGTCAAAGCCACCAGTGGTAGTCCAAACAAGGCAATGGAGCTCCGCGTACTACGGAAATCGCCTGTCCAAAATTCTCACTAGACAAGTTGGACAAGCGGTCAAAAACTTCTGCTCACTGTACTTGCTCACTGACTCTCTCAAGGTCTCAAGCTGCTACATACCAAGCTGGCAGTGCATGGACACATTCACTCATATGTCTGTACCACATTTTACGAACTAAGAGTGCTAAGGGACCTGGTTTTCTATGTAGTATTAGAGGATTCCGGACGTTTAATCTGCGTTAACGAGCGCAAAAACCAATGATATCAATGATATTGTCAGTTGATATCCGCTGTTCCTCTGTGTATGTGTGCGCGTTTGTGTGTGTGTGTGTGTGCATGCGCATTGTCGGTCAATGTCTTATGTAAAATGTTCCGCCCAAGTACAGTACAAATTCACAAATATAATAGCATATATTCTGGGGCGCTGTTGTAGAAGATTCAATTGAATTAATTTTGGACTATCTTCTATTTGAAATGACTTTGGCCAAATTGCCAAAATTCATTTCAAATAGAAGATATTGCTTGGGTAAACCCCTGCCGGTGCCACGGACTTTTGCACGGCATTTCTCGGCTGACCAGGCTTGGGGGAAGCGGGCTGGAATAGACTCAAATACCCGGACATGAATTGCAGCAGGTTTCAGTGGAAAGCGCAAGGTCCCACACATTTGACACCCCAAACGCCATCCGAAATCACAAGTTCGTCAATGAATACCTTCTACTTGGATTGGAGGTGTCTGGGAATGGCCCAAAAGAACTATGGTATCCAGCCTTGGGTCTTTCGAATATCTTCTATCTAAAATGAATTGGAACACCTCTGATGTAAAATACAGCTTTATCCTCTGACGTAATTGGAATCCCAAATTGTAAGGATACACAACTTACAAAACCTTTCTGGTTTTTGGACAAGGTGGAGCCAGTGTGGTGAAAAGAAGGAGGATCATGTTTTTTTGACGCCAAGAGCAACGGAAGCCTCACCCCCATCCCTCAGACCCTCCACCAAACCCTCTCCCACCCCTCCGGCCCCTTGGCTCTTTGGAATATCGTCGACGCATTTTACCATCCCGCTGTGGGCGTTTGGAAAACTCATCAATAAGAATGAATTGGGGCGCTACCCCATGTGACATACAGCTTGTGCTCACGCCTTACCCAGCATTGGGTCTTTGAAATAGCCTGGAATTAAGATGAACTTGAACAGTTCCCAATGTAAAATATAACGTGTTCTATATCTTTTACCATCCCAGCTTCGGGTCCTTGGAATATCGTCTATTAAAATGAATCGGGGCACTCCCCAATGTCAAAATAGTTTTTTCTCGTGCATTTTACCATCCCAGTTTTTTTAATAATTATCTTCTTGTAGTGGCCTTGATGGTGTCTTTGGAATATCCGGCATATTTCCCATGAAAATAGTGATTAAATTAAAGGCATCATTACCGGCTCTTTTTAGACGAACTTTTGCGCAGGCCCTACCTTTTTTTCAAACAGAAGCCTCAACACAATTTTGGTCAAAATCGATAAACATGCAAGGTGTTTGACAATTTTCTACTTGAAATGGATTTGGCCACTTCGCAGCGATTACCTGACCAATCCATTTTCTGTTTTAAATGGAACCCTCAAATTGTTAATTGTTCAAATCTTCTATTTGACCTTTGAATGCGCATCCCAAAACTCTTGCAGTTGAGAGGCTGAGTTCAGGATCTTCTCAGCTTTGGGAAGCCAAACATAGACCTGCCATCTCAAAGGTTGGACTGTGCAGCTTTGCCACAGCTAGAAAACATTCCAAACCTAATGGAGTACATGGCAGTGCCATGAGGTGCATGCCATGCTTTGCTATTCCACCACTCGTGTTTTAAAAAATATTGTCTAAAAATGCCGGAAACACATCATCGCTGTGATTGTAGGCATCTGCATCGGTCATGTCACCCACATTGGACAGCCGCCCCTGGGGACATGAAACTGAAAACAAATCTCCATGCCTGCCATGCCTATATGTATACCTATGTATATCTATGTACGTGTGTGTGTGTGTGCGTGTGTGCGTGTGTGTGTGTGTACATTATATATATATATAATAAAATATGCATATACAAATATTCATGTATGTAATGTAATTCATGTATGTAATTCATGTATGTAATTCATGTATGTAATTAATGTATGTAATTAATGTATATTAATGTATGTATGTATGTATGTATGTATGCATGTATGTATGTATGCATGTATGCATGTATGTATGTACGTATGTACGTATGTACGTATGTACGTATGTACGTATGTACGTATGTACGTATGTACGTATGTACGTATGTACGTATGTATGTATATGTATGTAGGTACGTACGTACCGATGGATGTATAGATGTATGGATGTATATATGGATGCATGCATGCATGCATGTAGGTATGTATGGATGTAGGTATGTATGGATGTAGGTATGTAGGTGTAGGTATGTAGGTATGTAGGTATGTAGGTATGTAGGTATGTAGGTATGTAGTAGGTATGTAGGTATGTAGGTATGTAGGTATGTAGATGTAGGTATGTAGGTATGTAGGTATGTAGGTATGTAGGTATGTAGGTATGTAGGTATGTAGGTAGTAGTAGGTATGTAGGTATGTAGGTATGTAGGTATGTAGGTATGTAGGTATGTAGGTATGTAGGTATGTAGGTATGTAGGTATGTAGGTATGTAGGTATGTGCGTATGTGCGTATGTGCGTATGTGAGTATGTGCGTATGTGCGTATGTGCGTATGTGCGTATGTGTGTGTATGTATTTATGGAATTATGTATGTATTTATGTATGTATGTACATGTCGTATGTACATGTCGTATGTACATGTCATATGTACATGTCGTATGTACATGTCGTATGTACATGTCGTATGTACATGTCGTACGTACATGTCGCATGTACATGTCGTATGTACATGTCGTATGTACATGTCGTATGTACATGTCGTATGTACATGTCGTATGTACATGTCGTATGTACATGTCGTATGTACATGTATATAGATATCTTTAGACACTTTATACATACTTGAAATTTATGGCGTATGTGAGCATGTCTGTCTGTCTGAGCAAGCATATCATATTATTGTACACCTAAAAATTAAATACTTATAACTTATAATATGTCTATACACAACCAAGTCCGTATAATATAGACTAATATAGCATTAAAGGATTAAAGGTAGATTGAAAGCACTGTCTTATCTATTTATATCTATGTTCTATTCCATTGAGTCCATGTATTCCATCTATTCCATCTTCTGGATGTTCTATGGTTCTTTGATGTTCTTTGATGTTCTTTGTCATCTTGTTCGTATTCTGCTTGGACAAGCCTCTAAGAGTGAAAGACCCTCTTGTGCGATAAATGAGTGTAGGAACATGTGAGATCAGGCCAGCCTGGTTGAAGTATGAGTCTGGATTACGGTTGAGTCAACTGAGATGTCTTGGCATTGCTCTGTAGTCGAGGCACCTCTGTCAAACTCCCTGTCATGTCGTGAGGTCGCGTGCACAAGTGGTGGATGCCTGCCTCAATCGACAGTCGATATAATTTGAATTTCCGCTAGATGCACTCATTTGCCACCAACAGTTGCCAGCTTCACTGCATTTGATCTCAGATTTACCTGAGCGACACAAAGTTGATCTCAGCAACCAGCCAGTCGAGCGAGTCCCCCAAAAATCTGTGTGAAGTCTGTATTCCAAAGATCAGAGCCTTAGAGCAAAACAGGCCGAACGGAAGATGTTGCGAGGCTTGGGGAATGAGTCGAGTTTCTCGGATCGGAACTCGATAGGCTGGGATACAAGTAGGCTGGGATCCTGGCACTGCAGCCACACTGGGGAACTCCGACTCCTGAGCTTCGGCAGATTCGCTTTGGAATGCTTTGGACCTCTCAACACCGTGACAGCATATTATTACATATTATTACTACACATTGCATCACACCACCAAATCGTACCATTGGTTATCTTACAGTATGTTATTTTTATTTATCTATTATATATATATATAAATGGAATATAAATGGATTGATTCTGATTGACTTAAAATTAAGGGCTTGTGGATCTTGTGGCAGTCACTTAAAAGTGGGTCAGTCAGTTTGTGTCAATTCTCTGCCTCAGCTCCACTGCAGCACTCCCTTCTCGCAAAGCCCAAAGCCACCCAAGGCCAGCTCCATGGACAGCTAAAAGGATGTCCTAAGCTCCGCCCTGCCACAGCTTGCAGCTTGCCACAACTGGAGAGATCGTGGATATCGTGGTGAATCATTTTCACACCGTCCGTGACAGCACATCGTTCAGGTTGATTTAGTCATTGACAGTGATTGACAATGATTTTCTTCAGCTTTGGACAAGTCTCTGCGTCATGGAACTGGCGAAACTGCTCTATCCAAGGTGTACCATGAGCCAAACCCTCCACCTCCTTCACACGCAGAGTATCTGCAAATTTGCCGCGGACAAACTCCAGCACCTCAGAGAATCTACGAGCATTCTATGAGCATCTGCAGTCTTGAAATTGCATCAAATTCTCTCAAATTGCCCTGCAAAGTCCTACTACTATTACTATCACACCTTCAGCCACCCCATCTGCCTGGTGATAGTTTTGGATCCTGCGCCCATCAGTTGCTGGCCTCTGAATCACTGCGAGCCGCAGGATACCTGCAAGTTGAACTTGATTGATTCGCTTTCTGAGGAACTCAGCCCTGAGAAGCCTGCCTGATATTGCGACAAGCAAAAACGAACATGGCATAAGAAAACTGCTCGGCCTGCATCACTGGACACAGGCATAGCTGCCATAGTTGGAGTAGACTCATGGATCCACTGTTTCACCTGCGTTATACTGGTGCATGGAAGTTGGGGTGTCTGCAAGAAAGAGCGAAGTGAAGGAAGACCCAGGATCACCTGTTCATAGCTTCGCCCATAGTACTTCGCCAGTGACATGGCTGGACGGTCAGAAATCCATTTCAAAAGACCGGCGTGAATGCCGTTGGGACTCCAATGCATTTTGACTTTCTCGGTGTCGAAAGGGAAATCATGTTGCAATATGGACCAACTCGAAGGTTCTGTGTGGCCTCTGAAGTTGCCATCGATATCCCTACCTTTTGCAGTGGAGATAGCAAAATCTATGTCACCATGCGGGAATACAAGCGCAACATCAACTTCATTCTGGTCCAACCGAAGGAAAACCTTGGCATAGTAAATCAAAGGAATCCACCAATGCAAGTGGTGCCATGGATTTGCTTCCCATGACATGGTGATGGGTACCACCATGAGAATGCGGTCGGATGCATCGTCTGCTTCTGGTCGATAACCTTGATGATTCAAATACAGCCAGAAACGCCCATATTCAGTGCAAAAAGGTCCGTGTGGTCCGTGCGGTCCGTGCGGTCCGTGCGGTCCGTGTGCCTTGGAGTCGCTGGGAGATGGCAAAATCTGTATGTATTGCAACGTGTGTGGTCCACACTGTGAATGCCATGGCGATCCCGTTCCAGCTGAAGTCCGGAACAGTGAAGATCTGCGAGCCCAGGCAATACGTTTCTGAAGTTTTGACGAAAAACTGATTTCACGCACTCGAAAAACTCCGTCCGATTCCTTGAGGAAGTTCCACACAAGCCTCGCATAAAATAGAGCAGCGTCTCGTACACTGAAACCCCACATCTGCGTGTCCAAGCAATCTTGGGCAAATGTGGCAAGCTGGAAAATGCTTTCATGAAGTGAAATGACCTTGCTCAACTCCTTTTCCAGAATGCAACCGTGAAGCAAACCAATAAGAGATGCAAGGTCGCCCGGGATGCACTGTGAAGAAAATGCGATTCTCAAAAGCGTATCTGCTTCAAGACTCCTCTCATCTTGTACTCTGCAATTTTGCAAACTCAAGGCTTGATGCTCCCACAGGCTACCATTGAATAGCACTCGAGGAAAATACAGGCTTCCCACACCGGTCTGCAAAAGTTGTGCGCCTGTGCGCGAATAGTACTCTGCCGCTTCCACACATCGACAAAAATCCCTTTGACCCCAGGCAGCTGTGTAAATCCTGGTGAACCCAGCCCACATGCGAACTTCCCGTCTTAACATAGCCTGCATCGATACCTGCATCGCTCGCATAGATCGATGCATAGATCGATGCAGTGCATGCAAAGATACAAAGTACGTCAAAGTGGCTCCGAACGCTGTTTCCATTGAAGGAAGTTCACCTTCAACAGTCCAATTCCTCACGCGGTCTAGGTGGATTTGTGCATGCTTCCAAGACTCATGCACCAGAAAGGTTGCGGCCACTGGAGATCGCAAACCTTTCTGGGTGTAAGCAAGAACCTGGTGCAAAAGATATGCTGAGATTGGTGGTAGTTTCTCAATGATTTGTTTCAAGGGTCCGAGGTGTGCAAGCGGAGCAGAACAGCATCTTTCGACATCGTCGAAGATGTCGAAGCATTGATGCTTGCGGCTACCATAGCAACAAGTAGCACGCGTGTGGCCGGAAGCCCAGCAGTCTGCGTTGGAATGGACGTACTGTGCATCTTGGACCCGAGCAAAGCCGTGTACTATGAGCATTGACACGATCCAGACCCTTTGCCATGGATATACAATATGCACAATATATACTCTGTTCATCACTGTTCTTTAGAGTCATATCCCAGCAGAACCATGGGCCAAAACAGGAGACACGATGGCGCAGTCACATGGGGCGTGGGTTAAGTGGACCGAGTTTGGTCACTGTACGCCTGCGGGACTGCTCTCCCCAGCTCTCCCCAGCTCTCCCCTACCTTCATGGACCTTCCCTTGCAAATCCTTTTGATATCTTTTGATGTACAATTGACACACCCTTTTATTTCGTAGAAGGTGCTGCAATGCAAGAGTTTACCAGCCTGACGAGCCCAGGCAAAAAGGTTCTAGAATCTGCTAGTCCATTGAGTTGACAACACACGGGCAGTGAGTGTTCCTTGCAAAAGCGGGAGACAGGCCAACTTTCAAGTGACAGGTAGGGGTGAGACAGGTAGACAAACGAGATGGCAAGCTGGGTCGGGCAAGCTGGGTTGGACAAAGTAGAAACCCAAACTCAGCATTGCGCCAGAAAGCAGAAGTGACGAAAGGATGCCATGCGAGCAAACGAGTAAAAGTTGCAACCACTACTCCCACCACGTCCCGGCCAATAATTTCCTTACATCGCGGAAGGTTCGTGTCTCTGCTTGGGGCCACATGAACAAACAAGAACAGTCATGACAGAAGCAAAAGCAACAGCAGCAATCGACTCTTGCTCAAGTTTCAGATATCCACATTGAAGCACATCGCGGTTTATTCTCAGTCGCAGAACACCTCCACTTGGCACGAGCCCCTTTGGGGATCAGAGAAGGATTTCTTGCCAGCTGGCTAGGAAAAGACCAGAAGTTGGACAGATTGCCTTTTATTTTTTTTCTAAACTTGAAAGTTCAATGATCTTCTTGGACTGCCTTTTGGCAACACCCTGCGCTTGTATCATTATCAGGCCGAGCAATGTCGGCGCCAAAAATTCAGCTTTTGCTGAATCTTTGAGCTTGCAACATCCTAGAATATCCTAGAGCAATACTAAATAGTGGTCCGAAAATATGCTTGGTAGACTTCTCTTATCAATCGAGAAACTGCCAAGCCTGCTTCAAGTCACATCAAAATACATCAAACACTTTTGTTGTGAATAAGGGAAACAAGATTAAATTTTAATAAATCAGTACTTGTATGAGGTGCGGGATCTGTTTGGTAACAGTCAACCGTAACAGTGTCCACAATCGAACCGTATGGAACCTCACTTGAGACTGGCAAGGCCAGCCTTGGCAAGCTCTGATTCTACCTGAAGAAAACAAACACACATTGACAAACGACTTGTCTCCAAACATCTTCAAACGACTCAAGTCAGATACAGCCAAGCCAATCAAGCCAGACATATGCCAGTTATGGAAGGGTTATGGAAAAGTGTTGTCGGATGTTGTCGGATGTTGGCGGATGATGTCGGATTGAGGTGGTAGGAGGAGCATCAGTGTGTGCATGAAGATCTACAGAGCACGTCAGGCGAAAATTGTCGTGGAAAAGGAGCTTGGACCCGTGCTGCTTCAGAGATGGCTGTCCGCCTCGGCAACAGCCACATACACTCCACACCCATATCCCAGAAGTCAGACTGGCGGCTTCAACGACCATTAACAATTCTTTAACTCCCCACTGAGGCAAGGTCAAAGATGCCACCGATCGACTGCTACGAGTAGACCTGAAAAAAACAGGTTTCAGGAGAGTCTGTTCTGAATCGGATCAAGACCAACTCCTGCAGGTCCTTCTTTTTTAACACAAGAACAAATGATTCATGTTGATTCATTTTGTCATATATATCATATATGTTCGAATTATGTTCGAATTATGTTCCATACTGTATGTTATTCTCCAACATTTTGGCACCTTCGTGTGCTTCTTGATGGTCCACACTGTCCGGGCTCAACCACCTCATTGCGACATGGCAAAGGCGTGTCTTCGCCCTGAAAACAGATGAAAACAGCACATTCAACAGGTTGAAAAAAAACACGCCAACCCCAAAAACACTCGAATAAAAAGGGACACCAGGCTATGGGGACTCCCAAGGAAATATCCCAAGGAAATATTATATATATATATATTGTATATATATATATACATAATAATATATTAGTTATACTGCACATGATGCCTAGTATGATATGCTATTAGATTGTAGACAAAGCCTGTTTTTCATACTGCATATGACATATCATGCATATATAAACCATATATAATACACATATAATGCATATTCTGCATTCTCTTGCTCGGTTTTTTTGTCTGTCAATTCGAATGGTCAAATTGCTGCGCCTCCACAAATGCGCTGGCACCGCTATTCTTATTGGCCTAAAGGACAGGACACATGGTTGTACCATGTTGTACCCAACTGTACCCAACTCCACTGCGAGAAACAAGGCCAGAAAGAAGCCTCGAGAACCTCGTCCAGCTTGGCAGTCTCAGTTGGTCTGACCGCCTCATAGAGAAACTCAGGGCTACCCCCAGCCCTAAAAGCGTGAATGCCAACGAATGCGTGAATCTCTTTGTCAACGTCCGGTACTCTTTGTCTACGTACATTGGCTGCGTGACGTGTGTTGCCTTACCGTGGCGAGCGCTTTGTTTAGGGTTCCTAGCATTCTTTCCAGTATGGCGAAATCTTTCCCACGACCTCAATTTTTCTTTAAGTTCAGGCTGCTCCATGTCTCCGTGTACAACACACACTCAACGCTCGGTCTTTTCGCTTTTCAAACGTGGCATCCCTGTCTGGTGTTCCAGTCTCCATGTTACACTTTCCAACTGGATCAATTGAGAGAAGTTTATCTGCAAGTCAGGACTGAGGAAGGTTCTTGTAACCGGCAATTTCTGGAATGGCCACAGCTCTGTGGACACTGATTGCTGGAACCTGTCGTCAAGACACGCTAGTGGAAGGTGAAATGGTTGTTCTGCAGAAGCCTTCTCATTGTTGTAGGGATCGAAAATGCCATCATCACCCTTCTTCGGCAGCGCATCTGCAGAGAGGAAACAAAACAACTTTAAAGCCCAAATCGAAGAATAAGAAGCATCATGAAATCACTGGCTAATCAATCCTTCCCTTCAAAAGGAGCCGCATAGATCCCAAAGCAGTGTAGCTTCGGCCAAGACACTTGAGCCAAAGCGTCCAAGCCAATAAGACCTTCAAGAAACAGGGCTTGGCTCAAGCGGCTCAAGAGTGCTACTTCGCAGCTTCCAAAAACGTGAGTCCGATGTGTGACGTGCGTTATCTTTTTCTTCAGCCGTCAATAGATTCATTAGATTTAATAGCAAGAGCACCTTCTGCACCGATTCTCTCGGATAATGGCATCCTGGCTACAGGATTGTATGCGCACAGGAGGGGTTTGGTGTTCGCAGATCAAAAAAGCACCCGATGGCTGATGCATAGCTGCTATGGTCGGCTGTTTCACGCTGATGGAATTGGGGGGCCGCAGAACCAGGCAGCCAGGATAAGCCAGCGGACCTGCCACGCCAAGTTTGCCTTGACCTTAGGTCTTCGAAACCAAACAACAAAGTACTTCTCTCTGCCTATCTCTCAGATTCTCTCTCCCTACCTCCCTTCCTTCCTCGCTCGCTCGCTTGCTCTCTCTCTCTCTCTCCCTCTCTCTTTCTCAAGATGTCAACTCTGCGCATTTCCAAGCTCTCGACCGTCATCGAGTCAGCAGAGATGAAGTTGCTTATAGTTGCTTTTCGATGCAATATTTTTTTCATGTGTTCTCGTCTGCTTTGGCGCACATACAGTTGACAAGATTGATGCTGGTAAAATAGAGAGAGAGAGACAGAGACTGTGCGTGCGTATGTGTGTGTGTGTGTGTCTGTCCAAAACTCCTTCTATCGATGTGCCCAACAAGTAGTCCTCAGTAGACATCAGTAGTTTCCCTTGACTTGCTGTGGGCTACATGTGTGCGAGGCGCAAGCTAGCTCTTTCTAGGCTATGCTGCGGTACAGTACAAGCAGTCAATTTCTGGATCCGACTCTTGAGATTTGGTTGTTTGCCACGCATTGCGACGTCAAGTTCTGGTAGGACTTGTTTTCCTCTCTGGCGTCTTGCATCCATCAAAGGACAGCACCTAGGGGAAGTGCCTGGTTAATTTGAACCAGCTAAGAATTTATTTGGTGGGTTTGCCCACTTACATCGTTAACATTGGTGACTTATCACCATCAGTGTCTTCACGCGGCCTAAGCGAAGCGAAAATGAAGCGACTGGAAGATGTGGCCAGGATTCACAATTCATCACAATTCCATGGAGTTCATTAAAGTTCCATGACTTTTTCGAAAAACTGTATGAATTGTCATGAATTGTCATGAATTGTCATGAATTGTCATGAATTGAAGGAAGTCCAATGAATTCGGTGAGAAGCTCCGCGAATGCCTGGTGCCACATGGTGCCACACACCCTGGCCTGGTCCACTGAGTCCACTGAGTCCACTGGGCACAACGGACTGCCAAAAGCTGCCGAGCTCCGTTCACTTTGGAGCCGCTCGCCTGGCACGTTTTCACAAGATCGCCTCGAATGAGTTCATGTTAGATCTCTATTACTCTATACATATCTTTACAATTCTAGGGTATATAAACATACAATATGTATATATATATATAATTATATATATAGTATTAGTATATATATATAACTATAATATATATATATATACGTATATATAGTCACACATAAAAATGCATGTGTAGCTAGCAATCAGATTGAGACTTGGAGGCTAGGTCAATGGAATAGCACACAACTTCTTGCATGATTGAGTATGCAGATTAGGATGCTAGCCACTAGGGGGGCAATGGACGAAAGGTTGGTGTCAAGTGTCAACTCGAAAATGTCCCAAGCGATTCAGCTGATATCATGAAAAACTATGGAAAAATATAAGATTGCTTTCTTCACACCTGTCCCATCATGTTAGGAAGGGACCTCCCGCCTCAGCCTCATTTGCAGCTTTCTCGATTCTGGCTTTGTGTTCCCTGTGCGATCTGAACACACAGGCTCAAAGATTGAAAACTGCCAGGAATTGCTGCATAGATCAGGAAGAGTCAGCTGAGAATATCTTGCAGCATCTTGCGTCTTCTCGAGACCTCTTGGAATTGCAGGGGATCTTTTTCTTTCTGTCACCACTGTAGCTCTCTGTAGTACGGTTGAGAAAGGAGCAAGGAACAGTAGTAAAGTACCCGGAACTTGACTTCCATACACATTTGTGCCGAGTCATGTTGATGTATGTGGGCACCTCTACACAGAACACAAGGAACATAGCGTTCCATGAAATATTCGTATTATGTCCGTATTATATTCGTGCAATTCGTATATCTGTCACTATACACATGTTCGTTCAATGTGTAGGGTCTGTGCTCAAATGTTAGCAGCCTCAACGTTGCAACAATGGACTCTTTCATCGAGCCACCTGCGTAAAGTTCTAAGATGTTCAAAGTGCTAGGTGTAAACCCGAATCGCTTGGATTTCAAAGTTGGACATCGACGTTGTCTTATTTTCGGACTGCCATTTTCTTGCATTGTTTTGCCATGAGCATTTGCAGCAGGAGTCAAAATGACAACACAATGAGAGTCATGGAAACTCAGTGACTTGGAGTACTTGGAGCTCGGGGTCTGGCTCTTCAGCATGGCTAACATGAGGAATGCACATCTGCTTGCTGCGGCCAATACTGCGTGAGGCCTCAGGAAATCAAATTCATTTGGCGATGAAAGTTTAGTTGCACTAAACGCAGCGTGTTCATTGTTTAGTTTGTCATGTATGTTCCAAGAATACACTGCTGCACTATGCTGTGCATGATATGTGTCTCATTGTTTCTCCACTTTCCCAGCTTCAAAGGTGTCCTCTATGCAAATCACATCTCAGCGTCAGGCTTTAAACAGCTCTCCCAGAGCGGCTGCGCAAGCTTCGGCCCCTTTCATAGTGTGCTGAGCAGATTCTATATAAATAGTGACACTATTAAATAGTGACGAGGGTGCCGCCCGTTCAACAGTGCGCATAACGGGACTGGGTCAGTGCCTGCTCAGGCTCCAATTTTAGCAGAATAAGCATTGTCGTCGTGACCGTGCCATTGTTTAGTAGACCAAGGTCATCCTTCTTTGCCTAGCAGAGAATCGAATTCAAACATATTCAAACTGTCTTTGCAAACATGAGTGACAAACCATAAAAACATCAGTCTTGCAAGACCACAATGTATAGATTGATTAGATTTAATCTTATAAGAATCTCTGCCAGCCTTACTCTGGAAATCAATGATTTAGTTATTTCGTCATTTTTTTTCATTTTGGTTTTCTTTTTTTTATCATAGATATTTACATGTTTTTCATATGTTGTTCCTTCTTTTTGGAGTTTTCATTTTTTTTACTAATTCTAGTGATTTAATTTGAGGCTGGGCCCCATCAGAGGATACAAGCGTTATTGAGTCATTGAGTTCAACTGTGATTTGTACCATAGTATACAGTAATCAAGCATACTTGCTTCTGCTACTTCATCAACTCCTACTATACAAATACATTAACTGTAAATATGCAAATATAATTCACTAGCCAGCTGTAACTCACTGAACAACTCACCAGCTTCGGTAATCAAGAATCAATCACTACTAAGTAACAAGAAATTAAATGACAATGACACGTAGCAGGTAGCAGCTAGCAGACAGGAGCAAGCTGCAACGAGCAGGGTGTCCCCAGCAAGAAATCACAGCCGGTCCAGCCTACCCCAGCCGGGCCCCAGCCCAGCCCAGCCCAGCCAATGATAAAAAGAATGATAAAGCAGAAACAAATGAAAAAAAATGATAAAAAATGATAAAGCAGAAACAAATGAAAAAAATGATAAAAAAAATGATAAAGCAGAAACAAATGAAAAAATGAAAAAAATGAAAACCAAAACAACAAAAATGAAAAAATGAAAAAAACATGAAAACATGATAAAAATGAAAACATGAAAAACAATTAAAAAAATGAAAAAAAAACACGAGGAAAATCGACATTTTCCAAATTTTGGAGTTCACCCAGCAAACAGCCCCCACCTACCCACCCACTACTAGCCAGCCAGCCCACCCACCCACACCACCATACCGGCCTACCAGCCAGCCCAGCCACCCACCCACCCCCACCATCCCGGCCCTACCAGCCAGCCAGCCCACCCACACCACCATCCCGGCCCTACCAGCCAGCCCAGCCAGCCCACCCAAAAAATGTAAAAAAAGTTGATTCAGTGAAGTTTTCTAAACTAATATCATAGCAGTATAACAAATCAAAATTTATTCATTTAAAAAAAACATAACAGTCCAAAAAGCCAGTTTATATATTGTTAATTGCTTCACTTTTCTCAACAGTATCAACACATAATTACCTCATTCAATTTTTAAAAATCATAGCAGTCAAAGCATACTTACCTCATTCATTTTTTCAAAATCATAGCAGTCAAAGCATACTTACCTCAGTCAATTTTTCAAAATTATAGCAGTCAAAGCATACTTACCTCATTCATTCTTTCAAATTCATAGCAGTCAAAAGCATTATTACCTTATTCATTTTACAAAATCCTATCCATCAACCGTTCCTAAATTCCTTTTATGCTTCTCTGTTTTTAAATGTCTTGAATAACAGTGTGCCTTCATTGATGAATTACATACATTACAAAAGGCAACTTTATCACGATAGTTTTGTATTTGTTCCTGTTTCTTTTCTCTATATTCTTCATCTTCTTTATATTTAGTTCTTCGTGTTTCATTCACTTTATCTTTATGTTTGTCATAGTTCTTTCTCTTGTATTCCAAGCATGTCTTACAAGTCTTCAATCCATCTTCAAAATTATCAATTGGTAAATCTTTAACACAGTATCTACAAAATTTATCCATTACATATAAATATGATTATCTTCTTAAATGTCTTTTCCAAGAATTCCTATAACAACCAAAAACAAAAACAAACCAAGCGAAGAACAGCATAAAAAAAACAATAGACAACAATAAACATTATTCCCTACCCTTTAACTACCCTATCTTACAAATCCATAATTATAATAAATAAATATTATTAGAAATATGTTAGTAGTAAATATCTTCAATAATTATCAAGTCAAAATGAAATGCTTGTATTCCTATTATACTATCTTTATCTTGGTCTTCTTCTATGTCGATATTTATTTCGTCATCTGCTTTATTCAATACATCTTCTATATTATCTTCATCTACATATTCATCAAAGTCATGCATGAAGTAAATTTCTCTATAACTAAATTCATTGTCTCCATATTCTTTATCTGGGAGTTTTGCTACTATTTGGACTTCAATATCAAGTTTAACTCTAAAATTTTAAATTATCTTCTACTTCTTCATAAATCAAAGATAGTAATTCTTCTTTTTCTTCTGTTATGATGTTTCCTATACTTTTTAAACCAAATGGCACTCCCTCTCTCACAATACAGTATTCAATTACATATATTTTTTTCTTGGTTTCAAATGTCTTGTTATTTTAGGACCAAATCTTGATATTTTATGTTTGTTCCGTATTCTCTTCAATGCTTCACTATGCTTTATTGTCAAATATTTAGGGTCTCCAATTTTTTAAGGAACGATCTTACGCAACGCATCAACAGGCAAACCCTTCATACAATTCGTCTTATAAAAACTTATATAAATAACTTAGTCTTTCAGTATATATTCCAAGATTAAAATGTAGAATTCTTTGAAAAACTACTTAAAGATAAATTAACTAATTAAAATATATACTATTATGATGAAAAAGGTTATAAACTATTTATTGAGTAATGATTTAGCAGAAATACCAAAACGAGGAAGAAGAGAATTAAAGTCAATAATAATAGATGATAAGAAATTCAGATACAACAAAGACAAACCAATATCTAGTGTCTTAACAAAGAAACTACTGACGGTCAAGAAAACTAATGAATACAGAAGTTATGCTTTAAACAAGGCAAAAGATGCGTTCAGTGAAGGAAGAGTGAGACAAATACTAACCAAACACGCAATCAGAAATAAATTTAGGGTCAGAGATATTCAATCAGCATTTAGAAGATACGCTAATTCAATAGTTTTAGAAAATAAACACTTTCAAGGAGAAAGGGGATTAGAAATAATTGCGCGCCAAAAACAAAGACGATCAGATTTTTTAAGAAATAATAGAAGCATGAAACTTAACATAAGAACGGAAGGATTATTTGAAACACCTGAATTTGATGATGGAGGAAATGAATTCAAGGTGTGGACCTTCGGCATCCTCAAGATGTTGGACAAGGTCAACGTGATGTACACCCTCAAGGTGTGGACCTTCGGTATCCTCAAGATGCTGGACAAGGTCAACGGAATGTACACCCTCAAGGTGTGGACCTTCGGTATCCTCAAGATGCTGGACAAGGTCAACGTGCTGGACACCCTCAAGGTGTTGAAAGACATGGACACCCTCAAGGTGTCGAACGATGTGGACACCCTCAATGTGTTGAACGATATGGACACCCTCAAGGTGTTGAACGACATGGACACCCTCAAGGTGTCGAACGACATGGACACCCTCAAGGTGTTAGACATGATGGGCACCCTCAAGGTGTCGAGCGAGATGGACACCCTCAAGGTGTTGAGAGAGTTGGGCACCACCGAGGTGTCGCAGCAGAACTCTTGCTGGAGAAGTGCAACGTTCTGGCAAGGTACATGGTCAAGGGAAAGTGGTGCGGCCCAATGGGATGGGAGGTGAGATACCATCTCATGGGGTTGCAAGACAAGGTGGGAAGACTGGAGGACTGGGAGGTGAGATACCAGTTCAAAGGTCTGACATCATGCAAGAGGCTGGACACCATCGAGGAGTCAGCCGTGGACCCTCAAGGTCTGAAGTTAATGTGCAAGAGGCTGGACACCATCGAGGAGTCAGCCGTGGACCCTCAAGGTCTGAAGGTAATGTGCAAGAGACTGGACGCCACCGAGGAGTCAGTCATGGTTATGGACCTGAACGACGTCAAGTACAAGGTCATCGAACAGTACCAAGTGGTCTGCGAGATCAATCTCAAAGACGAGGTCATCGTCAAGATGATGGATCACCCTTGGAAAGAGTTCCAATGGGAGTGCAACAGTATGAGATGAGACGACAGATGCCACGTGAGGCAAGTCGACAACCACAAGGCGAAATACGTGGTGCTACAACCTTTGTGGATGATGTCAATCAACAAGGGAGAGATGAGCGTGATGAGCTCAAGCGGGCTTTGGAGCAATCAATGGTTGAAGAGCTTCACAGACAGAAGCTTGAGATGGAGAAACAACAGGAAGAGATGAAGAAGTATGCTGAGGACTTGCAACGCCAGCGTGATGAGTTTGAAAAGCAGACTGAAGAGTTGAAGAGGGAGCTCAAGAAGAAGAGTTCGAGCATGGATCCACCAAGGACACCACCGCGGCGACCTCAGTACTACTCGCTGTCACCAAGAACAACACCTGGAGGAACTCAAGTTCCGCCGGGACAACCACCAATGGAGGTAGCAGATCTTCCGGAACTTCCACCATGGCAGTTTGACCCATTTGCAGTTGATGAGCATGTGGGTGGTGGAACAGGTTTTGATGGTTTGGAGGATTTTTGGACTCCAGTGGATCAACAACCACAACAGCAGCATCATCTTCAACCTGGAGCAGATCGTTTTGCATGGTTGGACAGAGAGGTCAGGATGATGCATGGTGAAAGACCAAGGTTGACAGGTGAGTACTGGGAGCAACCGGTGCACAGACATGGTGGTCCACCAGCGGATTTTGGTTATGTTCCGCAACCACCACCACAACCGCCTCAAGGACATGGAGTTGGACCTTATGGTGTACCAATGTATGCAGCACCAATGCAATATGGTTCAATGCCACTGCAATGGCAACAACCTCAACCACAAGCAAAAGGTCCTGATGGCGAAGCTTCTGAGGTGCTGAGAAATGTGCCAATTACACTGCCAACTCTGAAGGACGTGTCAGAGCCTCAAGCTGCCCTTCGTGCAGGAGATTGGTTAAGTGAGTTGATGCCGCTGATCTCAGATGTCTCAGAAGGGGCAAGAGTGTGGTGGACCGGACTAGTACAACAAGCTCAAGATGCCTATGCCACATGGCTGACAGCGGG